AATCACATCTTTTTCAGTTCTGCCATCGAAACAAGGAAAAGGGAAGACAGGTGTCAATTCCATCTCCAGGAGAAACTGCAGCTTAGCTAATTACAGTTTGCACAGAAATTGACTGTAACAACCTTATACAGAACTTTGGACTGGAGAGTACACTTCTCAACCGTAACAATAAATGTATTTATGCTTTAGTGGAGCAAAGTCATTCTCTTATGGAATCTGTATACATGTCTGCAACGTCAAGAGGCAGTCGTGAGTCCACAAAGCCTAAGTTAGTTGTAGTAGCTTTAAAATCAAAGAGAGATATATGCATGTGCATAATTATCAGCCTTTACATAATGTGTTTCGACGAGGAAAAAAAAACTAGCACATGATTTGAGGAAAAACAAGTAACCTTGCTAGGGATGACAGAGCTTAAAAAGGCCGACACGTGTCACCAACATTTCCAAGCTAACGCGGAAAATCGATGAAATTTAAAAAGTGGCTTAGTTTTACGATCTAGCTTAAATGTACGATAAACTTTCGCTGTAGAAATCCCTGTGAGAGAGGGCACGAAATATCGTTAGAACAACACATTTTCATCTTAGGGCACAAATAGAGATCACGTTAGAAACTTTAGCATCTCCATTGCATAGATACAGTTTGTCCAGATTGTGCTTCAGGTAAGTCGATATTTGTAATGAAGAGGGGAAGGTCTACACAGTAAAAGTCGGCCTTAATTTGCTGATGCGATGAAAACTTGTGTGGACAGAGAGTATCATCATGTTGACTGTTTTCAAAACCACCGGCATTTTAATTTACGATCAAAAGCAATTTCGTGACATGCTTGGTCGTGTTTTTCAGCTCTGACGCTTATATGACGAACATAATTTTGATTAAGTGTTCTTACAAACTGTACTAAATTGATAGAACATTGTACATGTATTAAAAAATCAATGAAGGTCATTTATATCTTGAAGAGTGTCCGAACTACTCCAGTAAAAAAAATTTGTGTGCTGTTCAATCTCTCATAGAAACTCCGTAATGACTCACACCTGAAACAAATCGATAATTTATAATTGAAGCGTTCTGATAAAAATCGACATGTTATAAGAACGTGTCCTCACCGTCACCTGAAAGTGACGTTTCATCACGCAAGACGCAAACAACAACCCTGGTTAAAAGGGTCACAAAAGTCTGCTATTGGTAATTTTTCCGCTTCCCTTCCCCGTTCAATGTCAATTTACGAAGAATTTTATGTCCTCAAGATTGCATTCTGGTAATATCCGACTATGAAAAGAGGAATGGGGTTTCAGAAACCTTTTCAACTCTTTGTCCAAAATAAGTTTATACAGATTTTCTGATAGAGTTTGTCCAATGCTTTCAGAATTTGCAATTGACTCCAACTCTCATAACTTTAGTGTAAGGTAGAGCTTACTCTCCACCCTTAAATAACTTGCAACTTACAGATAGACTCTCAAACTGATGCCCTTTAGGATGATTGCTGTTATCACGCCACGAGGATTAAAACTTGACAATCAAACATTCACTGACATCTTAAAACTAGTCACGGGCCTTTCCCGTAAAATGGAATAAATTTTATGTGAAACCATTTGATTCCAAGTCACACAGTAAGAGGGCGATTTTATGCAAGAAAAATGCAATTTCCTAAATTTTCGTCAGCATTGAAATGTTTTGAGCGATAAGTTAATTTTTTTTTTAGCTAGAAGAAGTTGCAATTTTAAGACCTAGCCCTAAAGGTTGTCGATATGTAACTCACGCATATAAAATTATGTATTACGAAACAAAAGCCGGTGAGAAATAAAAGGCGAAATTAGTTATCTGAGCGAAAATTGCTGAACAAAGTGATGAACACTTTCAAGTAAAGTGGGAATATAAAAAGTCATCGGTTTGGTTTGGGGTGCAGAGAGCTTAAAGGCACAAGTATTACAAATAGACGAAAGACTATTAAATCGTGCAGCCCGAAAGAACTAAATGGCGAAGGTATTTATAACTGCCAACACAGCGGATTCGATGCTGACACCAGGAATGACATTTTAACACGCGTTTAATCTGTATTGACTTCACAAGCAGTGCAAAGATACCTTGCGGTAGAGCGATACCTTAGCGTAGCGTGCGGTTAAACTACTGAAAGAAATATACGTATAAACCAACGTTACATTGAAGAAAAGCCCGCGCCGAAAGCGAAACAAAACCTAGATATGGAAATGGCTACATAAACTGTACTGTATACTGCAGTTGTGTTTCCAAGTTAACTAAAACGAGCTGAATAACGGTCTTGCCAAAACGACGAATTTTAAGCCGCCGAAGAGTATTTTAAATAAATTACACGCGTTTAGGCGTGTAAAATATAGGAGCTAACGATCAGTGATAGTTCGGCGAACATTGTTCAACAAAGGGATGAACACTTTTAGGGCCAAGCATAGATGTAAACAGACATGTATTGGTTTGAGGAGAAGAAAGCTTAAAGGCACAAGCATTACAGACATACAAAAGACTATATGAAATCATACACTATGAAACAATAGCCCGTAGGAATGAAAGCTTTTAGGCAAAGTATGAATATAAAAAGCAATTATTTGGTTTGCGGAACAAATAGCTTAGGGAAGTAAGTATTATAAACAGACGAAAGACTGTTAAATTAAACATTATGAAGCAACAGCCCGTAAAAACTTGGAGAAGAAGTTTGATAGTTGGGGGAAAAAGTTGCCAATTAAGAGATGATGCTTTTAGGCAAAGTATGAATGTAAACAGTCGTGTTTTTGTTTGAGGGGAAAAAAGTTAAAGATACAAGTATTACAAATAAACGAAAGCCTTTGTTAAAACTAATTATAATTAATTAGCATAAAGAAAACATTATCAGCCAGTTCCAGCTGAAAAACGGACAATTTTGCAATGCTTCACAAACTCTTCGAGACAGCTCTAAGAGAATTAATTACAGTATCTTCTTTGAGTAACGCGAGATTACGAATGAGTTCATCCGGTACCCATATCTTTCTCAACCATTTTTTCAACCAACTGAGTGAGATGTTGGATAGGAAAGGAGGATGAAAACACTAAATAAAAAAATAAAGGTATGAAACATCTGCGTGGCCCGACAAGAGAAAACTTGTCGAAACAAAAGCTTTCACATAAATCTATTAGCATCGTTAATAACTACTTTATGCAACCCGAGGGGAAAACATCTTCAGACTGTCAAAACGTAACCAGATGCAGCTTCAACAAGTTGAAGTAGGGTCCACAAAATTTGTATCCCCAGGTCAAGTTGTCGCCTTAACTGCTTTATCGGAAAAACCTCGTGATGGCTTCCAAGGAAGCATCGCTGAAAATTGTAAGCTATGTCACAGTAATAATGACCATGCTTGCAGCTACAGTTTGGATGTCAGGTAAGGTGTACTGGCGTTCCAATAACTCTGACGTTCTATTCGTCGTTCGATAGACTTTCGCTTTCCCATTTAACTATAAAACCGCTATTGCCAAGAAAACCAACGGTCGATTTTGTAGCTGAATTCAAATATCTGTTCCTCGATAAAACTTGGAATTAACTCGGTAAATTTCAGGCTGTTTCGATGAAGAGGCATTTTTGTTATTATTTTATGTGCGGTATATTTATCGCGTTAAACTCTCCGTTAAATGAGCTCTTGGGCGAATAACTTTCGCTCGGTAACATGTCTAAGGGATTTAAAACTTGATGATTACATGGATCTAAACTGATTCACACAAAAAAATAAATAACACAAAAAACCATCCTTGAAAGTGACATCAACGTCTTCAAACAGTTATTTAAATAAGGTTGACTAGGTGGGTAATAATTGGGATATTCAAATGAATTGGATTCATTGGTTAAACTTCAAAAACAACCTCTCGATTATTATTATCTTGATCTACCTTTGGCTTAACGAGGATTTTATTAAACATAGAAACCTTCCTTGTCTATCTTGCAGCCATGACTGCGGGATTGGAAGGCCATCTTTGCTCTCTTTAACTCTGAATTAGTTCATAACAGAAACGGAACGAAAATAAAAGCCGTATCTAGCGGTAACACGGTTTCTTGGACCAGTTCCATTTTGATCTTTGAATGACATAGTTGTTGCCGGGGTGATGCTTCACTAAGCTTGAAAAAAGATAAATTCTGCGAGTTAGAAAACTTAAAATTTTTCGTCCCTAGCCGTTAATTTCCTACAACGAGGAGTATTTCGAAACTTCTACCAATCAACCTTAACATCGTAACTTAAGAAGGTATCCTCGAGCTACTCTTGTCGAATTCAATAAAAACTTAAAAACTGTCTGAGGACATGTTTTTATGGCTGACGCCAGTAGATTAAACTATTTCACTCATTCGATCGCGTGAGTTGTTTTAACTATTTTCTTCGTAGTCACAAATAGATGTTTAATTAGGCCTATGGTAATGTGTCAATGAAATGAAAAAGGGCCTTAATAATTAATAGGGCTTTGTTATTGAATCATTTGTTTTACCATCAGTCGAAAACAGGCTTTCGATTGACTTTAGGAAATTAATATTCTACTCTTTGAATCTTTTCTTACTCTATTATGACTGTTACATATTGAAACACTATGTTATGTAAATTTTGAATTCCATCAACCAAACGGGTTTTTTTAAAAGCATGTCTGTATGTGGAATCTTCTCGTGTCCATAAATTTGTGGCAAAAATGGACGGCATAAGAAAAAAATATATATACCCTGACGAAATGAAGATCATTTTTTAATTTTTTGGTCCTGCGTTTGTACCTCATCTAAAGCCTTTGTGTTATCTGTTGATGTAATCTTTAATTATATAAAACTCGCCAGTTTTGTGTAATAAATAGTGGTTCATTGTATATTTATAAGTCACAAGATAATAATTTTACTGAGATCCAGCTTTTTCGATCGTTTTAACTAACCTGCAGAAAAAGAAAGCATTACAATTGAGGTAAAATGCAATGGAACAAACATCACTTGGAACGAAACTACTTTGGACAAGAAAACCATGCAGTATAAAGAAATGGCTTTGGCTGTGAGAAGTCTGTTGAAAAAGGATCTTGAAAACGTAACGGGCGTTACTGATTTTAAAGTGAAAAAATTCTTGAAGATTCACAGAAACCCTGGAACGTTTTGCGAATTTGAATTTAAGTCCGATCTTGGAAAAGAAAGAGTCGAAAATGAACTTGACAACGCCCTCGACATTTGCATGGAAAAAGCGTCGATCTTGAACCTTCGACAGAACATGAGCCTCCTGTTGCCTGGTGTAGAATGGAAGGATCTCTTTGCTGATTACAACAATTCTGAGTACAGAAGAATAAAAACAGCAATAGAAGATGCTCTTAACGAATTCTACCAAGACAAAGACGACGTCGTGGATTTTGAGGTCGTTTCGCTCGCTAAAGCAAATGACGGATGGACCTTAGCGAAGGTGGAGTACTATCTTTTGGTTTCATCAGCTACCAACGCAACAGGAAAAGAATTGCAAGACACACTTACAACGTTTACAAAAAGTAACACGTATGAAAAGACGTTCCCTGATGCCAAGCGAACACACGAAAAACGAAATACTGCTACTGAGAGTAGTGAGATGGATAAAGAGAACCAGAGGAGCAAATTGACAATAAGCTTGATTGTGGTGGCAGCGATAACCATTTGTGCAGTGATGATACTCTTCCTTATTGTGGTAAGTTCATTCATAAATTCCCAGCTCGAAATCGCTCGCTTAATTTGTTTTTTCCTCAATCGGAGAGTCCTTTCTAGTCAATCTACGTGAATCCTATCCATTCCCAGCCATCTTTGTCCTTCTTTCTTTTTGTTGGTTTCCCGTGTCGAAGTTGCTCTCAAAATTACATAAAACAATCGTGAAGCTGAGCTTGTTTACCACTCTCTATATGCAGTTTGTTTGCGGACTTTTAGTGCAGGTCCCAAGTAAGAATAGCAAACTGAGCGACATTAGAGTAAACGCTGTCATTTTGAACTTAAAACATTTCGGAGAGTTTATGTGAGACCTTAAGAGAGGCACAACTTCCTCACTGAAACTTGAAACTGTTAAGAATATCTTCCGGCTTATTTGGAAATTAGAATATTATAGTTTTTTCACCGCAGGTGAATAATATTTTGACAGGTTATCCGTCAGAATTGGAAATACATCAAAGAGCATGCACCCGAGGTCAAATTTGAAATGTACCGAAAAAGACGAAGCAGGACTAAGAATCTCCCCGAGAAAATCCAGAAAGAGGAGACCAAGAACACACCTGTTAGCAGTGAGGATTGCATTGTTGTGTTAAATTCATATGATAATCCAGTATCTTCTGAATCCTAACTTAATCTCTTAGAGAACGGTTGGGGGAGAAGGGGGGGCGGGAGTGAGTTGGTACTCCCCTATTTGGGTGTCTTTCTCCATCGGAGGCTTCAGTTAGAGTAGGAAAGTAGGCGGTGCGCTTTCTTAGCATTTCATGACATTTCTGCCACAGCATAGTGGAAAAAGCTCCATGAGATTATTATGGCTCAGTTTTAACAATATACACACGTTCTACTTACAGAGATTGCTTACATTATAAATTGCTATGTAAACGATGATCAGTCATTTCGCCTACGAGTCGTTACGCCAACGCCTCAGGACAGCGCCTTGCTAATAACGTATTGTAATACGTTTATTGTCGGATCGGTTCCATCGGCAGAACTTGAGCAACTTCTCATCGACCGTATGTTCACGGTACAACATTTCATTTGTCGCCACTTCGAAGAAAACAAAACTAAAAACAGACGTTATGACATAACCTAAAATGTTAGCGAAGTGACCTGAGCGAGTCGTAGGGCGAAACGACCGCAATTTCTGTAAACAACAATTTACTGTTGCATGTTCATCTAGGAATATGAATCATCTACGGATTTGAAACCTTAAATTAAGATTAACTTTAGGAAATAAACAGTGCGGGATCTCCGCTGTTATTTGATAATGGATAGACCATTTCGGATTTTCAACGTTCAAATGAGGCTAAGGACAAAATATTTCTTATAACAACATCTTTCCTTTTGGGATAGAATAGGAAACCATGTCCACATCAAAGATCTCGCACTTACCCACCATTTCATACGGAGGGTTTGGGCGTGTCGGAAATAGCCCACGATCCCAATTTTTACAGTCCTGTGCATTACACTGTTGCCAGTTTGATGCTAGGAATCTGTCAGTATGTTCTTCAAGAGTTTAAAACCAACAAAACCTCGGCAAAGGCCATAATAAAATGTAAATATTCGTTAATTTGGATGAAGGTCGATGAGTTTTTTATGAAAGGCTAAAGAGGTTTCTTAGATATTAGGTCTATTTACCAGCTATGAAAACTCTTTTTAATTAAGAAATACATTGCTTGTAAATATGTTGCCAGCCAACAGGGGTTTTATGCTTATTTGTATATGGCGTCTCTGTTTCATGGTAAATCGATTTAGAAAATGGCTCCCGCTCTTAGCTCGGCCGGTATGCTGTCTGCTGGTTCTCATTACCAGTGTATATGTGTAGGCAGTGTGGTAGTAGGCCCCTCCCTCCCCCTGTGGCTGCAATTGTATATAGTCAACTAGTCTGTCTCTAGTCAGTTGGGATTTTTAAACGCTATGTTTATTGACACACTATGTTTGTTTTAAATTAGATTGTATTGGCCCTGAAGAGCCCCTCAGAGAGTTATTATCATTATTATTATCACTATTATAACATCAAGGAAAATAATTACATCAATGTAAAACGAGGAACATGGTTGTTTGTACACAGTTAGTGTTTGCTCGCTTTTTTTTCTCTTTTGTATGAGAATCTTACAAATAGAAAGCTCTATCATCATAGTAAGCGGAGGAAATATTCATCAAATTAATATAGTCATGTGAGTAGGTCGTATCATTAAAGTTTGTATTTATCGAAGTCTTGATGTGATGTTGAATGTTTTATATTAGGTTTAATTGTGATGCATACTTATGAAACCCATACTATTTTTCTGTCCCATTAAAAAGTATGTTTACAAAATTTCCACTTACCGCGAATTTAGACTTCAAATAGTCATATAACCCTCAAAAACTGTGTGCAAATAATATGCTTGAAATTTTTCCTAAAACGCTGCCATTTTGAAAACATTTTAGTAACCTGGCCGTGGGTTCGCGCATGTCTCATAAAGTCACCTTACTCGTGCGGCCAGGTCATCAACCAAAATTAAAGCAAATTTGCAAGTTAGGGGCTTTCTAGAGAAGCAAATCTTTGCCTGCTATCCAGAAATAGAAAATGGGCTCACTTTCATAACTGGATTCTTTTAAATTGCAGCGATAAATTCAATTGTGGCCGGAATTGAAATATCCTTTATGCTGTGTTCAATAAAAAAAAGAGTATTTGATAAGAGAATCCAAAAAAATATGCTTAATTTTCAAAAAGCATGCCTCTGGATAGGAGAATTATAAGTGCCATCCTGTTAGAAAGCTGAGTACGCCTCGTTTATTTTTGTCACACTTGTTTATATACCGCCATTTTATGCGTTATTTTTCAATTCCTACACTGCTCCTTTTTTTCAAACTTAGTACGAGTTTATCACTTATCGAGTCGTGGAGCGAGACCAGTTAGATTATTCTGTAGCACTGTTATCGGTATCAGATGGGCGAAGTGCAAACCTCTGCAAAAAAAAGGTAAACGCTGTCATTATTAACATGTCATAAAAGCTCAAATTAATTCCACCACTTAATCCACTTCCTGGTATCTGAGCGTTAAAGCCGTTTCAACACTTCAGTTATTAGTAGACATATTTATTCTAGGTAATCATGCGTTGCAGATCTACACTCAGTGGCAAAAAAAGTTGGCATCCCTCCCCTCCCTCACTTGGTGGCCAACAACCCTCCACTCAACATGATGAACAGAAATCTTGTAATTTATCTCCGATACGTCATTGAAAGTCCTCGCAATGTTGTAGGAAATTAGTAACCATTCTGTTTACATCAGGTAACATTGAAATAAGGCAGAGAGGTTGATAAATAACCGACGGTTATACAAAAAATTCAAAATGTAGCAGAGAGCACCAAGACTTTTGCCCCTCATTGTAATTTTCCGAACTTACATCTTACCATATGTATGGCACACTTCAAACCAGAAAATTTCCTTCAATGCCTCAGTACGCTATACATTAAAAAATAAAAGTTATATCATATTATAGTGTGACTGATGTTGATTACGCACTCATGTATACATGCATATGACTCCATGAGAAGGTGGTTTTGTTCTACCCGACTTAATGAAAAGCTGTTGGTCTACGATGCCCATCACCGCGAAGTGATAGGCTGCGATTTAATCGCAACCTAACAACTTCTATACCTTTATGAGTCATAAAGGTATAGGATTTTTAAGCGTGGCCAATGTGATTGTATCAGCACCGTAACCCCTTTCATATCCACTTCTGATTAGGAAGCAGGAAGACCTACCTTGATCACTCCACCTAAAGGTCGAATCTCATGCTCTCTCCGTCGTCGCTCTTCGGAAATTTTCATTTGTTGTGATGCAGTAGCGCTGAGTGAAATATGTCTCAGCTTTTTGGGCTCGCTTCTCATTAGTTTGTTTTTATCATTTTCTTCTTCGTCGCTTGTGTTGATAGTTCCTTGTTCAAACGCTTGTACCTGCTGAAGTATCGCCGGAGTATATTTTAATTTGGTAAATTCAGATTCATCGCCTTCTTTCTGAGTTTCTTCATCCTGAGGCCAATCCTACGAAAATATATAAAAAAAGTCTGCTTAACCTTTAACTCCCATGAGTGACCAAGACAAAATTTCTCCTTACCAAATCAATACTATACCAAATAGACAAGTGTTGAGAATAAAGAGTAATATAAGTTAGGGGATTATTAGTTGACTCAAGACCAAATTCTCAGAACTAACATCATAAGAATTGTATGGCAGACAGTAAGGAGAATTACCAATGAGATCTTGGGATTGAAAGGGTTTTTAGACTGATCTCGCATAGCTGCCTAGTTTTTCTTGGTACTGTAATATGAAGTTTCAAAAGGCGCTGTTACTCCTCTTGACTTAATTTTAGTGTTTTGTCAAGTTGTTCTTGGCAAATTACAGGTACGCATTAACTTTTTAACCCTTACTAGTGACTTTCATTCAATATCTCCTTACAGTTTCATAGCTGATGAATGTTTCATGGAGAATAAGCACAATTATGTTGGTGTGTAAAGGGTTAAAGGCTTAGCGGAAATAGTAAAGTGCTTCTCCCAAGTACACAACATAATGACAGTGGGGATTCAGCACCCTTATTACAGCTGAATCATCCCTTTCTACATCCCACCTAAGAACAGATATTTTATTCTATAGTTTCAGACCCATTGCATTTGGTTTGATTTTGGGACCAACTTGGGACGCTAAAAAATTAGTTTAGTCTAACTCGTAACATTTATTTTATCTCTTTAGCAGTCGACACTGTGTTTACCTTGGGAGGGCTGATGAAAATTAACGGTTTGCTCATTGCAAAAGGAACCTTTCTTAGATGGGTGTGGTCTCCTGACATCGTGACGTCATCAATAAGGGAGCTTGAAGTGCTGAATTCACCCTGAAAAAATGGCGCAAAAAATAATTTACCACAAAAGATAAAATGAAACGAGTAATAAAGGATCGAATCTTTGAAATCAAGTTATCACCTCATGAAACTCGGGTGATGTACCAATTGACTGAGTCCGGGAACTTATACAACGAAGGCGCAAGTTTAGGATGGAAAACTTCCATAAATACTGCGAGAAAGCCCGTTTTGGCATGAGACATACAACAACCTTTTAGAACATAAGCATTCTATCAGTAAATATAGGTGAAAGATAGTGACAAAAAAAGAAAGAAAACCTTTCATTAACCCCCAGCACCCTAACATCAATATGCATTTTCTCCATACTATTCTGTTTACGTTTCCAATGGCACTGACGAGGAGAATTTGTTCGACAAACAGGAGCTTCCTCAATTAAAGATCAGTTACTTTATTCTCATGACCTTTACATTTGATTCAACAGTGATACTGTAAGGAGAAATAAGAACTCAAGTCACTTTAAGGGGTTAGAGTCCTACTAGTCCAGCCTTATGAATGATATGAACTTTACATACCTCATGGGCTGAAACGTTTGATATGACACTGGGAACAGTTGCCGATCCTGAAAAAACTGTAGATGAGTTATGTTCTGCTCGTTCGCCTGTGGCAGTTTTCACCTGATCAGAATCTTTCAAGAGCTCCATGAGTCTTTCCGCTGACCTTGAGGTGCCGATGGAAAATGATCGACTCTGGTATTTCTGATGATTAACGACAAACCGCTCGGGGATTAGGATAAAATTATTAAGGGAGCAATACACACTTTTGTTACTTTACTACATGCAATATTTTGCTCCTCATTTTATGAAGCGTGATTATCAGACACTCTCGGGAAAAAATGGTTTATTATCTTGTAATTCCTTTGAAATCCAAAGTACTTGAGAAAATCACGTATGCTTTGGTACAGTTTTATACTCATTTTTCCTCTCCGCCTTAAGACTTATTCTCATTCTTTAGCATGCCCAGAACGGAAGAAAACTAATTTCCTTAATGTACTGTTTCTTAAGAAGGCGGGGCCACCAGAAGGCACACAAAGGAATGCTAGCACCAGGGCAAGGAATGTGTCACTCCTTCTTTAGGGACAAAAATCACACGGATAAAGGTTACTACACCTTTACTTCCTTTTTGCTATCAAGCATGGTCGTAAGTTCATCAGTAGATGACGCAGCCACAATGGACAGCGTTTCCCTTGCCCCGTCTTGCTGCAACTGTTGTTGGTGTCTGAGGTCTTCAGTGACACTTCTCTCTTGAGTTAGGGCTTTCTTCAACAATCTGTTTCTTATCTAAAACAAGTTTGTTAAAAGATCGAGGTGGTAGTGAGAGGCGTTGTCGCAACGAAATTGGCTGGGTATCATAAAATGACATTATAACAAGTGGAACGAAAATTATTGCTTTCGTGCTGTTGTATCAGACCTTGCGTCCATACAACCAATCTACACTGCATACAACGGATGCAGAATCGTTTTGATACACCCTTGATAGTTTGTATGATATAGGCGTAATTTTCACACCAAAAAATTAAAGGGACAGAAGAAAGTTTAAAAAAATTTTTTTCAAAGTGCTTTCCTCTCACTTTTAGACGCAAAGTCAGCGCTTCCGTATCCATCCACTTTGGAGAGCCCTGTCGAAAAATTCCATATCCAGGAGCCAATTTATCCGAATTGGGTTGATTAGGTTGTGCATCCAATATTAAATTCTCTAAACTAATATCATAAGAGCTGTAAGGCAGGCAGTAAGGAGAATTATTTATGAGATCATGGAGTAAAAGGGTTGATACATTATTATAATAAACGCTGATAAAAAAAATTATCGATCTCTCTCATCCTTTACTTACCAAAAGACCAAGAATGAAGAAGAGAAGAACAATAACAATCACTATACCACCGAAAGTAATTATCATCCACAGCTCGATCATGATCATAGACCCTTTGTTGTCCTCATTTTCTCCACTTCTTTGGTCCTGCGGTGACTCTATAACAACATTCTTCAACTTAAAATTTGCCAGCGAACCCGTGGACGAAGCTGAGACAATCGCCTTTTGTAACTCTTCAGGGGAGACATTTTCATTTCCATTCACAAACACAACAAAGTCTGTGATCACACTTCCTTTATAGAACCAGCGCACTGCACACATGATATAACCAGGAACAGTATTTTGTAACGAGCTGTCCAATGCTTTCTGGAGAGAGTCTTTGAGAATTTTGTACTCGTCACTTTTGACATTTGCATATTGAGGTTTGTAATCGATGTTTGTGATTGCAAATCGCCCTTTAAACTCACGTGGACTTACAATGTTTCCTTCTCGGTTTGTGTTTAAATCTTCGTCGTCTTTAATTGGCGCTGCGATTGATGACGTGGGCGCCGTTATTGTTGGAGATGGTGATATTGATGTTTTTATGTGTGATAAATCGCTTTGATTTTGACGGCCTTGTGTTAAAACTGGTAAAACTGAAAAAAAAAGTGTTTGATACCCAGATAAATGTGACTTTCTGCGTTGCATTGACTTAAGTAAAACAGTTCGTGCAAAGCAATTGGTTGGAACACTTGTTAGCGCACGGGTTTAAAGAGCGAGAGTCCGCAGGTTATAAAACTCTACTAGACCACCAGCCGTAGTCTAATGATATTCCATTACGCAGGAAAAACGTTGAAAGCTTAATTGAAGATCATTCACTGAGCCTCCATTCACGATTTATGGTGAAGCTGCGAGGCATTCTAAGTGCAATTAGAGCGATTTACACGGAATTTGCTTAGTACCTGGCTACAGATTGTAACAGATGATAAACCGTAACATTGGAGGAATTTCCTACAGCAATTTCGAATTTTCACTGCCCTCAGCATGTTTTAAAACATGTTTGTTTGGCAAAAACAAGACTTACAAGTGACTAATTAAACCAAATCCGCGGTCTTTTGAGCCGTCGACTTTTGCAACACTAATTTGCCCAATCATCTCTTTGTTTCAACTAGTCATTTCGAAATCCCTTAAAGTAATAGCTGGATTTCTTCTTCATGTTTTATGTCTGCACAGAATATTCAGATGTATCTCGACACCTGCAAACAGGTCAAACTTAAAAGCAGGATTGTTTTGACATTCAATATACGTATACTCAGCGGGCCTACACATTATAATTATGACATCTGTTATTGAAGTTTGCTATCCTTCAAAACTGACTCGATGACATTAGTGATCCAACAATGAGTGGGCAGGAAAATTTCAATAAACAATTTATGCTTTTAGCTAAAAATAAATTCATCCTAGGTTCACTGACTTAAAAAAGGTAATAATGATAGTTTGTAGATGTTCTGAACCTGTCAAAAACTTTTTCCGATGAGATTATGGGGCCGATTTTTAAAAGTTCAACCAAGGGGATTTTCCAGAACTGTGTAATATCCGAAAAAAAATTGAATACGACAAAATTTCCTTGTGTATTCAAATGTCTTTTACAACGAACAACCATTAAAATAATTTCAAAAATTAGCTTCTACATTTTTCATGGTCTAATCCAAATTCAAAATTTTTCGGGAATCTTTGAGAAATCATCAAGCGAGTCCTATATTTACCTCAGACTTACTTAGCCACCGTTCAGTCTCTGTACAGGACCTGGATTATGCCTAAGGAAGTCCTTTCCTTCCACGCTTAAATCAATTTGTAAACGACTTTGCAGAATCTATATCATGAGGTAGCAGTTATACAGGAAAACACTGCGAGTTGCTGAAGATACAAAGAAATCCCTATAATAAAACAGGAGCAGACATGCCGTCTTATTATTCACCTACCTTCGGCTAACAAAAATAATTTCCAACACATTCTGGGACACATCGCCATATGCCATCAAACAGATATTTTGGCGTTGTCTCCAGCTCTAAAGGTAAGAATCGACTGGCTAACGGTCAGTGGTTTTTCTGCGTAACTTCGTTGCATACAAATTGGCGTAAGATATTTAAATTTTGTAGCCTGACCGATGCTTCGATTCCTATACACTTATGAGTAACCTTTGCAAGACAATCAGCCGATTTGGAAACAATCAAAGTATTCTCTCGAAACAATAGATTGCCAAAAAGTCGGCGGATAACATCTGTTCAGAATAATTTAAAGACTAAATTTTTTCGCAGAGCACTGGGAAGCTATTCAAAACTAGTAAGGAGAGCATCACCACTGTGAAAGATATTTCATGCATTCAGAACACAATCTAGCTTTTCAGACAATGTATTCATAAAATAAGAAAATTCAACTACTTTTGATCTACGACAGAACCTAGGTACAAATTTATACTTAATGAAAAAATGAAAACATAAAAAAAAGATAAATCGCGAAACATACTTTAAAGACATATTCGGAAATGAATGGTAGGGGAACCAGTTATTATTTCTCTCCGGGAGGGGGTGGGGGAGGTCGGAGGATTTTTGGGGTATTACATGGCTTTCAGTGAGAACGGAGGGGGGAGTGGGATCGTCGAATGAAAAGGGGGACTATACAGAATTGACAGCCAGTGATTGGGGGATCAATAAAATGTTAAGCAGCCTTATTGGGGGATCAGGTAGACTTTATCGTGATTCAAACAAAATTCTCTCACCCCCCCTCCTCCCAGGCGATAAATAACAAGAGGTCCCTGACAGGTCCTTAATAACAGGTTCCTAACAGGTCCCTAGTGACAGGTTCCTAAGAGGTCCTTTGTTAAAGATACAAAACGTAGGCCACTCTATAGTAATTTATTGGTATAATTGTTTTTTTTAAATTTCATTTTACAATAAAACTATTTCGATTTTAATTTTGTACGCGGCCTTGGTCGTATCGTGAATTTTGCAATTGCAAACCTTCCGCAAGGTAAAGATTTCACGTGGCATGTCCGATTACAACTCATTACCAGTAATGAATTCCACAATATCGGTCCTAAAATTAAAATATATTTTGTAATTGTTCATTACCCAGTCTGATGACGAATGCCAGGTGGGGGAAGGGCTGTTTGACCCTTTCTATATAGGGTCATATAGCCCGAACAAAAAAAAAATACTATTTAGAGGCACACACCAAGTTGGACATACCATATCCTATCTTCACCTTACTGAAAGTTTGAATTTCCAGGGCTAAATTAACTACCCAATCATGCTACGTGTAAAATTAAGATCGAAATGGTTGTATTAAAATTATACCTTGAAATACACTGCACTATTCCTCTGATTTGATAGAAATACCATTTCTATGTAATTTTTGTTCTTGAATTTTCCTTTAAAGATTATTTCATACAGAAATAAAGTCTTCTTTCTTCGAACAGATAAAATCTCGAACTCTGCCTTCTCTTTCCTTTACTTCATTTTTGTTTTGGGTTCAGTTTTATGTTCATCATTGTGTCTATTGAGAGCACGCCTCATATAAGATTTAGTATGGGTAATAACATGATTTCGAGTGCAATTTGGTGTGATAAGCGCGAGTTAATTTTTTCAAAGATGTCAAAATTGCATAAGCACGTAAGGCAAGTGCAATTTTGTAGTCTTTGAAAAATTTACAAGTTCTTATTACACCAAATTGTACTCGAAATCATATTATTACCTGTTAATAATTAATATACATGAAAAAACATCATAGAAAGTCAAGACAGACGAAATTTTGCAAGGGCGCGCGCGCTATTTGTAATTTGCACTCGTGTTACAACTTTGTATTTGCGTTACACAAGAATGCACTCATTTCCAGCCAATCTGAAGCGCGTTATTTTTTCATGTACGTTATTATGTAAACTATCACCAGCCTACTATCAAATTTGCCAACCTTGTCAACTCCATGCATGTTCATTCCCTGAATGAACATGCATGGTGGGAAAATGAGAACGAGTATTCTTCATTACTGATGCATTCGCTGCGATAATTAACCGCAATATTTTATCGCTACTATACAGACAGACGTGGTAGGCTGGTCGTTTCTTAAAATATGCATGTAAATGAAAACGAATTAAGCATGCCCATCGGCTAAGAGTAAGTCAACTGATTGTGCACCGAGAAAAAAGTTCAAATTGAGCGCCAAAAGGTCCAAGGAAGTTGAAATTAAAGCAATGTTGTTAGCAAAATCAAACAATTTGAATTTCAACCGTATCGGTTTTACTCATGTGAGTACTTACAACCTGGCACTGACATAAAATTAGCTTGGTCTTATTGAAGAGTTAATTTCAAAATTTTCGAGCACAAGAATAATTTATTTACGTAAGATTTGTTGGTACGTGCTAACCAACAAAACCGAGAAAAAAAAGACAAACGGCCTTATTTCCGACTCCATTTTTAAAAATTTCAATTAATATTTCGAATTCCTTCGAGAGTGCAGCGGAATAACTAGTTAATAGGCTTAGCTGCCTCGACATGACGATCTCCAAGGTGTCGATCAAATGCCTCCAAAGGTGGAACGTCGCCAATTTCTTGGATCGCTTTCATTAGCTCATGCACGGTACCTTTGGATCCCGTGGCTCGACTCCATCGGGTGAGGACTTGATAAGCTCTCTCTTCCTCTGAATGATTTTCAGTCTGAATAGTCTCAATGACTGTGTCTTCTACCGAGAGAGACCTTCCAAGCCACTTCCATTTATAGGCCAGTTCTTTAGCGACTAAAGCAAGGCAGCAAGACTTAACAGGTTCTGGATAACAGAAATAAAAAAAATTCAAACACAAATCGGCAGAGGCACAATAGGGACTCCTGATATTTTGAATTGAGATTGCACTTACGAAATCAACTTGGCACGCAAGCAGGAGTGAAGCATACGTAAGAGAAGCACTTGGTCTCAGTAAGGTATTGACTTACTTGAATAACAAGGAGAGTCCTCTGGGACCTTGGAAACGGTATTTTGTGGCTAAGGAAAGAAAAAGAATAAACTTTAGGGCTACAACAGCGATCAGTAGGTATCAACAAGGATAGCTTCAGGAAGAAGAATTCAACGGAGCATTTCTTTTTAAACATTGCCTTGCCTTAACAAGCCACTGTTTGATTTCTTCGAATTCATGGACTGGTGTGGAGTTACACCACAAAGGCCTGGATGCGACAGCCGGGTCTATGTAAATTACGTGATGACGAACACTTTCGCTTGAAGAGTCGACGGAGGACTCCCGCTCACCACACTCGGCCTCATCATCGTCGCCATCATCACTTTCGTCAGAAGAGGTGTCCACTGGAAGAACTATACCTTCACTCGATGACCCGGGGCAACGTGGGTTGGGACAGGTAGGTCCGAAACTGAACTTGAGAAATCGGAACTGGCGCTGGCAGATGTCTGTCATTATCGACATCAAGATGTTAAACAACTCATGAGGCTTTTTGGTATTTTTGTGCCTGTAAGAGAAATGAAAGAAGACAGAATTATACACCAGGAACTATCATTTATCCCGGTGGCTTAGATTGAAGGAGACCTTTTCTAACATCGAAAAGTTTAGCCAAAAACTCATATTTCCCGAGAAACAGAAAACGTCCTCAAGAGAATGATTAAATGATGCAAATGAACATGACACAGAAGAACTTATTATGCCACCACCATGTTAATAAGAACAATTCGTCAAATCAAAAGTCTTCATACGACACTAACGCTCTCAATTACTGGAGATGATGCTGTAAGGTTGGAGACTAAAAGTAGTGCTTTTCCTACTGGATGGGATATTAGTCCTAAATAGGGTATTAGGGATCCACCTTCATCAAGTTGAAAAGAGCACTTACCGGGCCCTAATTCGAATTTGGTTGTGTTTCTGACACATCTCGGTAAGAATGAAGAAACTGTCTCCAAATGAGAATATGGCCATCCTTTTGGCTATGATCGGTCTCATACCATTACTGGATTGGCTTCTAGAGCCAGTGCGAACAATGAAGTGGTGAAAGAGTGCAGGAGGCAGGAAACTACGGAAATCAAACATTAAAACTTTGTCCGAGGTACAAATTTCAGTCCATCTTTTCCGACAAAGCTTATTCCACTTTCCTTTCAAGCATTTATCCTTTAGATGAAATGGTACGATGTATTTGCTGATCTCTGATTCATTCTCATCACCTTTAACTGGTTTAGTACCGTCTTCACGGTCTTCATCCTCTACAGAAGAAGAGATTGGGCACAGCATACCACAAGCTTCCAAGATGCCAACAAGCTGGGTGGCAGGGCTTTTGAAGTCTTTCCAAAGATACTCCAAAAGATTGAGGTTGGCCACTCCGTGCTCTTGCAGGATCTCCCACTGACTCTGATGTTCACGATCAATATTCAGGTGGTCTGAAATGTCGTGTAGGCGGGTCATGACATCAACGAGATACTGTGGATTGACTACCACGACATCGTTTAAGTCGGAGTGGTGTGTCTTTGATCCAACTAGCTCTTCTGAAAATAAATTCTAAATTATTATTCTAGTCGAGCTGAGGGGAATATAAAAGTATGACTTAGGGTTTGAATAACAACCTACTTTTTTGGAAATAAATTAGCCGCGTCAATGGCTGGCCTTAACATAACAGCCTAAGTTTATGCTTGTGAAATTCAGAAAATGCGGTTCTATTTTTTGGGGGGATTTCTCTCAAGAACTTGACATAAATATCAATTAAATCGTTTGCATGATATTTTGTGGGACAAGATTAATAAGAAAAATTAAAATTAAGACTTTTTACTGACCTGGCAGGATGATCACACCACTGTCGTGATAGAACTGCAGCATGCTTCCAAACTCTCTATCATCGATATTACGGGATGTACTCTGCTCCAGCATCTGTTTTAGGTCGGACTTACGGACACATGGCGGGAAGTCTTGGTCCTCTCTGCACTTCAGAATTTCCTCCTCAAAATCAAGCCATGATAGGGGAAACTCCTCATCCATTTTACTCAGGCGTGTTGCTTCATTTTCGATGGCCTTCTTTAAGGCCCCTGCACCGGGATCTTCGCCACCAAGGGTGTTTTCTACTGGAAAGAGAAAACTGTTTTCCTTGCTTTTTACAAGCTGTTGACCAAACTTCTCAGTTAATTTTTCATAAAGCGTCTTCTCTGCTGTTGCCTTGTCTTGCTCGCTCACCTCGCCGCTGTGTGTTCCCACTAAGAACACAGGAGTCGTGTGAGGAGCATGCACGCGTATGGAATTGAGCCAATAACTAATCTCTTCTAAAACTTGGTTGGCACTGTCAAGGTTACACAGCCGAGCCAAATTTAGCACAGCAAGGTAAAAGGAACGCCTGTTTAGGAAAACATGATGCATAGCTTCGTACAGAGAATGGCCAGCAAAGTCCCAAATGCTGATCTTAGCGTACTTCTTTTCGTTCTCACCCAAAGACGTTTCCGAATTCAGACTAAGCCTTCGCATGATCTCTTCGATTGGTATCTCACGTGAAGACCTCCTTTCATGAGTAAGACTGAGCAATGAGGCAGGTGACTCTGTCGCTAAGTTTGTCTGCTCCCCGTTGCTTGCACTGGTGCTCCCCGAAGTGGATGGACCTTCTATGCTACGAAGTCGCCTTACGTAAGAAGGATGTTGCCCTCCTGGCAAAAAGGACGGTCCTTGGTGAGAATGAGTCAGCCGTCTCCCTCGAATAGGACAAGGATGGCCCACCCTTGGGGAACGTTGAATTCCTTGACAAACTTGATCTACTAAAATTTCATCCACCTGGGACTTATTCGGGTCTGCGGCATGCCACGACACGTCTAATTCTGTCTTCTCGACCATGGAAGTGTCAATTCCATGAGTTTCTTTTCTTTCTTCTTCAAACTCCTCCCCACTGAGAGAACGTACAAGGCTGGTCTTTCCGACCCCTACATTCCCTATGACAGTGAGCTGCATGCGAGATATACGTGCTTTTCCCTCACGTAGTGCCTGATTGAATATTTCAACTGCCAACTCACCCCTTGCAAGGACTTCATATGGTTCATTGGAAAATTCTGCATTAGTTAAAATGCGTAAAATCATTTATTAATCATTAGCTTTGTTCTAAAAGCCTACACATTTGACGCCAGGTCATATTCCCCAATAACAACAACAACAACAACAACAATAATAAACAGTAAGATATTGGCAAGACGATTTTTAATCATTGGACCAGTCATCACTCATTTATTTTGACTGTGGTCAAGCACGGTCTTTGATTCCCAACCGTACCTGATATGCATAATCAATGTGAACAATGTTAAATTCTGAGTCAGTAACTTTATTTCAAATATTACCGGTTAGGCCTCAAATGGGGCAGCTTTAGCAATAGGAGGGGTTGCTTTTTAGACAAGAATTTTTTTTGGTAAAAATTGCACTTGGTGGGTAATGGAAAAGCTGGACCCCACTAGGCCTATCTCAATTCTGTTTGTAAAATGCTGGAAAGTTGCCAGCTAGACTGCTAAAAACTTGAAAAAAATTGCAAAAATTCAAAAAGTTACTTCTTAAATTTCTTGAAATTTTGATATAAACGTTAATTAAAAGCTTTATTTTTCATTTCTCGTGATAAAAGCTAACATAGTTCAAGAAAGATAGCTTGAAACTTATCTTTAAAGAGTTTCTCGCAGATATGGGCAAAATTTAAGGATACTCCTAAACCTAGCAGGACAAAACACATGCTTGAATGTAATTAGATCTATTGATTGCATTCTCAGAGTCGAAACCATATATCTTTTGAATGTTTTCATGAAATTGTTGACTTTGTCGTATTTGATGTGCACTCTAAACCTATATTTTGCTTTAAAATTGCTCAGAAAGGCAAAAATTGCTAATGCTAGTTAGCCCCTCAAAACTATGTTGCTCCGAATGTTAAAGGTTGATCAACCGGGACAGGCCTAAACCCCAAATGTCTACACAGTGAGAGGGAAAGCTGGAATATGGATTCTTCTTTTATAGCAGTAATCATCCTGATAAAAAAGACATAATTTTATTGTTGTTGTAGTGAACTTTACCTTCATTGTTGGATTGACTAATCACCCCACCATGGCATGGGTCTGGGAGTTCCATGACTGGCGAGGAAACTATTGGACTGCTTTCTCCGCAAAGACTCTTCCATACAAGTTCAATTGATCCTTCCACATCCAGCCTGTATTCCGTCTCTGTAAAAGACCAAACACTGATCATTTCAAAACTTTTTTTGTTGTAAACAAAATCATGTAATCAGGTGAATAAGCGTGCACATTTTGATGACATTGTAATATTGTGTTTCAATCGACGAATGATGGTCTTATGGTCTTGAATGAACACAGTGGTCTACATTTCTTTTGCATAAATTCGGTACACAGAGTTCACCTTTTGAATTGGAAAAATGAATAAAAAAATCATCAGAGGGAAAAAAAGATGTAGCTAAAAGCGTGCACGAAGCTTGTTGCTCAAGGATTCAAATTAGGACCTTGACAGCAACTACTTGATGAACGTTTTGAAATTGCATGATTTTTCCACAAATTATAGGTTACATTGTTCCATACGCTCGAGACTTTCTACCTATCAAGTTATTTTTTTCAAGTTTTAAATTAAATGTACCGTAACCGATGATATAACACGCGTGATTGGTACTAACACAGCCATCAATGGGGTAACATTGGCCCTGTCATTTCTCTTAGGGAGGCTCCAAAGGGTTTTTTTGACCGCGCGAGATCTGAGTACGAACATAACACGATCTTTAAAAGTGTCAACATGCAAAATAAACATGGCGGCTCGATAGGATAGCCCGATCGTTTTCTGAAAAGGTGTGTTAAAAACAGTTTAACACAATACAGTTTTTATGTGATGGAATCTAGGGTTTCCAGCAACTGCACCCGTAATATTCATAGACTTTCCACGCCTGAAAAAGAGGTCAACCGAAAAGAAAACACCGTGGGAAAGATTTCCAAATTAGCGGGCGACAGATTCGTAAGTCTACACTTGCTCAGATACCGATCGCGGCGAAGTTCTATTCCATTACGTAACGTTTTGCGACAAAGAAAATAGGGATCTTTCGAGTAAGATTTATCGCGTTTCCTTCGGCGGAATTTCCTTAGATTAGCTGGACCGTTAAACATATTTTTACCCTTCCCAATGCCTGCTGATAATAAAAAATTCATAAGACCAAATTCAAGATAGAGGAAGAAAACACAAAATTGCAAATAGCGAGGAAACTGCCATTATGACCCCTATATTTTTCGGCTTTGAGATGATCTGCAGGTCGATTTTCAAAACTGGGAAAATTTTGAGAGATTTTACCAAAGCAAGTTGAAGAAATTCAAAGGCAAAGCCAAATTACCACTGACGAGCGCGTCAACATTCAGCAAAAACTCAATAGAGCCTCCTTAAGTAAGCATGGTGACCTATCCTTTTTACTGCAGTTTTCGAAACAGACATTGGTAGGGAACTTTAATGATAATTACAAATCGTTTAATAATTTTTTTTACTGAGAAATCACCCTTATGGTGAAGGAACTTTTTTGTTTTTTTGAATTGTATACGCGTGCTTCAATCAAATCCAATTTCGGGCCGGTCTATGCATGTATTACTCTTTCCAGATAATCTTACATACATACTGTACATACATGAGAGGGGTTAATTCGCCAATGGAAAACTCGCAAGGGAAGGAATTCTTGTAGCTTCGTAAAGCTTCTGTTGTTATAATTTCTTCCTCCATCAATATATGACCCGGGTCTGACTGAATAATAAACAAGCGAAAATCAACGGTGGTTAAGATTAAGCTTAACATTAAACATCGTACTTACCAGCTAAATAATAAACAATTAAAGACAAACAAAATGGATCTCTGGCTAAAGAAATCGGTGTGTTTCCACTTAAATCACGTTTACGTAGCCTTCCACCCTTCCTAAGCAGTAACTTGAGACAAACGCCATGTCCTTTCCAAGCTGCGAGGTGAACAGGAGTTCGGCCATCGGCAGGATCAACGACATTTGGGTCTCCATCGGGCCAGCTAAGCATAATTTTTAAGCACTCATCATGTCCACCGAAGGCTGCACAATGCATTGGCGTGTAGCCCGTCTGAGGTTTTGACGGGCGATGAGAATCGCCGGGACAATTTGCGGCTTCAGTTCTCATTAATTGCTCAACCAGTTGAAATTTTCCCGTGCAAGCGGCGTGGTGTAAATCTTTCAAATGGTGGCGATTGTTTTCCAGGTGCTGGAGTAACGCACTCGTGCTCGAAAAGGAACGAACACAATGACCGCAACTTTCTGGCACGCCAGCTTCGGTGATCTGATGTTTTGAACTGTGTTCTAAATGCTGTATAAAACTCTCTTTAGATTCCTTTCCCATGAATCGCCGATTGCATTTCGCACAGGTGTGAACAGCCCTTGCACAGGACATATGTTTGTCGGCAAATGGCATCTTTGATCCGGGTAAAACACCGAAGGAAAGAGTAGGTGTTCGACGTATCTCTTACACAGGAATATTGGTCCTTCATTGTCCATTTCTAAGAACTCTGGGGCACGTGTTTTCAGAGAATTTGCGGATGTTCCCAATCCTTTTCATTTACGACTTTACGAAAAAAACTGGGAACTAGGAAGTCGGGATCACTTCCGTTTGGCCTGTAGCCCACGGCATCCGGTCGGTGGAAGAGAATTGGAAAAACCGAACGGAATTTTTCCACTCCCAAGGAACAGAACTGGATTAAAATTGTTCTTTTCCTGGGAGAGAAAACTTGGTCAATAAGGCGACTTGAAATTTTTCCAAAAAACTTAAATTAAAGATGCAGATGATTGTAATGTGGAAAAATGTGCAGCAAATGTGTAGAATGCGTGACAGGGTTTGCGTTTTCGTATAAAGTTTGACATGAGTGGTTTATTCGTGATCACGGAATATATCTTATACAACCAGCCATAGGATACTAATAATTTTCAGATTTTGACGTTTGCTTTATCTAAAATTTTGTTGTACAAACACACTATTTATTACTGACATTTGATTAAAGCGGGGATGGCATTCCATAGGGCGAGGATTGACGAGCTGTGTGACAAGACAAGTTTTATTTTGCCTTGACAAAAAGTTGAATAATGCGATTTTCAAAACAAACAGTTACGAAAGGGGCTGTCATACTTTAACTGGCAATGCTAAAAACAATGAAGCAGTTAATGATAATACCGTTCGGTTTCAATCCGCATTTCGAAACTCAACTCGAAATCAAAGGGCTAATTCATGTAATTTACGTGTCTTCCTACAACAGAATTTATCAAGAGTTTCGCTAAAAAAAGTCCCTTTGCTGCACAATCCTTATCCTTTCGATGCAAGATATCCCTAACAATGAACGGGCTTGAAAATTTCATTCAACAATTCATCCCTTTTGCTAAAAATAAAATTTTCCTGGGTTCATTGATTTAAAAACAAGCTAAAAATGATAGTTTGTAAATTTTCTGTTCGATGAGATTGTGGGCCGATTTCTAAAGTCGAACCAGGGAGATTTTCCGTAACGGTGTGGTATCCAAAACAATATTAAATACCACAAAATTTCCTTGTGCTTTCAAATGTCGTTTATAGAGAAAAACATTGAAGTAATTTACAAAAATTCGCTCGCGGTAATTTCTTCATTTTCCATGGCTTGATCAAAATTCAAAATTTTGCGGGATTTTTTGTGAAATCATCCTGCAAATTCTATATTTACCTCAGACTTCCTCAGCCACCATTCAGTCTCAGAATGTTCTGAATAGAACCTGAATTCGGTATTAGCAAATCCTTTCCTTTAAAGCTTAAAATGGCTGACGATCAAGGCCGGTTTCGTGTCGATAACTTCCGACTCTATGTCCTCTGCGTTGCACATGAATTGGCGTAAGATATTTAAATTTTGTAGCTCAGCCAGTGTTTTGATTCCTATACACATAACATTGACATTTGCAAGACAATCGGCTGATTTGAAAACAATAGATTTCCATTAAGTAAAAAAAGTGACATCTGTTCAGAATAATTTCTTGGCTATATTTTTCCGCAGAAAACTGAGAGGGGGAAGCATCATCATAGTGCACGATATTTTGTGCACTGGGAAATTGATCTATTTAGTAAGACACCGTATCCATAAAATAATAATAATAATAATAATAATAATAATAATAAAAAGCATAACTTCATTTGATCTCCAAAGCACATTTTGTAATAAAAAATAAAAAATAAAAATAAACTCAAAACTTCCTCTAACCCTTGAACTCCCATGATCTGATTGTTAATTCTCCCCTCTAGCTGCTATATATTTCCTTTATCTTAGTTTTGAGAATCTGGTGTAAGATGAAGAAAACAACCTTAAACTGATAAGTTTGAGTATTCTCATTACCTGTTTGCTGGATAATAATTGGCTATTATAGAGAGAAGTTACATTTTAATCATTTCTGGGAGTTAAAGGGTTAAAGACATGTTTGGAAATGAAGGGGAAGCCCCTTTATGATAATTCACCGTCATCTATTGTAGTTTCCATTTTACAATCAACCTATTTCAATTTCAGTTTTTCTTTTCGTGTTCGGTAATAATTTTTGCCCGGGAAATTCGGTAAGGTAAGGATTGCGTATGGCATGTTTTACTCAAAGCATGTTTCTAGAAGCTTTTTTACGCGCCTTTTCTTTTCTTTTCTATTTTTTTTTTTTTTTAATCTTGCACTTAGACTGAAGTAAAGTGCAATATACGTAAAAAATGAGAGGAAATTCCGGCAAAACTCATTGTTAAATTGTCTAAACAAAAAATAAGACAACAGGAATGCTTTGGATGGTATCCAAAAGGTTGAAAAAAATTACTTTCTTTAGATCAGAAATGAAATGTGTTTCAATATTTCGCTCTTACCTATTAACAAATTCTCTTGAAAGAAATCTAGGAAGATTTGTCTCGAATTTCCTGGCAGTTTTTGTTCCAATCGCGTCTTTTACTCTGCCAGTATAAAACATTCTAAGAATTCAAAAAAGTTATTATGTTTCTGTTCCATTTAAGTCCTAAGTCCTAACAACGAATACAATAGTTTTAAATCATTCTCCGCCATATTCTTATCTACTTTATGAGAAAGTTGGGGAAGTTTCAGTGAATAAAGATAATGATATACGCTGTCGGCCTTCATTAAAAATCTCAAATTATGCCTGAATCCTTGAAATTATCTGTTTTTATCAGAAAAAAAAAGCCAAAACCAATTTTGCTTTTCTAACGACTGTACGCTGCAGTTGATTGTGTGGTGTGCTTCTCCTATTAAGGGTAGTCCCTCTTTCTGCATGTCACTCGACAGACAGACAGACAAGGAGAAAGGTGGGCAGAGAAGAGGTCATTCCAATCTAAACTGAGAATTTTCTTACTTGGCCGCAAGGGTTAACTTCAAAATGTTCTAGGAGCATCCTGGTGATTCTCACATGGGATTGCTAAAAGTTCAGGGTACGCGGTGGCTGAAAAAAGAGATAACGAGAAAACTGTTGTTACTTATGCTTTCTAATCTAGAGGTCTGTGTGGAGAGGAAAACAGCCTACTGAAAGGAACCAGGATCGGCTGCATTAACGTGACGATCACCAAGGTGTTGCTCAAATGCCTGCAAAGTTGAAACGTCGCCAACCTCTTCAATTGCTTTTATCAGTTCAAGTACAGTCGCTTTGTGACCCACGGTTTGCTCCCAATGGATGAGGACTTGATAAGATCTTTCGTTCTCTGAGCTGTTTTCAACATGGATATTTTGAATGGTTGTATCTGATACAAGAAGGGCTCTTCCAAGCCACTTCCAATTGTTGGCCAGTTGCTTGGCGACTACGACAAGGCAGCAACTCTGAACTTGTTCTTACGAGGCAAAAACAGAGCACATAGGTTGAAAAAACTGAGAAACATGCCAAACTTTGAACATGCACCCCACAAATAAACATTGAGATCCATTTGATCCAACAATTGATCAAGCCGAAATTAGATCAGCCTCAGTTAAAATGAGTTTTGCTGATCTCTTTCTTTAAATTTCATTAGCAGTAGCTCTGAGTTGTGTCATTCAGCATATTCAAAACTGCTGATAGGAACTATGGTCTCTCCCAGAGGATACTGCTATATTTATAGAATAATAATCATTTGGCTCCATCTCAAGGATCAGCATGATGTTACAAACGCTCATTCGGCAGAGGCAGAGTGTGGTTTTGTATATACTACGTTTATTGTACATTACAAGTCAAGTCAAAAGGGCATGTAGAAAATGGTGAAGTAAAGAGGAAGTTCTTGTTTTCAACATGAAAATTGACTTACCAGAATAACAAGGAGAATCCTCTGGGACCTTAGAACTGCCATCTTGCGGCTGCGGAAAGAAAATTCAAGAAAGAGAGAGGAGAAAATTATAACTTTTTCACGAAAAATGAACCGACGCATGGTAATTTTCCGAAACAAAATTGCTTTCTTTTTTTCAAGATCTTTAACGGTTCTCTGAAATGAGATTGATTATGAAATAATTTTACGGGAATAACCAGAAAGTCTTTTGACCTTCAACTTCTCTGGCCTAGAATTTACGCCGAAAGAAAAGTCTTTAAGATAAGACATTGGGGCGATTCTTTGTTTAGATACTTCCTTACCTCGACAAACCACTGTCTAATTTCTTCAAATTCGTGGACTGGCGTAGAGTTACACCACATGGGCTTAGATGGTACAGTTGGGTCAATGCAGATTACGTGGCGACGAACGCCTTCGGCTGGGGAATGGACAGAGGACACGTGCCCACCACCTTCGCACTCTCTATCATCATCGCCTTCATCACTTTCATCAGAGGAGGTTTCCGCTCGGCGAACCGTTCCGTCACTGGATGACCCAGGGCAACGTGGGTTAGGACAGACAGGCCCAAAGCTGAACTTAAGAAATCTAAACTGGCGCTGACAAATGTCTGTCATTATTGACATAAGTATGTTAAACAATTTGTGGAGCTTCTTGCCATTTTTGTACCTATGAGGGGGGATAAATAAATAAATAAATAGATAAATAAATAAATAAGTAGAGAACCTATACACAAATGGAACTATTAATTAACTTCTACGGTTATGATTTGAAGAAACCTCTTTAATGTCTCGTTCACATGTGGTAGAGCGAAAATCTACAATTCCTAATTTCTAACAATCTCCACGAGAATAATTTATAGATGTTAATGCGTATGACTCAATGACACCGACTGTGCCACTGCTATGTCAATGTATTAAAATTTCGTTAATGAACAGGCTTCAAATGAGAGATGCTGACCCACATGGCAGCCATTCAAACTGCTGACCCCAGGGGGATAAAGTGTGTTGCCCATCAAGAAGGAGGAAATCGCACTTGCCTTGCCCTGATTCGAATTTGGTTGTGTTTCTGACACATCTCCGTAAGAAGAAAGAAACTATCTTCAAATGAAAATATGGCCATCCCTTTGGTGATGATCGGTTTCATACCACTGCTGTCTGTGCTTCTTGCGCTTGTACGAACAATAAAGTAGTTAAAGAGAGCGGGAGGTAGGAAACTACGGAAATCAAACACGAGGAGTTTGTCTGAGGTACAAATTCCAGACCAGCTTTTCTGACAAAGCTTTTCCCACTTTCTCGTCAAGCTTTTCTCTTTTAGGTGAAATGGAACAATGTATTTGCTGATTTGAGCACTATTCTCGTCACCTTCAACTGGAACGGTGCCATCTTCGTGGTCTTTTACCTCAGCTGAGGCAGAGATCGGGCACAGCATACCTGACGCTTCCAAGATACCAACAAGCTCAGCAATAGGGCTTCTGAATTTTTCCCATAAAAACTTAAGAAGCTCGATGTCAGCCACTCCTTCCTCTTGCAAGGTCTTCCACTGACTACGGTGTTTACGATCAATATCCAGGTGGTCGGTAACATCATGAAGACAAGTCATAACATCGACTAGGTATTGTGGATTGATGACCACCAAGTCGTTCAGCTCGGAGTGATACGTCGTCGGTCCGATCAGCTCCTCTGAAAAAAAAATTTACTTCCATTTGAACGGGGTAAGGTTTCGAAATAGTAATTTAGTGTCGTTTGAAAAGTTTAAAGAATGTTCTCAAATTCCTCAACCAAATCATTGTCACTTTAATGAACATGTTTGCTTGAGATTTACGAGACATGTTACAGAGAGGAAATATCTATATGATAATTTACTGACCTGGTAGGATTAGCACTCCGCTGTCATGGTAGAAATGCAGCATGCTGTCAAACTCTCTTTCTTCGAAAACACGGGAAGTATTCTGCTCCATCATGCGTTTCAGGTTGATCTTGCGCACACAAGGTGGGAAAAGTGGATGATCCCTGCACTTCAGAATTTCCTCTTCAAAATGTAGCCACAACACAGGAAGTTCCTCGTCCATTTTCCGTAAGACAGCAGCTTCATTTTCGATGGCTTTCCTTAAGGCTTTGGCACCAGAGTCTTCACCACCTAGGGCGTTTTCTACCGGAAACAAGAAGCCTTGTTCTTTACTATTAACCAGTTGTTGCCCAAAGCTCTCTACCAATTCATCATAAAGGACACTCTCTGCAGTAGCCAAATCTTCGTTCGCCACTTCAGCGCGACGCGTTCCTACGAGGAACACAGGTGTCGTGTGAGGAGTATGTACGCGTACGGAATTGAGCCAAAAGTGTATCTCCTCTAAGGCTTGGTTAACAGTCTCAGGGTTACACAGCCGAACCAAATTCAATACAACAAGATAAAATGAACGCCGATTTAGGAAAACATGGTGCATTGCTTCATACAAAGAGTGGCCTGCAAAGTCCCAAATGCTGATTTTAGTGTACTTCTTCTCGCTATCATTCGGTGACGTTCCCACAGGGAGACTCAGCTTTCGCTCGATTTGATCGACTGGCATGGTACGTGAAGGGGTGTCTCCAAATAGAAGACTGGGACTTGCAGAAGGAGACATATTTACCATACTTGTTTCACCCGCGTTGCTTCTTATTCCAGTACTTCCTGAAGTAGATGGACCTTCTATGCTAGCAAGTCGCCTGAAATTGGTTGGGGGAAAAGACAGTCTTGACTGAGAACAACTAGGTTGTTTCCCATGAGAATCATTAGACTGGCCTTTTACTGGGGTACCTCTAATTCCCTGACACACTTTCTCAGCTAAAATGTCATCTACAATGGAATTATTCAGGTCAACTGCATGCCACGACTCGTCTAATTCTGTCATCTCAACCATGGATGTGACGATTCCACGAGTTTCTTCCCGTTCTTCTACAAAATCTTCTCCACTAAGAGAACGTACCAGGCTTGTCTTGCCCACGCCTACATCTCCAATCACGGTGAGCTGCATACGAGGCACACAAGCTTTCCCCTCAAGTAGTGCCTTGTTAAATATTTCAACTGCCAACTCGCCCCTCGCAAGAACTTCATAAGGTTCACTGGATTTGTCTGTATAGGTTTGGGATGCACGAATGAGAAGTATTTTCAGTAAAACATTTTATCAATTATCATTTACAAATTTCCTTTGTATAAATTTTTCCTTAGGTTTTGCAAAGATATCACTTTATTTATTTAAAGAAATTCTCCCACTAGTTAAAATTCAGAAAACGTTCAGGTCTTACTATGTGACTGGGGTAGTGAGTTCTACTGATTGGCAGCAACAAAGTCTTGTTTTAGGGGATAGTTGTCCGGTTTTGGAAATAAAGTTCTGCTGGTAGTGGCTATGGACTATGCGTTTTACCAAAACATACCCCACCCTTCAGGGCAAGGGAGAGAAAAGGGAAGAACAAATGCTGCTCCTAGGATGATAGTTAGCTTAGTCAAAACCACTTAATGTAAACATGTCTCATCAATTTTAAGATAACTTCACCTTGAATATTTGATGGACTGACTTCTTCAGCCTGCCTTGGTTCTTCACGACCTTCGACTTGCGTGGGTACCTCTGCAATATTTACACGGCGTAGATTATCACATAACGGTTCCATCATCAGCTTGAATTGCCTTGCTGTGAAAAACAGTAGCTTATAATTAAAAAAAAAAATTCTCCGTTCGACGCCAATTTATCATCCAAGTTCAATATGATTAGGAAGAAACGAAAAAGATGGCTGAATTGTATGCCACCAAAGTTATCAGTGTACTGCCAACTCACTGGTGAATCAACGCAGACTGCCTCCATCCTATTCTTTTGGTTCAGCACAAGACTAAACAAAAATTGTAGGATTACAAGCACAAACTAAAAATTAACTGAAATAACCACCAGCTTCATGTTTTGCTCCTTCACAAAGTTCACAAATAGCTGGAAAACCCGCTCTTTAAATCGCCATCATTCTCCCCTACGAAAGGAATATTTTTTGCACTCTCCAGACTTAGCAAATTAATGGCATTCAGCCATTTAGCCAAATGATATCCAACAACATACATACAATACATTCTTCACTACGAAGGGAATATGTTCTGCACCCTCCAGTCTTATCAAATTAATGTAATTCAGCCATTTACCAAACAGTTGAATTAATGCAGTACTCACCAGCCAAATGATATCCAACTATATACATACAATATCTATCTTTTGCTAAAGACATTGGAGTGTTTCCATTGCGATCAGGTCTAGATATATCACCACCATTCTTGAGCAGTAATCTGAGACAATTCCCGTGTCCTTTCCATGCTGCTAGATGAACAGGAGTTTTGCCATCTTTGGGATCAACAACATTTGGATCTCCATCGGTCCAGCTAAGCATGATCGTCAAACATTCTTCGTGGCCGCCGAAGGCAGCACAATGCATCGGCGTGAATCCCATCTGAGGTTTCGACGGTTGATGAGAATCTCCTGGCGAATCTGCCATCTCATTTCTCATTAATTTCTCCACGAGTTGAAATTTCCCCGTGCAAGCGGCGTGGTGCAAATCTTTCAAATGATGGCGACTTTTTTTCAAGTGTTGAATTAAAGCTCTCGTGCTTGAAAAGTATCGACCACATTGACCACAGCTTTCGGGTACACTAGCCTTCGAGATTTTATGTTTTGAACTGTGTTCTATATGCTTAATATAACTCTCTTTAGAATCCTTTCCCTTGAATGGTCGATTGCATTTCGCACAGCTATGAAAAGCCCTTACACAGGGTATATCCTTGTCAGTAATCGGCATTCTCAATCCTAGTAAACAAATAAAATAAGTAGTAAAGGTAAACCTAAATTCCCTAACTCCGTGAAACACGCTTTTTTCCAGAATATCGCTGCTGTTCCCAATCTCTTTCATTATTTGCTTTGCCAAAAAGCCGGGAACTAGGAAGTCATTGACTTACGTTTTCTCCGAGCCTTCGGCTTCCGGTTAGTTGGAGATGTTTCGCATCAACAGCGAAAGAAATCTTCGTCAAGCTGGATTAGTACGGGTTTTTCAGCAGAAAAAAAAATGCTGAAACGCTCTCTTTCCCGAGAGAGTAAAAGTTCTGTGCTGGCAACCGTTAAAGTGCAAACCACTCTTGCACAAAATTGGACAACCATTCAACAAATAAAAATTTAGCTACAAGCTTCCTCGTCCAGGGAAATATGAATATTGATATGCGGCACAACAAGTTTTTCAGTTTCCATGACTACGTTATGCCAGGAGCTATACATTGCCGTGATCGAAAGATTCCGTTATAATTTTTTTTTTTTTTCTTAATTCATAAACACAATGAGATGTACTTTTTTTTCCCCCAAAAAACGTGGTATTTATTGTACATTTTATTAAGAGGTGATGGCATTCCATGGTGCGAGGAGTGACGACATATGTGACAAGACTTCTATATTTACCTTGACACAAGTAAAATATAACACGATTTCCTCAGCAAACCGTTTGGAAGTCGGCTGTCAAACTTTAAGCGGCAATAATAAAAAATACCTGATAAAACATTGCGTAATGACAACCCGCTCGGCGTCAATCCGCACTTCGAAACTCAACTCGAAATCGAATCAAACTCGAATAATTCATGTAAGTTACGTGTCGTCCTAAAATAAAACTTAACAAGAGCTACGCCCAAAGAAATGTCCTTTTAACTGCATAATCCTTATCATTTCGATGCAAAATATTCATAATGGTGATCAAGGATTACCGATGCGGTCAAGCAAACAATTTTTCCGTCAGTCAACCCCTGAAACACAAAGGCGCTGTTATTTAGTATGCCTTAATCCGGGCACTTATGACAGACAAGCGATAATTTACATCACTTGTTTCCGTTTCTGAAATTGATTCACGTCTGACATTTCTGACGCGCCAAAGCTGTTTTAAACCTTGGTTATAAAAGGTTACGATTACTCTGCCGTGCGGCTCCCTGCGTTGCGCTCTAGAGGAATTTGATTGCCTCTAAGCTTCCTCGTTCCGCGGAAGTCTAGGTTAGCGTCGAATAGGAAAACATCAACCTACGTGATTGTATATCGTTCAAGCTCTGTCGTCCATATAAAGCCACGATGGATCAGATCAAAACGAGGATTACTCTATTGGTTACTATGATGTGGATCATGTCTTTTACGGTCTGTGTGATCGCGACTAGCTCACAAGGTAAACAAATTCCTTGGCCTGTTTTATCAAGAAAGCAGAAATATAAAACCTTTCATGTTTGTTTGCTTCTCTAGTGCAGTTTCGTTTCTGTAATGTCAAGCTGATTTCCTTCAGTTAAGAATAACTTAACATATCGTTTATCTCTTTCACACGCAAACTGGTCAGATGTTCCATTAAAGCTTTAGCAGAATTCTGACACACATGCTGACAAGGAGCCCCTGTCAGCAGCAATTTTAACTAAGCCTTGAAGCGGGAGGCCTTCAAGTCCATTAAAGACAACATTTAAAGGTCAAAACACATTAGACTTCACGGATATTCGTAATTAAAACTCAATGGTTGCGTGATAAGATTTACTTTCATAATTTCCTGCATTTCCTTTATCCAGGACGTTGTAGCTCAGACAATTATATAAAGCGACGAATAATGCATTGACCTGTTTATGTTCCAGAAATGCAGTCATGTACAAAACACAAAGGTTCACAATTACTTATGTCAAACATCTATTCAGCTTTTCTTTACGGATCACACGCTCTGCTTCACTTAATGATGATTAATCTGTTTTCCGGGCTTGAGATTATGAAGCAGACGAGCAGTAATACTTTATTTCCTACTTTCAAACCGTTCTTTATGGGCCTGTTGTTAGCTGCATTGAAATCATTCTAGCACTTAATGCATGGCTTTAAGTTTCAGTAATAAAGGTTGTCTACAAATATTTAGCGAAATAACCTTAAGATCATCCTTCCAGAAAACTTATTTCCGTAAATTGAGAATTCGTCGGTGTAAAGCTTAAGAACAACTGAATTGATAACACAAGCCATTTAGATTTTAAGTTAGTGGAAAGGAATATTTATTTACCTCTGACAAAACAATGATGATTCAGAGCGATTTGTATGAATTTACACGAACGCAAGTAATTTTTAATTAAGCTTTTGAATAATTCATCGTCGTTCGTCTAGAACCAAAGATTATGAAAGAACCATGTTGACATATATATACGAAAATAGCTAAAAGAAATTATTTCTTTGAGAAGTCATCCCATGCAGTTATGGTTGATCCGCACATTTTGGAAAAACTGCAAGAAAAATGTTAGTCTAGAAACTTGATTCCTGTGGTGTAATTTTTCAACTAATATTGGAGACAGGTCAACGTTCGCCGTGGACCGGAAGTGCTCACTTGAACAACTTCAATTTCATAACTGCGTTACTCCTATCACGAAGCCAAGGCTGGAGAATCTGACTAAAGCGCTTTCTAATGTTGTATGTGACTGTATATAACTCAGTATATTTTCACTAGTCGCGAATAATGTTTTCTCTCGGTCCTTGAAACCCGTGTTTAAAAGTGGATATCCATAAAGGAAGTCACAAAAATTAAAATTAAAGTGCTCTGTGAGCAAACTCGTGAATTGACAGATGACTTATATGATTTTTTGGATTATGTTTAATGTTATCTGGTTTAGGGAATTTGTGGTCGATTGTCATATTTAGAGTACGAGCAGTAGTTCAGTGTTCGCTGATGTAGCAAAGAAACAAAGTAACGTTGGGATAAGAAGGCATTACAATTGAAATGATCATGCTATTACATTTGACAAGGTGGATGATGTCATGTGTTTTAAACGTCTATCATTTCTGTTTCTGGTTCAAAAGAAAAGGTTGGAAGTAAATGTGGGTAAAAAGTGAAATTTACTGTCTTTCGTTGTAAATATTAGAAAATCAAGGCAATACTGTCTTAATGAAAACATTAACGATTCCCTCTTTATCAAATGAGACAAACGGGAACGAGTTTTGAGTGATATAACTAAGCCAAGACTGCCACCGTCATATTTTAGTCTCGTGCTAGGCAACGTACTGAATCAATAACAAGATAGAATTTAATTTCAGGCCTATTTATCAATTTTGTGGTGTATAACTTTCGCATTTTAGTAGGTAATATTTATTTTGAATCTTCAAATTGTCTTGAAACTTAAAAGAAAATTGTTCTTTAAAAATTCACTGAAAATCGGTAGCTAAAATTGTTTGTTTAAGTGTTATTTGATTTTCGTGTTAACTTGTAATTTCGTTAGTCGCCGGCATCTTGTGTTGCTTGACACAGGAAAAACACACGATACGAAGCGTAATGATCGATTTTTTCCTTAATCTCACGCCGTAGCAGAAAAAGCTTTTGAACATTTGTAAACTCCGAGCGCTTCGCAGTAAAGGATATTTTCAATGAATCTTCGGATTGTTTTCAAGTTCAAGGATTGTAAATTACAATTTTATGAAAAACGAAGGTTGTTCTGTTATTTCAGTGTGAATCCTTGCATGCCTGCTAGTCGCTGGCGCCACTTGTTGAAACTAAAACGTTAAAAAAAAAACTCTTTTAAGATTATCATTGGCTTCTTTGTCACCCCACCACTATTCTTAGCAACAAAAGTCACCATTTCTTTTGTATTTTGCTCGCCAAAAACTATCAAATGCACTCAAAAGCCTAAAATCGAAAAAAATTTTACAGGAATCGACCAATCGAGCGAGCGAGCGAGAGAACGAATGCCATTCCCCACATCGTATCTACAACTCGCTCTTGCGCATGCGCGCAATTCACGAGTTAAAAAGGAAAACAATTGACCCTTTAACTCCCAATATCTCATTAGTAATTCTCCTAACTGTCTGCCAAATGATTCTCAATAGCTAGTTTAGGGAATCTGGTATCAGCTCAATTGGTAATGCCATAATTGATATTTTTCTTTATTCTCATCACTTGTCTGCATGATATTGTATATATATAATAAGGAGAAATTCTGTCTTGGTCACTCACGGGAGTTAGAGGGTTATAGACACGTTGAAGTCTGTGTTAGCAAAGACTGGGTGCCCATTTTATAAGGTGACGATGTAGTTCGAGTGAGTCAGACCTCCTCCGTTTGGCCTGAAGCCAACGGCCTCTGTTTGGTGGAGGAGAATTGGGAAACCCCAATGAATTAAGTAAGAATTAAGTTATCAATACAATATCAACCAGATAGCTGATGAGAGTAAAGAAAAATATCAATTTGGGGATAATTAGTTGATCCAGTACTAAATTCTCTGAACTAACATTATAAGAGTTGTATGGTTGACAGTAAGAAGAATTACAAATTTGATCTGGGAGTTAAAGGGTTAAATGATATTTGAAAATTAAATAGAGCATGAATTTAGAAAACAATCGTTCTTTCATGCATGATGGTACCAGGTTATTGAATCAATTTTTACGATTATCATGGTGGAAAATTGGAATGCACATATGTAAACAAGCTATTTCCTCGTGTATTTACATGTAGATCGTAGCTATTCTGCTTACGCTTTTCTTGCTCAGTTTTTAGCACCCTTTCGCATTGTGTACCAATAAGTATTTCTCACCCTGTACTTATAACTATCTGTTAAAAAGTTAAAGGTTATTTATGATAAAGACTCAACAGAAGTTTAGATAACATTATCATCTCTTTTATTCCTTGCCAGTATCATCATCTTCGCCATCTGCGTCAGCTTCAACATCGCCGCCAACTCCTACAACATCAATAGTATTACTACTGACATCACCTGCAGCGTCAGGATCACCCTTAGCGGCATCAACACTACTCACATCATCACCTGAACCATCAGCATTGGCATCAACATCTCCATCACCAACACCAACACCATCACCATCACCATCACCATCACCATCACCATCACCATCACCATCACCATCACCATCACCATCACCATCACCATCACCATCACCATCACCATCACCATCACCATCACCATCGCCATCGCCATCGCCATCGCCATCGCCATCGCCATCGCCATCGCCATCGCCATCGCCATCGCCATCGCCATCGCCATCGCCATCGCCATCGCCATCGCCATCGCCATCGCCATCGCCATCGCCATCGCCATCGCCATCGCCATCGCCATCGCCATCGCCATCGCCATCGCCATCGCCATCGCCATCGCCGTCGCCATCGCCATCGCCATCGCCATCGCCATCGCCATCGCCATCGCCATCGCCATCGCCATCGCCATCGCCATCGCCATCGCCATCGCCATCGCCATCGCCATCGCCGTCGCCGTCGCCGTCGCCGTCGCCGTCGCCGTCGCCGTCGCCGTCGCCGTCGCCGTCGCCGTCGCCGTCGCCGTCGCCATCGCCGTCGCCATCGCCATCGCCATCGCCGTCGCCATCGCCATCGCCATCGCCATCGCCATCGCCATCGCCATCGCCATCGCCATCACCATCACCATCATCAAAGTCGGATTTACCACAATCGCAATCAACGCAACCAATCCAGTTAACACAATCTCTAGCTGTAACATTGCCTTCCTCGTCGGTGGTATCGACAGGTTCGACGAAACAAACTGTATCGACGTCAACAAAAGCAGTTACAAGCACAGTGTTAACGTCATCGACGTCGCAACCACCTACTTCATCGTCAAAAGGTAACACAGCGAATAAGCAAACCATCCATACTTTAATCCGTTGAAAACCATCCATACTTCATATTTACAGCACGATATTCATGCTATAGATCTGCTGTATAACATACATAGTTCAGTTCTGTAATACAACATCTATACTTCAGATTTGTAGTATAACATCTATACTTCAGGGCCCAGTTGTATAAAGGGCGGATAACGCTATCCAACGGATAAATCGCTATCCAGCGGATAAGTGATAACAAAACGTATAGCGTTATCCAATGGATAGAGATTTATCCAGTGGATAGTGTTATCCGATCTTCGAACAACTGGGGCCAGATCTGTAATATAACATCCATGCTTCAAATATGTGTTACAGCGTGTCTATTTAATATATGTGGTATAACATCTATACTTTAGATATGTGGCATAAAATTCATATTTCAAATCTGTTCAGTTCTGTGGTATAACATCTACATTCAAGGCCTATTTGTTCAAAGACCTGGCAACGCTACCCAACAGATGAACTGCAACCCAACAGATAAATGTTAGCAAAACGTCCTGTGCAATCCACCGGATAGAGATTTATTCGGTGGATAGCGTTATCCACCCTTTGAACATCTGGGGCCAGATTTTTTCGTAGAAAATCCACGCTCTAGATCTGTGGTATACCACCCATATTTCAGATCTGTAGTATAACATCCACGCTTCAGATCTGTAATTTAACATCTATACTTCGGATCTGTAGTATAACGTCTATACTTCAGATCTGGGGTATAACGTCTATCCTTCAGATCTGTAGTATAACATCTATACTTCAGATCTGTAATATAAGATCTATACTTCGGATTTGTGGTATAACATCTAAACTCCAGATCTGTGGTATAACATCTATATTTCAGATCTGTGGTATAACATCTATCCTTCAGATCTGTGATATGACATCTAGACTTCAGATCTGTGGTATAACATCTATACTTCAGATCTGTGGTAGAACATCTACACTTTAGATGTGTAGTATAACATCCATGCTTCAGATATGTGGTATAACATTTATATTTAATATCTGTGGTATAACATTACTACTCTAGATCTGTAGTATAATATTTATATTTCAGATCAGTGGGATAATATCCACTCTTCAAATCTGTGGTATAACATTCGCACTTCAGATCTGTGGTAGAAGATCCGCTCTTCAGATCTGTGGTGTAATATGTATATTTCAGATCTGTTGTATAACATCTATACTTCAGATCTGTGGTATAATCATAGTGGGCCTTCAACGCTATCCACTGTTTTAGTTTATACTATAATAAAATCCTTTATTACGTCACAGGACTTTAGGGTCGCTCCTAATCATATAAAACAAGACTTCCTCACATGGTTGCTTAGGGGTAATAACGTCAATAGCATTCTATCATTGGTTATCTGACACTTTACGTGAAATATTCTTGAAATTACTTGTAAGTTTAGCCGTTCCTAAAAAAAATTTGTTTCTTTCATTTCTACTATGACTACAATAGAAGGTGCTAAGAAATTTGATGGAAGAGGCAAAGTGAAGGAGCTTTGGGACGACGAATATAAAAATAGCAATTCCGTTAAGTACAAAGACCTCAAGAGCAGGCTGGAAACCCATTTAAGAGGAATTCTCGAAAAGAAATACGGACAGAACTTACTCGATCTTGAGGTGAAAAACTTCCAGAAGGGGAGTATAATTTTCGACTTCACAGTTTTCCTTACATCTACGACGGATGTTAATGCCGATAGCCTGAAGGAGGTAATAGAGAAACATGAAGGGGACTCAAATTTCACTATATCCATCGAACGTGTAAAGCAGGTCGCTGGTCCCACACCAACGACAACGTGTCCGACTGAGCAACCTGAGCCGACATGCTATGTAAAGCCGTGCATTGCGGTTGTGATCATACTTGGAATTATAATTCTGGTTTTGCTTGCTTTATTGCTGTGGTTAATTGTGAGTAACGATTGATCCTATAAAAGGTTTCTCTCTAGTAAACAGAGTAATAATAGAAGCTGTAAGTAAGATTAGGTTCTTCCGATAGCAATGAATGGAGGATCGTTATTATTGAGGATCGTAATTATAATCGTCAATCAAAGAGAAGAAACACCTTCAGAAAGGGACAATGAACACTAAAACTGGAGAGAGGTCACAATACCAGCCATAAGCGCGAATAAACGCGAGAAGCAAGTCACGTTAGTTTCATTGATCGAGAGGGCAGCGCCAGCATAAAAACAAATCAAAGTATGGATATAGAATCCAACCAGTGCCATCACGAATTTCCATTGTCACTCAGTTGAAAATTGCTCCATTCAGATTTAACCAAGGGTCGCAATAGTTAGTATGATAAGAACGCACAGCTGTTATTCAATCACTTCTTACCGACTCTGAACACTATTCTTTGGAAAAACTTCAATCTCCCCAGCCTAGGAGTTACAATCAAAAAGGACTTACAGTTCTATATTAGTGGACTCTATGTAATTTTAGTTGAAGTGTATTTCGAGCCGAAACTAATTTTTTTGTTTTTCCCCGCAAAGCATCAAAACAGAAGACTGAAAAATAGTTGGAAGGGGAGAAAGGCGTCAATTCCGCACAATGACAACGATCCTTTTACACAGACTCGTATGTACAGCATGGATTCCAAAGATATGTACTCGTTATCTGGTATATCGGATGGAAGACGAGCAAAAGGTCATGGCTTGACGGTGGGTTTCTACTTTCACCGTTCTCCAGTTGTAGTGACCTTTATTACTGTTTCTGCAGCCTTAACAATTAAGCCTCATTGTTAACTTTTTCTCTTGAAATCCGATTTAAACTTCACTTTCTATGAGCACCTTGGTCACTCTATCTTGGCCTTTCTCATCACCTGTTTACTGAATTTTTATCTACTCTTACGATATTTTTTGGCCGGTTTCCTTGAATTATGAGAGATATTTCCTCGATGCTTTATTGTGGGAAACGAAGGAAATCTTTACATAAGGTAAATGAAAAGACGTATATTACATCGAGAAAATGCAAAAAGAGGTAAAATGTAAATGTATTGGTGATTTTTTCTGATTTTTCTCTTCAGCTTCTCACCCGTTGCCTTGCTTTGTTTTCGTTACACAGACATTTAGCACGGAGAATGAAGGTTATAATGGTCCAGAAAACGACGATGAGAAAGCAGAGCCACAAAGCGATGAGCCTATGCAAGCCGACATCAAAAGTGATGTTTCCGAAAAGGAAGACAAAGATGAAGAGAATGTCCAGTTCGTACCTGGAATTGGTTTTTATTAGTGAAACAGCTAAGACAAAAATGTTATTGTCTTCTTATCGATTTAACTACAAGGGATAAACAATGAAGAAATGAGTTTTTCAGTCATTCTGATCCCAAGCTCAATAATAACCATTAATATCGAGAACGCCTGTATGGCTAGTGTAGCAAGCCTTTCCTTTTATCCAAGTGGGGGAGGCATGAGCTGCGCGAGGGCATGGGGCGAAAACCAGCTGAAAGATGACGAAAAGGGAGAGGGCTCTTCGCTTTCAATTCACGCCCTCGCACGGCTGACGTTATTCTCGTTTGGGTGCAATGAAACGGCAAAGCATTTTACGCAGGCCAAGCCAAGCCAAGCCCTTCTCTTCCTATCTATGTTGTGTAGGGAAGTGAATAACGACAAGAGTAACCAGTATTGCTATATACCAAGACTTTCTCTCAACAAAGCGAGCACTGTGATTGGTTGATTCTTGGTCACGTGCCACTGATCAAATTCAAATGTATCCCGACCGGGATACAATGCGTAGTTGTTGCCCGCACGCCTAATACAACAGCAAATGATTGTTTCATAGAAAGTCTAAATGTATGACAAAGCTCTTAATGTATGGTCCCACGGGAAACTAGTTAGTTTTGTTTCCCTCAGGACTATACTTTAAGTGTATAATATCAACTGGAGTGTCTTAGAATAATGTCGCCGATAGCATTACACGTGTGTTCAATTAGTTAATCCTCCCCCCGGCCCCTAAACAGTGACGTAAGTGTGACAGACGTAGATAGAAAGAACAGTTACCTATTTTTCGAAATACTGACGCATGTAGCACTAGATGTAGATAACAGTAGAGTTAATAACAGTCGTTCTGTTTTAAAGTAATGAATGTGGCCTTTCGCACTTTTTCTTATGTTTTCCATCCAATATGTAATGGTAATAGGACTGAGTGGAGTCCAATTCGGTCTGTAATCATACGAATGATAACAAAATCGAACGACCGCGAAGTCTTCTTACCAATTAATCAAAACTATAACAGAATTCTCGAACGTGATTGGTCATCAACATCCCGATTTGAGCACTAATTTGACACTGTATGCGTCATGCTTGTTATTGGACAGTTAAAGGGGCAGTTAACACGTCAAGCCTGTGTAAGTGGACAGAACGCGTCATGCGCGCCCTGTTGTCCCGAATTCCGCCGAGTTAACTGTTATTGCTTTCTTTTATATGAAAACGCATGACCGATGTCTAGTTTCTTTCTCAAATTTTGTCATAGTTTTGATTAATTGGTAACAGGACATCGTGTCGTCCAATTCTATCTGTAATCATACGAGCGATTAACAAATCGGACTCCCGCTTGTTAATCGCTTGTGTGATTACAGACTGAATTTGACTCAACTCAGTCCTATTACCATTATTAATCATAAAAATTACTGTTTGCGAGAAAAGAAGAATAGCCAAGTTATGAAAGAAAGGGAAAATTTGCATTAAAAGACTGACAACGGAGGCCTATATTGCGATTGGTTGATTTAAACTACAAATGTGATTTTTTGGCTAAAATTACAACTTTTAATGTGATTGGCTTATTGAACTGTCCGATATCAAATTGGCAAATGAATTAATGGAATTAAACCAATCACAATCGAGGAAATTGTAGTTTTTTTGTTATTTAATAAGAGCTTCTTTTTTTAAAGGTAATTGGTAATAAGAGCTTCTTTTTTTCAAAGATTGTTGGCAATGAGAGCCTTTATTTTTCGAAGGTAATTGGTAATTTTCATTTATAGCTCGAGTCTTTCCGTGACTCACACGCCTGGAATATGATAACGTAACTATTTGTTCTAAGTGACACTTATTTATTTACTCTTTTAAGTTCACACTCTATTTTATAAATCGAAGAGACAACTATTACTTTCCATGGATTAGTTACCACGTAACCAGCATTACGCGGTGAGTTTTCAATTGTGTGTTTGTTCTCTTAACAGTAATTTGAAAACCCTCGGAGAGTCGATGACCTTTAAATCGACTTTAAATGCCTACTGATTAGGCAATATGTGATACAGTTGATTAGACTTGAAAACCTCCTTTACAGAAATAAACCTGTTTGTTCTAGAACAAGAGTTGTGCATAAGGCAAAACTTATAACTACCTACGGGCCACGTGTTGTGAGAATTATCGATCTCGTTAAATTTTATGGCAAAAATAATTCACATATTTTATTTCAGCAATCACAAAAATACGTCGATTTTCGTAATGTTAATTATACGTGTTAAATACCTACAACTACAATACAATTACAAATTCAAATCACTATTATCTTCCTGAAGAAGCCCCGACAGAGTCAAGAAGAATTCATGGCATGTGTACCAGAATCATTCGATCCCAATGCAGTCCCACTACACAAATTTATCCTCAGTCTTAACATACCATTTCTACGATCTATTATAGAATCAATTTTACAAGTGTCGTACCTAACAAAGGACGTTTAGCCCTGTGATAACAATCAGCAACTTAACGAATCTATCTACCACGAAATCTTAAATAAGTACAAGTCAATTTTAGATTTTAAATTTCAGAAGTTATCTAAACACTACAATTTTTTGTCTCGGGAAACGTACAATACGAGAAGCATTTTCCTCTCAGCTTACAATTGTGCGATATATGGCCTACAAAGCCCTATATCATGAAACATTCACGAAAAGGCACAACAATTATCCTGCTTGAATTTCAAGTGCTTTACATTACTTCAAGCTACACGTGGAGACATTCAGTTAGAGAGCTGGAACGGTTCCAGAGCCATCGCCAGCTTGTGAACACCGGATAAGCACTGGGCCCAAGCGGTTTGTGCGGCCGGGAACCTCTTGATAATGAGCCATGACGAAAACAGGAACAAACAGAAGTACATGGACCAACGGATGTTCCGCAATCTGGAAATGAACCAAGGGAAAGCTTAAGGTCAATCTAGGCTAAAGTGAAGAGATCTCTGAATTTATATGAAAGAGAAAGAGGGTCGAGGAACATTTTCAAAAGTATGATTCAGAACATCAAGAAAGCTTTCATTCCTTTCACAAAAGCTAGCCACCAACAACCATCCTAAATACGACACAAGTAGCAACGAAAGATGCTAGAATGAACTATTCTATTTCTCCTGAAAAATCAACGACAAACGTGGTCTCCACCGAGTAGCTGGTCGAGGAACGAGAAAACCTCAAACCCAGTACTACACCAAGACATTTACGGTATCTCTTCTCTTTATATCCAATCATCAATATGCATATTCTCCTTACTGTTTCTCCATACATTTCCTAAGGTTCTGACAAGAAGAATTGGTTTAACATTTATGAGCTTCCTGAGTTGGTGATCATTTCCTTTATTCTCGTGACCTTCATGTTTGACTCAGGGGTGATACTGTAAGGAGAAATTGGATGTTAGTCATTCTTAGGGGTCCGAGGGTTAAGCAGAGGGTAGTAAAAGATTCGGTGTGGCTTGTTTTTTTTTCACAAAAATTAGTATCACTCTAAAAATTCACTTTACCCTGTATTTTGAGCATTTAGAATCTCTTAACCCTTACCTAACTAAACCAACAGCGACTTCCTCTAGTAAATTCAAAGTGAAATATGTCTCCATATACTATTATAAGAGTACAAAAAAACTGATAGCATGTTAAGAGTCTTGCCTGCGAATGCGGCTTTGTGCAACTGGAAGATTGGCCATATCTTCTTTGAGAACAAATTTCTTGAGGCCGAGAATGAAGTGCAAAAAATAGTTGTTCCAATCCAGCTTCTGCACGTCAAAGTTGAATGTCTGAGAACACAGGTAGATCAAGGAAAATGTTAAAATAAGCTACACAAAAGTTGCATCTTACAAAAATGCGTGATAGGAAGGTGCAAGCTTCAGACAAGGCAATGAGTAAAACTCGCCAACATTCAGAGCACAATAAGCGATAGAAAATCTCCAGTCTGCCTGGTCTTTTAAACCCTTTTTTCTTCCAGGATCTAAATATCACTTCTCTGCACTGTCTGTCATACATTCCTCATGATTTTGAAAACGAGAATTCTGTGATAAATCAAACAATATTACCTGGTTGACATTTTTTACCACCTGGTCACCTTTAATGGAAATCTATTGTTTTCAAATCAGCCGATTGTCTTGCAAATGTCAATGTTATGTGTATAGGAATCAAAACACTGGCTGAGCTACAAAATTTAAATATCTTACGCCAATTCATGTGCAACGTAGAGGACATAGAGTCGGAAGTTATCGACACGAAACCGGCCTTGATCGTCAGCCATTTTAAGCTTTAAAGGAAAGGATTTGCTAATACCGAATTCAGGTTCTATTCAGAACATTCTGAGACTGAATGGTGGCTGAGGAAGTCTGAGGTAAATATAGAATTTGCAGGATGATTTCACAAAAAATCCCGCAAAATTTTGAATTTTGATCAAGCCATGGAAAATGAAGAAATTACCGCGAGCGAATTTTTGTAAATTACTTCAATGTTTTTCTCTATAAACGACATTTGAAAGCACAAGGAAATTTTGTGGTATTTAATTTTGTTTTGGATACCACACCGTTACGGAAAATCTCCCTGGTTCGACTTTAGAAATCGGCCCACAATCTCATCGAACAGGAAATTTACAAGCTATCATTATTAGCTTGTTTTAAATCAATGAACCCAGGAAAATTTTATTTTTAGCAAAAGGGATGAATTGTTGAATGAAATTTTCAAGCCCGTTCATTGTTAGGGATATCTTGCATCGAAAGGATAAGGATTGTGCAGCAAAGGGACTTTTTTTAGCGAAACTCTTGATAAATTCTGTTGTAGGAAGACACGTAAATTACATGAATTAGCCCTTTGATTTCGAGTTGAGTTTCGAAATGCGGATTGAAACCGAACGGTATTATCATTAACTGCTTTATTGTTTTTAGCATTGCCAGTTAAAGTATGACAGCCCCTTTCGTAACTGTTTGTTTTGAAAAAGGTATTATTCAACTTTTTGTCAAGGTAAAATAAAACTTGTCTTGTCACAGGTCGTCAATCCTCGCCCTATGGAATGCCATCCCCTCTTTAATCAAATGTCGGTAATAAATAGTGTGTTTGTAAAACAAAATTTTAGATAAAGCAAACGTCAAAATCTGAAAATTATTACGTATCCTATGGCTGGTTGTATAAGATATATTCCGTGATCACGAATAAACCACTCATGTCAAACTTTATACGAAAATGCAAACCCTGTCACGCATTCTACACATTTGCTGTACATTTTTCCACATTGCAATCATCTGCATCTTTAATTTAAGTTTTATGGAAAAATTTCAAGTCGCCTTACTGACCAAGTTTTCTCTCTCAGAAAAAGATCAACTTCGTTCTCAAGGAACAATTTGAATCCAGTTCTGTTCCTTGGTAGTGAAAAAAATTCCGTTCGGTTTTTCCAATTCTCTTCCACCGACCGGATGCCGTGGGCTACAGGCCAAACGGAAGTGATCCCGACTTTCTAGTTCCCAGTTTTTTTCGTAAAGTCGTAAATGAAAAGGATTGGGAACATCCGCAAATTCTCTGAAAACACGTGCCCCAGAGTTCTTAGAAATTGACAATGAAGGACCAATATTCCTCTGTTAGAGATACGTCGAACACCTACTCTTTCCTTCGGTGTTTTACCTAGATCAAAGATGCCATTTGCCGACAAACATATGTCCTGTGCAAGGGCTGTTCACACCTGTGCGAAATGCAATCGGCGATTCACGGGAAAGGAATCTAAAGAGAGTTTTATACAGCATTTAGAACACAGTTTAAAGCATCAGATCACCAAAGCTGGCGTGCCAGAAAGCTGCGGTCATTGTGTTCGTTCCTTTTCGAGCACGAGTGCGTTACTCCAGCACCTGGAAAACAATCGCCACCATTTGAAAGATTTACACCACGCCGCTTGCACGGGAAAGTTTCAACTCGTTGAGCAATTAATGAGAACCGAAGCCGCAAATTGTCCCGGCGATTCTCATCGCCCGTCAAAACCTCAGACGGGCTACACGCCAATGCATTGTGCAGCCTTCGGTGGACATGATGAGTGCTTAAAAATTATGCTTAGCTGGCCCGATGGAGACCCAAATGTCGTTGATCCTGCTGATGGCCGAACTCCTGTTCACCTCGCAGCTTGGAAAGGACATGGCGTTTGTCTCAAGTTACTGCTTAGGAAGGGTGGAAGGCTACGTGAACGTGATTTCAGTGGAAAAACACCGATTTCTTTAGCCAGAGATCCATCTTGTTTGTCTTTAATTGTTTATTATTTAGCTGGTAAGTACGATGTTTAATGTTAAGCTTAATCTTAACCACCGTTGATTTTCACTTGTTTATTATTCAGTCAGACCCGGGTCATATATTGATGGAGGAAGAAATTATAACAATATGGCGAATTAATCCCTCTCATGTATGTACAGTATGTATGTAAGATTATCTGGAAAGAGTAATACATGCATAGACCGGCCCGAAATTGGATTTGATTGAAGCACGCGTATACAATTTAAAAAAACAAAAAAGTTCCTTCACCATAAGGGTGATTTCTCAGTAAAAAAATTATTAAACGATTTGTAATTATCATTAAAGTTCCCTACCAATGTCTGTTTCGAAAACTACAGTAAAAAGGATAGGTCACCATGCTTACTTAAGGAGGCTCTATGGGGTTTTTGCTGAATGTTGACGCGCTCGTCAGTGGTAATTTGGCTTTGCCTTTGATTTTCTTCAACTTGCTTTAGTAAAATCTCTCAAAATTTTCACAGTTTTGAAAATCGACCTGCAGATCATCTCAAAGCCGAAAAAATATAGGGGTCATAATGGCAGTTTCCTCGCTATTTGCAATTTTGTGTTTTCTTACTCTATCTTGAATTTGGTCTTATGAATTTTTTATTATCAGCAGGCATTGGGAAGGGTAAAAATATGTTTAACGGTCCAGCTAATCTAAGGAAATTCCGCCGAAGGAAACGTGATAAATCTTACTCGAAAGGTCCCTATTTTCTTTGACGCAAAACGTTACGTAATGGAATAGAACTTCGCCGCGATCGGTATCTGAGCAAGTGTAGACTTACGAATCTGTCGCCCGCTAATTTGGAAATCTTTCCCACGGTGTTTTCTTTTCGGTTGACCTCTTTTTCAAGCGTAGAAAGTCTTTGAATATTACGGGTGCAGTTGCTGGAAACCCTAGATTCTATCACATAAAAACTGTATTGTGTTAAACTGTTTTTAACACACCTTTTCAGAAAACGATCGTGCTATCGTATCGAGCCGCCATGTTTGTTTTGCATGTTGACACTTTTAAAGATCGTGTTATGTTCGTACTCAGATCTCGCGCGGTCAAAAAAACCCTTTGGAGCCTCCCTAAGAGAAATGACAGGGCCAATCTTACCCCATTGATGGCTGTGTTAGTACCAATCACGCGTGTTATATCATCGGTTACGGTACATTTAATTTAAAACTTGAAAAAAAAAACTTGATAGGTAGAAGGTCTCGAGCGTATGGAACAATGTAACATATAATTTGTGGAAAAATCATGCAATTTCAAAACGTTCATCAAGTAGTTGCTGTCAAGGTCCTAATTTGAATCCTTGAGCAACAAGCTTCGTGCACGCTTTTAGCTACATCTTTTTTTCCCTCTGATGATTTTTTTATTCATTTTTCCAATTCAAAAGGTGAACTCTGTGTACCGAATTTATGCAAAAGAAATGTAGACCATTGTGTTCATTCAAGACCATAAGACCATCATTCGTCGATTGAAACACAATATTACAATGTCATCAAAATGTGCACGCTTATTCGCCTGATTACATGATTTTGTTTACAAACAAAAAAAGTTTTGAAATGATCAGTGTTTGGTCTTTTACAGAGACGGAATACAGGCTGGATGTGGAAGGATCAATTGAACATGTATGGAAGAGTCTTTGCGGGGAAAGCAGTCCAATAGTTTCCTCGCCAGTCATGGAACTCCAAGACCCATGCCATGGTGGGGTGATCAGTCAATCCAACAATGAAGGTAAAGTTCACTACAACAACAATAAAATTATGTCTTTTTTATCAGGATGATTACTGCTATAAAAGAAGAATCCATATTCCAGCTTTCCCTCTCACTGTGTAGACATTTGGGGTTTAGGCCTGTCCCGGTTGGCCTCGGCAACTTTTGATCAACCTTTAACATTCGGAGCAACATAATTTTGAGGGGCTAGCTAGCATTAACAATTTTTGCCTTTCTGAGCAATTTTAAAGCAAAATATAGGTTTAGAGTGCACATCAAATACGACAAAGTCAACAATTTCATCAAAACATTCAATAGATATATGGTTTCGACTCTGAGAATGCAATCAATAGATCTAATTACATTCAAGCATGTGTTTTTTCCTGCTAGGCTTAGGAGTATCCTTAAATTTTGCCCATATCTGCGAGAAACTCTTTAAAGATAAGTTTCAAGCTATCTTTCTTGAACTATGTTAGCTTTTATCACAAGAAATGAAAAATAAAGCTTTTAATTAACGTTTATATCAAAATTTCAAGAAATTCAAGAAGTAGCCTTTTTGAATTTTTGCAATTTTTAGCAAGTTTTTTGCTTAGTCTAGCTAGCAACTTTCCAGCATTTTACAAACACAATTGAGATAGGCCTAGTGGGGTCCCCAGTTTTTCCATTACCCACCAAGTGCAATTTTACCAAAAAAAATTCTTGTCTAAAAAGCAACCCCTCCTATTGCTAAAGCTGGACCATTTGAGGCCTAACCAGTAATATTTGAAATAAAGTTACTGACTCAGAATTTAACATTGTTCACATTGATTATGCATATCAAATACGGTTGGGAATCAAAGTAAGACTGTGCTTGACCACAGTCAAAATAAATGAGTGATGACTGGTCCAATGATTAAAAATCATCTCGCCAATATCTTACTATTTATTATTGTTGTTATTGTTGTTGTTGTTGTTATTAGGGAGTATGACCTGGCGTCAAATGTGTAGGCTTTTAGAACAAAGCTAATAATTAATAAATGATTTTACGCATTTTTAACGAATGCAGAATTTTCCAACGAACCATATGAAGTCCTTGCAAGGGGTGAATTGGCAGTTGAAATATTCAATCAGGCACTACGTGAGGGAAAAGCACGTATATCTCGCATGCAGCTCACTGTCATAGGGAATGTAGGGGTCGGAAAGACCAGCCTTGTACGTTCTCTCAGCGGGGAGGAGTTTGAAGAAGAAAGAAAAGAAACTCATGGAATTGACACTTCCATGGTCGAGAAGATAGAATTAGACGTGTCGTGGCATGCCGCAGACCCGAACAAGTCCCAGGTGGATGAAATTTTAGTAGATCAAGTTTGTCAAGGAATTCAACGTTCCCCAAGGGTGGGCCATCCTTGTCCTACTCGAGGGAGACGGCTGACTCATTCTCACCAAGGACCGTCCTTTTTGCCAAGAGGGCAACATCCTTCTTACGTAAGGCGACTTCGTAGCATAGAAGGTCCATCCACTTCGGGGAGCACCAGTGCAAGCAACGGGGAGCAGACAAGCTTAGCGACAGAGTCACCTGCCTTACTGCACAGTCTTACTTATGAAAGGAGGTCTTCACGTGAGATACCAATCGAAGAGATCATGCGAAGGCTTAGTCTGAATTCGGAAACGTCTTTGGGTGAGAACGAAAAGAAGTACGCTAAGATCAGCATTTGGGACTTAACTGGCCATTCTCTGTACGAAGCTATGCATCATGTTTTCCTAAACAGGCGTTCCTTTTACCTCGCTGTGTTAAATTTGGGTCGGCTGTGTAACCTTGACAGTGCCAACCAAGTTTTAGAAGAGATTAATTATTGGCTCAATTCCATACGCGTGCATGCTCCTCACACGACTCCTGTGTTCCTAGTGGGAACACACAGCGGCGAGGTGAGCGAGCAAGACAAAGCAACAGCAGAGAAGACGCTTTATGAAAAATTAACTGAGAAGTTTGGTCAACAGCTTGTAAAAAGCAAGGAAAACAGTTTTCTCTTTCCAGTAGAAAACACCCTTGGTGGCGAAGATCCCGGTGCAGGGGCCTTAAAGAAGGCCATCGAAAATGAAGCAACACGCCTGAGTAAAATGGATGAGGAGTTTCCCCTATCGTGGCTTGATTTTGAGGAGGAAATTCTGAAGTGCAGAGAGGACCAAGACTTCCCGCCATGTGTCCGTAAGTCCGACCTAAAACAGATGCTGGAGCAGAGTACATCCCGTAATATCGATGATAGAGAGTTTGGAAGCATGCTGCAGTTCTACCACGACAGTGGTGTGATCATCCTGCCAGGTCAGTAAAAAGTCTTAATTTTAATTTTTCTTAGTAATCTTGTCCCACAAAATATCATGCAAACGATTTAATTCATATTTATGTCAAGTTCTTGAGAGAAATCCTCCCAAAAAAATAGAACCGCATTTTCTGAATTTCAAAAGCATAAACTTAGACTGTTATGTTAAGGCCAGCCATTGTCGCGGCTAATTTATTTCTAAAAAAGTAGGTTGTTATTCAAACCCTAAGTCGTACTTTTATATTCCCCTCAGCTCGACTAGAATAATAATTTAGAATTTGTTTTCAGAAGAGCTAATTGGACCAAAGACACACCACTCCGACTTAAACGATGTAGTGGTAGTCAATCCGCAGTATCTCGTTGATGTCATGACCCGCCTACACGACATTTCCGATCACCTGAATATTGATCGTGAACATCAGAGTCAGTAGGAGATCCTACAAGAGCACGGAGTGGCCAACCTCAATCTTTTGGAATATCTTTGGAAAGACTTCAAAAGCCCTGCCACTCAGCTTGTTGGTATCTTGGAAGCTTGTGGTATGCTGTGCCCAATCTCTTCTTCTGTAGAGGATGAAGACCGTGAAGACGGTACTAAACCAGTTAAAGGTGATGAGACTGAATCAGAGATCAGCAAATACATCGTACCATTTCATCTAAAGGATAAATGCTTGAAAGGAAAGTGGAATAAGCTTTGTCGGAAAAGATGGACTGAAATTTGTACCTCGGACAAAGTTTTAATGTTTGATTTCCGTAGTTTCCTGCCTCCTGCACTCTTTCACCATTTCATTGTTCGCACTGGCTCTAGAAGCCAATCCAGTAATGGTATGAGACCGATCATAGCCAAAAGGATGGCCATATTCTCATTTGGAGACAGTTTCTTCATTCTTACAGAGATGTGTCAGAAACACAACCAAATTCGAATTAGGGCCCGGTAAGTGCTCTTTTCAACTTGATGAAGGTGGATCCCTATACCCTATTTAGGACTAATATCCCATCCAGTAGTCCCCAACCTTACAGCATCATCTCCAGTAATTGAGAGCGTTAGTATCGTATGAAGACTTTTAATTTGTCGGATTGTTCTTATTAACAGGGTGGTGACATAATAAGTTCTTCTGTGTCATGTTCATTTGCATCATTTAATCATTCTCTTGAGGACGTTTTCTGTTTCAATATCAGATCTCGGGAAATATGAGTTTTTGGCTAAACTTGTCGATGTTAGAAAAGGTCTCCTTCAATCTAAGCCACCGGGATAAAAGGTAGTTCCTGGTGTATAATTCTGTCTTCTTTCATTTCTCCTACAGGCACAAAAATACCAAAAAGCCTCATGAGTTGTTTAACATCTTGATGTCGATAATGACAGACATCTGCCAGCGCCAGTTCCGATTTCTCAAGTTCAGTTTCGGACCTACCTGTCCCAACCCGCGTTGCCCCGGGTCATCGAGTGAAGGTACAGTTCTTCCAGTGGACACCTCTTCTGACGAAAGTGATGATGGCGACGATGATGAGGCCGAGTGTGGTGAGCGGGAGTCCTCCGTCGACTCCTCAAGCGAAAGTGTTCGTCATCACGTAATTTACATAGACCCGGCTGTCGCATCAAGGCCTTTGTGGTGTAACTCCACACCAGTCCATGAATTCGAAGAAATCAAACAATGGCTTGTTAAGGCAAGGCAATGTTTAAAAAGAAATGCTCCGTTGAATTCTTCTCCCTGAAGCTATCCTTGTTGATACCTACTGATCGCTGTTGTAGCCCTAAAGATTATTCTTTTTCTTTCCTTAGCCACAAAATACCGTTTCCAAGGTCCCAGAGGACTCTCCTTGTTATTCAAGTAAGTCAGTACCTTACTAAGACCAAGTGCTTCTCTTACGTATGCTTCACTCCTGCTTGCATGCCAAGTTGATTTCGTAAATGCAATCTTAATTCAAAATATCAGGGGTACCTATTGTGCCTCTGCCGATTTGTGTTTGAATTTTTTTTTTATTTCTGTTACCCAGAACCTGTTAAGTCTTGCTGCCTTGCTTTAGTCGCTAAAGAACTGGCTTATAAATGGAAATGGCTTGGAAGGTCTCTCTCGGTAGAAGACACAGTCATTGAGACTATTCAGACTGAAAATCATTCAGAGGAAGAGAGAGCTTATCAAGTCCTCACCCGATGGAGTCGAGCCACGGGATCCAAAGGTACCGTGCATGAGCTAATGAAAGCGATCGAAGAAATTGGCGACGTTCCACCTTTGGAGGCATTTGATCGACACCTTGGAGATCGTCATGTCCAGGCAGCTAAGCCTATTAACTAGTTATTCCGCTGCACTCTCGAAGGAATTCGAAATATTAATTGAATTTTTTAAAAATGGAGTCGTAAATAAGGCCGTTTGTCTTTTTTTTCTCGGTTTTGTTGGTAAGCACGTGCCAACAAATCTTACGTAAATAAATTATTCTTGTGCTCGAAAAATTTGAAATTAACTCTTCAATAAGACCAAGCTAATTTTATGTCAGTGCCAGGTTGTAAGTACTCACATGAGTAAAACTGATCCGGTTGAAATAGAATTTTCAATTCAAATTGTTTGATTTTGCTAACAACATTGCTTTAATTTCAACTTCCTTGGACCTTTTGGCGCTCAATTTGAACTTTTTTCTCGGTGCACAATCAGTTAGCCGATGGGCATGCTTAATTCGTTCCCATTTACATGCATATTTTAAGAAACGACCAGCCTACCACGTCTGTCTGTATAGTAGCGATAAAATATTGCGGTTAATTATCGCAGCGAATGCATCAGTAATGAAGAATACTCGTTCTCATTTTCCCACCATGCATGTTCATTCAGGGAATGAACATGCATGGAGTTGACAAGGTTGGAAAATTTGATAGTAGGCTGGTGATAGTTTACATAATAACGTACATGAAAAAATAACGCGCTTCAGATTGGCTGGAAATGAGTGCATTCTTGTGTAACGCGAATAAAAAGTTGTAACACGAGTGCAAATTACAAATAGCGCGCGCGCCCTTGCAAAATTTCGTCTGTCTTAACTTTCTACGATGTTTTTTCATGTACATTAATTATTAACAGGTAATAACATGATTTCGAGTACAATTTGGTGTAATAAGAACTTGTAAATTTTTCAAAGACTACAAAATTGCACTTGCCTTACGTGCTTATGCAATTTTGACATCTTTGAAAAAATTAACTCGTGCTTATTACACCGAATTGCACTCGAAATCATGTTATTACCCATACTAAATCTTATTTGAGGCGTGCTCTCAATAGACACAATGATGAACATAAAACTGAACCCAAAACAAAAATGAAGTAAAGGAAAGAGAAGGCAGAGTTCGAGATTTTATCTGTTCGAAGAAAGAAGACTTTATTTCTGTATGAAATAATCTTTAAAGAAAAATTCAAGAACAAAAATTACATAGAAATGGTATTTCTATCAAATCAGAGGAATAGTGCAGTGTATTTCAAGGTATGATTTTAATACAACCATTTCGATCTTAAATTTACACGTAGCATGATTGGGTAGTTAATTTAGCCCTGGAAATTCAAACTTTCAGTAAGGTGAAGATAGGATATGGTATGTCCAACTTAGTGTGTGTCTCTGAATAGTATTTTTTTTGTTCGGGCTACAAAATTAAAATCGAAAAAGTTTTAATGTAAAATGAAAAAAAGTATATATCAATAAATTATTATAGAGTGGCCTATGTTTAGTATCTTTAACTAAGGACCTCTTACGAACTATCACTAGGGACTTGTCAGGAACCTGTTACTAGGGACATGTCAGGGACCTCTTGTTATTTATCGCCTGGGAGGAGGGGGGGTGAGAGAATTTTGTTTGAATCACGATAAAGTCTACCTGATCCCCCAATAAGGCTGCTTAACATTCTATTGATCCCCCAATCACTGGCTGTCAATTCTGTATAGTCCCCCTTTTCATTCGACGATCCCGCTCCCCCCTCCGTTCTCACTGAAAGCCATGTAATACCCCAAAAATCCTCCGACCTCCCCCACCCCCTCCCGGAGAGAAATAATAACTGGCCTCCTTACCATTCATTTCCGAATATGTCTTTAAAAGTATGTTTCGCGATTTATCTTTTTTTTATGTTTTCATTTTTTTCATTAAGTATAAATTTGTACCTAGGTTCTGTCGTAGATCAAAAGTAGTTGAATTTTCTTATTTTATGAATACATTGTCTGAAAAGCTACATTGTGTTCTGAATGCATGAAATATCTTTCACAGTGGTGATGCTCTCCTTACTAGTTTTGAATAGCATCCCAGTGCTCTGCGATAAAATTTAGTCTTTAAATTATTCTGAACAGATGTTATCCGCCGACTTTTTGGCAATCTATTGTTTCGAGAGAATACTTTGATTGTTTCCAAATCGGCAGATTGTCTTGCAAAGGTTACTGTTAAGTGTATAGGAATCGAAGCATCGGTCAGGCTACAAAATTTAAATATCTTACGCCAATTTGTATGCAACGAAGTTAGGCAAACAAACCGTTGACCGTTAGCCAGTCGATTCTTACCTTTAGAGCTGGAGACAACGCCAAAATATCTGTTTGATGGCATATGGCGATGTGTCCCAGAATGTGTTGGAAATTATTTTTGTTAGCCGAAGGTAGGTGAATAACAAGACGGCATGTCTGCTCCTGTTTTATTATAGTGATTTCTTTGTATCTTCAGCAACTCGCAGTGTTTTCCTGTATAACTGCTACCTCATGATATAGATTCTGCAAAGTCGTTTACAAATTGATTTAAGCGTGGAAGGAAAGGACTTCTTTAGGCATAATCCAGGTCCTGTACAGAGACTGCACGGTGGCTAAGTAAATCTGAGGTAAATATAGGACTCGCTTGATGATTTCTCAAAGATTCACGCAAAATTTTGAATTTGGATTAGACCATGAAAAATGTAGAAGCTAATTTTTGAAATTATTTTAATGGTTGTTCGTTGTAAAAGACATTTGAATACACAAGGAAATTTTGTCGTATTCAATATTTTTTCGGATATTACACCGTTCTGGAAAATCCCCTTGGTTCAACTTTTAAAAATCGGCCCCATAATCTCATCGGAAAAAGTTTTTGACAGGTTCAGAACATCTACAAACTATCATTATTACATTTTTTAAGTCAATGAACCTAGGATGAATTTATTTTTTTGGCTAAAAGCATAAATTGTTTATTGAAATTTTCCAGCCCACTCATTGTTGGATCACTAATGTCATCGAGTCAGTTTTGAAGGATAGCAAACTTCAATAACAGATGTCATAATTATAATGTGTAGGCCCGCTGAGTATGCGTATATTGAATGTCAAAACAATCCTGCTTTTAAGTTTGACCTGTTTGCAGGTGTCGAGATACATCTGAATATTCTGTGCAGCCATAAAACATGAAGAAGAAATCCAGCTATTACTTTAAGGGATTTCGAAATGACTAGTTGAAACAAAGAGATGATTGGGCAAATTAGTGTTACAAAAGTCGACGGCTCAAAAGACCGCGGATTTGGTTTAATTAGTCACTTGTAAGTCTTGTTTTTGCCAAACAAACATGTTTTAAAACATGCTGAGGGCAGTGAAAATTCGAAATTGCTGTAGGAAATTCCTCCAATGTTACGGTTTATCATCTGTTACAATCTGTAGCCAGGTACTAAGCAAATTCCGTGTAAATCGCTCTAATTGCACTTAGAATGCCTCGCAGCTTCACCATAAATCGTGAATGGAGGCTCAGTGAATGATCTTCAATTAAGCTTTCAACGTTTTTCCTGCGTAATGGACTACGGCTGGTGGTCTAGTAGAGTTTTATAACCTGCGGACTCTCGCTCTTTAAACCCGTGCGCTAACAAGTGTTCCAACCAATTGCTTTGCACGAACTGTTTTACTTAAGTCAATGCAACGCAGAAAGTCACATTTATCTGGGTATCAAACACTTTTTTTGTCAGTTTTACCAGTTTTAACACAAGGCCGTCAAAATCAAAGCGATGTATCACACATAAAAACATCAATATCACCATCTCCAACAATAACGGCGCCCACGTCATCAATCGCATCGCCAATTAAAGACGACGGAGATTTAAACGCAAACCGAGAAGGAAACATTGTAAGTCCACGTGAGTTTAAAGGGCGATTTGCAATCACAAACATCGATTACAAACCCCAATATGCAAATGTCAAAAGTGACGAGTACAAAATTCTCAAAGACTCTCTCGAGAAAGCATTGGACAGCTCGTTACAAAATACTGTTCCTGGTTATATCATGTGTGCAGTGCGCTGGTTCTATAAAGGAAGTGTGATCACAGACTTTGTTGTGTTTGTGAATGGAAATGAAAATGTCTCCCCTGAAGAGTTACAAAAGGCGATTGTCTCAGCTCCGTCCACGGGTTCGCTGGCAAATTTTAAGTTGAAGAATGTTGTTATAGAGTCACCGCAGGACCAAAGAAGTGGAGAAAATGAGGACAACAAAGGATCTATGATCATGATCGAGCTATGGATGATAATTACTTTCGGTGGTATAGTGATTGTTATTGTTCTTCTCTTCTTCATTCTTGGTCTTTTGGTAAGTAAAGGATGAGAGAGATCGATAATTTTTTTTTTATCAGCGTTTATTATAATAATGTATCAACCCTTTTACTCCATGATCTCATAAATAATTCTCCTTACTGCCTGCCTTACAGCTCTTATGACATTAGTTTAGAGAATTTGATATTAGATGCACAACCTAATCGACCCAATCCGGATAAATTGGCTCCTGGATATGGAATTTTTCGACAGGGCTCTCCAAAGTGGATGGATACGGAAGCGCTAACTTTGCTTTTAAAAGTGAGAGGAAAGCACTTTGAAAATTTTTTTTATTAAACTTTCTTCTGTCCCTTTAATTTTTTGGTGTGAAAATTACGTCTATATCATACAAACTATCAAGGGTGTATCAAAACGATTCTGCCTCCGTTGTATGCAGTGTAGATCGGTTGTATGGACGCAAGGTCTGATACAACAGCACGAAAGCAATAATTTTCATTCCACTTGTTATAATATCATTTTATGATACCCAGCCAATTTCGTTGCGACAACGCCTCTAAAATCCTCATCACTACCACTTCGATCTTTGAACAAACTTGTTTTAGATAAGAAACAGATTGTTAAAGAAAGCCCTAACTCAAGAGAGACGTGTCACTGAAGACCTAAGACACCAACAACAGTTGCAGCAAGAGGGGACAAGGGAAACGTTGTCCATTGTGGCTGCGTCATCTACTGATGAACTTACGACCATGCTTGATAGCAAAAAGGAAGTAAAGGTGTAGTAACCTTTATCCGTGTGATTTTTGTCCCTAAAGAAGGAGTGACACATTCCTTGCCCTGGTGCTAGCATTCCTTTGTGTGCCTTCTGGTGGCCCCGCCTTCTCAAGAAACAGTACATTAAGGAAATTAGTTTTCTTCCGTTCTGGGCATGCTAAAGTATGAGAATAAGTCTTAAGGCGGAGAGGAAAAATGAGTATAAAACTGTACCAAAGCATTCGTGATCTTCTCAAGTACTTTGGATTTCAAAGGAATTACAAGATAATAAACCATTTTTTCCCGAGAGTGTCTGATAATCACGCTTCATAAAATGAGGAGCAAAATAGTGCATGTAGTAAAGTAACAAAAGGGTGTATTGCTCCCTTAATAATTTTATCCTAATCCCCGAGCGGTTTGTCGTTAATCATCAGAAATACCAGAGTCGATCATTTTCCATCGGCACCTCAAGGTCAGCGGAAAGACTCATGGAGCTCTTGAAAGATTCTGATCAGGTGAAAACTGCCACAGGCGAACGAGCAGAACGTAACTCATCTACAGTTTTTTCAGGATCGGCAACTGTTCCCAGTGTCATATCAAACGTTTCAGCCCATGAGGTATGTAAAGTTCATATCATTCGTAGGGCTTGACTAGTAGGACTCTAACCCCTTAAAGTGACTTGAGTTCTTATTTCTCCTTACAGTATCACTGTTGAATCAAATGTAAAGGTCATGAGAATAAAGTAACTGATCTCTAATTGAGGAAGCTCCTGTTTGTCGAACAAATTCTCCTCGTCAGTGCCATTGGAAACGTAAACAGAATAGTATGGAGAAAATGCATATTGATGTTAGGGTGCAGGGGGTTAATGAAAGGTTTTCTTTCTTTTTTTGTCACTATCTTTCACCTATATTTACTGGTAGAATGCTTATGTTCTAAAAGGTTGTTGTATGTCTCATGCCAAAACGGGCTTTCTCGCAGTATTTATGGACGTTTTCCATCCTAAACTTGCGCCTTCGTTGTATAAGTTCCCGGACTCAGTCAATTGGTACATCACCCGAGTTTCATGAGGTGATAACTTGATTTCAAAGATTCGATCCTTTATTACTCGTTTCATTTTATCTTTTGTGGTAAATTATTTTTTGCGCCATTTTTTTAGGGTGAATTCAGCACTTCAAGCTCCCTAATTGATGACGTCACGATGTCAGGAGACCACACCCATCTAAGAAAGGTTCCTTTTGCAATGAGCAAACCGTTAATTTTCATCAGCCCTCCCAAGGAAAACACAGTGTCGACTGCTAAAGAGGTAAAATAAATGTTATGAGTTAGACTAAACTAATTTTTTACCGTCCCAAATTGGTCCCAAAATCAAACCAAATGCAATGGGTCTGAAACTATAGATTAAAATATCTGTTCTTAGGTGGGATGTGGAAAGGGATGATTCAGCTGTGATAAGGGTCCTGAATCCCGACTGTCATTATGTTGTGTACTTGGGAGAAGCACTTTACTATTTCCGCTAAGCCTTTAACCCTTTACACACGAACATAATTGTGCTTACTCTCCATGAAACATTCATCAGCTATGAAACTGTAAGGAGATATTGAATGAGAGTCACCAGTAAGGGTTAAAAAGTTAATGCGTACCTGTAATTTGCCAAGAACAACTTAACAAAACACTAAAATTAAGTCAAGAAGAGTAACAGCGCCTTTTGAAACTTCATATTACAGTACCAAGAAAAACTAGGCAGCTATGCGAGATCAGTCTAAAAACCCTTTCAATCCCAAGATAATTCTTATGATGTTAGTTCTGAGAATTTGGTATTGGGTCAACTAATAATCCCCTAACTTATATTACTCTTTATTCTCAACACTTGTCTATTTGGTATAGTATTGATTTGGTAAGGAGAAATTTTGTCTTGGTCACTCATGGGAGTTAAAGGTTAAGCAGACTTTTTTTATATATTTTCGTAGGATTGGCCTCAGGATGAAGAAACTCAGAAAGAAGGCGATGAATCTGAATTTACCAAATTAAAATATACTCCGGCGATACTTCAGCAGGTACAAGCGTTTGAACAAGGAACTATCAACACAAGCGACGAAGAAGAAAATGATAAAAACAAACTAATGAGAAGCGAGCCCAAAAAGCTGAGACATATTTCACTCAGCGCTACTGCATCACAACAAATGAAAATTTCCGAAGAGCGACGACGGAGAGAGCATGAGATTCGACCTTTAGGTGGAGTGATCAAGGTAGGTCTTCCTGCTTCCTAATCAGAAGTGGATATGAAAGGGGCTACGGTGCTGATACAATCACATTGGCCACGCTTAAAAATCCTATACCTTAATGACTCATAAAGGTATAGAAGTTCTTAGGTTGCGATTAAATCGCAGCCTATCACTTCGCGGTGATGGGCATCGTAGACCAACAGCTTTTCATTAAGTCGGGTAGAACAAAACCACCTTCTCATGGAGTCATATGCATGTATACATGAGTGCGTAATCAACTTCAGTCACACTATAATATGATATAACTTTTATTTTTTAATGTATAGCGTACTGAGGCATTGAAGGAAATTTTCTGGTTTGAAGTGTGCCATACATATGGTAAGATGTAAGTTCGGAAAATTACAATGAGGGGCAAAAGTCTTGGTGCTCTCTGCTACATTTTTAATTTTTTGTATAACCGTCGGTTATTTATCAACCTCTCTGCCTTATTTCAATGTTACCTGATGTAAACAGAATGGTTACTAATTTCCTACAACATTGCTAGGACTTTCAATGACGTATCGGAGATAAATTACAAGATTTCTGTTCATCATGTTGAGTGGAGGGTTGTTGGCCACCAAGTGAGGGAGGGGAGGGATGCCAACTTTTTTTGCCACTGAGTGTAGATCTGCAACGCATGATTACCTAGAATAAATATGTCTACTAATAACTGAAGTGTTGAAACGGCTTTAACGCTCCATCAATTAATCCGCATTTTTCCTGCGGAAACTGTACAGATACCAGGAAGTGGATTGAGTGGTGGAATTAATTTGAGCTTTTATGACAAGTTAATAATGACAGCGTTTACCTTTTTTTTGCAGAGGTTTGCACTTCGCCCATCTGATACCGATAACAGTGCTACAGAATAATCTAACTGGTCTCGCTCCACGACTCGATAAGTGATAAACTCGTACTAAGTTTGACTAAAAGGAGCAGTGTAGGAATTGAAAAATAACGCATAAAATGGCGGTATAAAAACATCTGTGACAAAAATAAACGAGGCGTACTCAGCTTTCTAACAGGATGGCACTTATAATTCTCCTATCCAGAGGCATGCTTTTTGAAAATTAAGCATATTTTTTTGGATTCTCTTATCAAATACTCTTTTTTTATTGAACACAGCATAAAGGATATTTCAATTCCGGCCACAATTGAATTTATCGCTGCAATTTAAAAGAATCCAGTCATGAAAGTGAGCCCATTTTCTATTTCTGGATAGCAGGCAAAGATTTGCTTCTCTAGAAAGCCCCTAACTTGCAAATTTGCTTTAATTTTGGTTGATGACCTGGCCGCACGAGTAAGGTGACTTTATGAGACATGCGCGAACCCACGGCCAGGTTACTAAAATGATTTCAAAATGGCAGCGCTTTAGGAAAAATTTCAAGCATATTATTTGCACACAGTTTTTGAGGGTTATATGACTATTTGAAGTCTAAATTCGCGGTAAGTGGAAATTTTGTAAACATACTTTTTAATGGGACAGAAAAATAGTGTGGGTTTCATAAGTATGCATCACAATTAAACCTAATATAAAACATTCAACATCACATCGAGAGTAACACCAGTCTTTAACTTTAATGATACGACCTACTCACATCACTACATTAGTATGATGAATATTTCCTCCGCTTACTATGATGATGGAGTTTTCTATTTGTAAGATTCTCATACAAAAGAGAAAAAAAAGCAAGCAAACACTAACTGTGTACAAACAACCATGTTCCTGGTTTTACATTGACGTAATTATTTTCCTTGATGTTATAATAGTGATAATAAAAATGATAATAACTCTCTGAGGGGCTCTTCAGGGCCAATACAATCTAATTTAAAACAAACAGTGTGTCAATAAACATAGCGTTTAAAAATCCCAACTGACTAGAGACAGACTAGTTGACTATATATATACAATTGCAGCCACAGGGGGAGGGAGGGGGGAACTGAGAACAAATCCAGTGAGAAGCAGGGTGCAGGGCTTTAACCACGACGACCAGATTACAGATCCCCGCCCCAACCTCTCGGCCACACTGCCTCCACATATACACTGGTAATGAGAACCAGCAGACAGCATACCGGCCGAGCTAAGAGCGGGAGCCATTTTCTAAATCGATTTACAATGAAACAGAGATGCCAAATACAAATAAGCATAAAACCCCTGTTGGCTGGCATCATTTTTACAAGCAATGTATTTCTTAATTAAAAAGAGTTTTTATAGCTAGTAAATAGGCCTAATATCTAAGAAACCTCTTTAGCCTTTGATAAAATCAATTATCATGTCTACAAAACTCATCGACCTTCATCCAAATTAACGAATATTTACATTTTATTATGGCCTTTGCCGAGGTTTTGTTGGTTTTAAACTCTTGAAGAACATACTGACAGATTCCTAGCATCAAACTGGCAACAGTGTAATGCACAGGACTGTAAAAATTGGGTTATTTCCGACACGCCCAAACCCTCCGTATGAAATGGTGGGTAAGTGCGAGATCTTTGATGTGGACATGGTTTCCTATTCTATCCCAAAAGGAAGGGTGTTGTTTTAAGAAATATTTTGTCCTTAGCCTCATTTGAACGTTGAAAATCCGAAATGGTCTATCCATTATCAAATAACAGCGGAGATCCCGCACGCAGGGTATGCCCGTTTATTTCCTAAAGTTAATCTTAATTTAAGGTTTCAAATCCGTAGATGATTCATATTCCTAGATGAACATGCAACAGTGAATTGTTGTTTACAGAAATTGCGGTCGTTTCGCCCTACGACTCACTCAGGTCACCTCGCTAACATTTTAGGTTATGTCATAACGTCTGTTTTTAGTTTTGTTTTCTTCGAAGTGGCGACAAATGAAATGTTGTACCGTGAACATACGGTCGATGAGAAGTTGCTCAAGTTCTGCCGATGGAACCGATCCGACAATAAACGTATTACAATACGTTATTAGCAAGGCGCTGTCCTGAGGCGTTGGCGTAACGACTCGTAGGCGAAATGACTGATCATCGTTTACATAGCAATTTATAATGTAAGCAATCTCTGTAAGTAGAACGTGTGTATATTGTTAAAACTGAGCCATAATAATCTCATGGAGCTTTTTCCACTATGCTGTGGCAGAAATGTCATGAAATGCTTAGAAAGCGTACCGCCTACTTTCCTACTCTAACTGAAGCCTCCGATGGAGAAAGACACCCAAATAGGGGAGTACCAACTCACTCCCGCCCCCCCTTCTCCCCCAACCGTTCTCTAAGAGATTAAGTTAGGATTCAGAAGATACTGGATTATCATATGAATTTAACACAACAATGCAATCCTCACTGCTAACAGGTGTGGTCTTGGTCTCCTCTTTCTGGATTTTCTCGGGGAGATTCTTAGTCCTGCTTCGTCTTTTTCGGTACATTTCAAATTTGACATCGGGTGCGTGCTCTTTGATGTATTTCCAATTCTGACGGATAACCTGTCAAAATATTATTCACCTGCGGTGAAACAACTATAATATTCTAATTTCCAAATAAGCCGGAAGATATTCGTGACAGTTTCAAGTTTCAGTGAGGAAGTTGTGCCTCTCTTAAGGTCTCACATAAACTCTCCGAAATGTTTTAAGTTCAAAATGACAGCGTTTACTCTAATGTCGCTCAGTTTGCTATTCTTACTTGGGACCTGCACTAAAAGTCCGCAAACAAACTGCATATAGAGAGTGGTAAACAAGCTCAGCTTCACGAATGTTTTATGTAAATGGGAATGGGATAGGATTCACGTAGATTGACTAGAAAGGACTCTCCGATTGAGGAAAAAACAAATTTAGGGAGCGATTTCGAGCTGGGAATTTATGAATGAACTTACCACAATAAGGAAGAGTATCATCACTGCACAAATGGTTATCGCTGCCACCACAATCAAGCTTATTGTCAATTTGCTCCTCTCGTTCTCTTTATCCATCTCACTACTCTCAGTAGTAGTATTTCGTTTTTCGTGTATTCGCTTGGCATCAGGGAACGTCTTTTCATACGTGTCACTTTTTGTAAACGTTGTAAGTGTGTCTTGCAATTCTTTTCCTGTCGCGTTGGTGGTTGATGAAACCAAAAGATAGTACTCCACCTTCGCTAAGGTCCATCCGTCATTTGCTTTAGCGAGCGAAACGACCTCAAAATCCACGACGTCGTCTTTGTCTTGGTAGAATTCGTTAAGAGCATCTTCTATTGCTGTTTTTATTCTTCTGTACTCAGAATTGTTGTAATCAGCAAAGGGATCCTTCCATTCTACACCAGGCAACAGGAGGCTCATGTTCTGTCGAAGGTTCAAGATCGACGCTTTTTCCATGCAAATGTCGAGGGCGTTGTCAAGTTCATTTTCGACTCTTTCTTTTCCAAGATCGGACTTAAATTCAAATTCGCAAAACGTTCCAGGGTTTCTGTGAATCTTCAAGAATTTTTTCACTTTAAAATCAGTAACGCCCGTTACGTTTTCAAGATCCTTTTTCAACAGACTTCTCACAGCCAAAGCATCCGGACAGTCATTTCCAGGATTAAATGAAAGCTCTTTTGCTCGATCTCACACGCAAAAAAACGCTCTTTTCAAACAGAACAAAGCGTAGGAAGTAACGTCGAAATGAGTGATTGTTATCTGTAAGAAAACCTTAAAATTCAGCTGGCTACAACACTGGAAGCGATGATACAGTTTTTTATTAATTAAGAAAGCCGCCCTCTAAGATCTTAATAACAAAACCACTCCAATAACTCATAAATGAGATGTATTGTTCAATTTTGTTCAGTTGGTAAATTAGCGCAGAGCGCGCCTCTTGATTGCATCAAGAAATATGTACGTGGCTTTGAATTTTTTAGTAGACATTTTGCACTTGTAAATTTGACAGGATGTCGCAACACTTAGTTAAACTTTTCTTTGTATTCAGTCAATTGAGTTTCTGTTACCTCCTCTTAGCTTTTATGACAGTTTCTCCGCTATGACAAAACATACTCTGAAGAAGTTGGTGTGGTTTGCGCTTTAAGCCTTCATTTCCAAACTTTGTTATTTTAAATCCAACTTTTTCTGTTGCATCTTTATCAATCCTTGCGTCTGTTTACCTTATTCGTAGCTCTTTGGTGTATTTTTTACCCTTGCAGACTCTCATGTATTAACATTTCCTCCTATTTAACAGTAGTTGAAACAGTTCGTACGAACACGACTCAAAAAATCATGAAACTCATAACACCATCAACATCGTTCAATTAAGACAATTTAATTTACTCCTACCAGCTCCACTCAGCTTTTGATTTTATCGTAGATTATTTAAACAATTCTCAGTAAATATTGAAATAGCTTATCTTTCAGCCTAACGTTTCCATTGAAATTAAGTCACAAATAATATATATGAAAAAAAATAGTTTTTTTTTCTTTGCTGTTGACAAAATGTGACGATTTAACCTTTACGGCTAAAATGCAATTTAAGCAATAATAGGGGGAAAAGCTAGACAAAAAATACATCAAATCGATGATAAGTAAAAAACCGTGGGCTGAAATGACTTAACACTTAAAAAATTTTTGGAATTATTTTCAACAAACAACGGCTGTCAGGTAACTATTTTGACAGTCCCTGTAGTGCAAAGAGGCCTTGGGAACCCACATATCACCTCGGCAAGATGCAGATATTTCATTACATGTGTGCCATTCACGCAATCTAAAACCGCAGTTTTGAAGAAAATCTTTGTGGAAGGCTTTCATTTTTATAAAGCCGAGAGCGAACGCCGCCCCTTTTTTGTTATAATGGTGATGGTAAAGATGGAGGCATATCGCGTTTCCCATTTGATGGCAATCAGCATCACTCTTTTCATGTTCACAGGTGAGTTAGGATTGTTCCTTTTTTTAACAGCAGGAAAAAGCAACTGCAAAAGTGTTTCAAAGTGTTTTTTAAATGGTGACTTTTAAATCAAATTGATGCTAATACCGTTGTGCATCTAGACAAAATAATTAATTTGAAAATGCACAGCACCGTGCATTTTCAGGGAAAGGGAAAGAGATGATTTTTCAATGGTCAGTTTCTAACTGCTAACGAGACGACGAAAAATGTCCAACGTTTCTCACGAACGTATGACGTATAGGAAAATGAAAGAAACAATAGGAAAAATCTAGAGAGCTTCTGTAAGATTTCCAACCGAGGACTTTTCGATTTCGCTGTTGGTTGAATACGTAACCAACTGAGTCTCGCTACTGGAGACTCGTTGGTAACGGAAACCATGTATTAGCTTTACATATGCCTTTCTTTTTTTGTGCTATTGTTTAGAAAATTAGTCGCATAATCAATTTTCTTTCCACCGGGTTGAGCAATCGTTATTCGGATCTTCCCAAAGTTGTTTTTGCCAACTGCATCATTTCCGCTGATAGTTGACATTTCTCAGGACATTAGTGAGGTATGCAAATCGCGCCTATTCTTTAAATCAATATTTGTTCGATAAACCTTTCTTCGTTTTGGTTGTTGAGAAGGGCGTTCCAGCCACTTTGTTTATTGTTCGGTGTCTCCAGGTTACCAATTGTCTTTCCCCGAGATGCAATAAAGCACCTAGCGGGGTGTTTTAATGAGTGAATTGTCTCGAATTTTTTAGTAAAAAGTGTGAATGTTTGACCAAAGCGATGTCAATCAAGGATCAGCAAAATCAAAGCAAATAAAGCAAACCACGTCGGGTTGCTATATTTAGCTTTTTTTCATCTTAAGATTTAACAGAGCTTTTTCTCTTTTCGTTTTTTTTTCCTTTTCATATAAAAAGTAATATGACCTCTGTGTATTTGAAATCTCATTGATAGACATAATTGTTAACAACCTCGCAACAAACATAACTATCAGATCCATCCCAAGCTAGTTAATGAAATATTATTTTCATACCCTTCTGCCTGTCTGTAGCGAAATCTTATAATCACTATATAAACAGCACAAACGCCGCATGAATTGAAGTGTCAGTGCTGTTATTTTTCAATAAGGTTTTTTGCCCTGGAAATCTGACAGAGCCCTCACAAAAGGCAACAATAATAGAACAACAAATATTAAAAAAAAAGTCAAAGGAAAGTATTTCCTCAGCAAAATGTTTCCGCAGAGGAAATACCTTGAAAAAACTTCCTTCGTTGAAAAAATATTCGTACCTCGGCTATCTAAAAAGTTTCTAACGTAGCTACTTGTGCAGTTCTCGGGTCAAATACGATACTTGAAAAAATATAAATAAACAAATCTATTAACTTTTCTTTCTAGAACGAAGTTTTATCTCGGGTTTAAGGAATTTTTGGAATAAGTGAAATAGCCAAACAGATTATTATGGCATTTGGGGCAGATATCAGACAAGCATAATTTTCGTTAAATAATACCCTATAAATAAATAAAAATAAATATAATACTCTTCATCGTTAGTAATAACCGCTGATTCTACAGCTAACCTTAATCACGCCTTAAAAGAACGACGAAAGAAGAAACAAAAATTGCCAAAATAAGGAAAATTTGAATTCCAAAAGTAATCAAATAACGAATACACGTAAGTATCAGTTTTTTAAGTGATGAGTGCTTACCTCGCAGTGAGATAGGAATCTCACAGAGGGTAGCAAAATGAAGCCGGAGGAGGTGGTTGTTTTCAACTTTTTCTTTGCCTTAGGCGATTGATGTGTTGCTTATTCAAGGCCGTTAGGTGTATTTCGAAAACTAGAAGCCAAAATTCTAGAAAATGAAATGATAACAGTGGAATAATAAATCTTTTATTCAATAATTCAATATATAAAACGAACAGACATGTTACTTACTGCTTTACTCAAATTTTTTGTCGCCCCAAAGAAGCGTAGAAAAAATATTACGTAACGCGCAAAATAACTGTGGGTACTATTTTGTAAACCATGGAATGAGGTAATCCTGAAGACTATCCGCCAGAATACCTCGATATGTTTACCTCAGTGGATTTTACATTAGTTTCGAGGGCATAACGGTGAAAACCATCAACCAAGTTTGTAAAGGATATGATTTCTACCAACGTCTGATATGTAATCAGATAGGTAAAACTCAAACTAAAACAACGCAACCAACCGCATGACGGTCGGGAACACTATGCTTCTCAATGCAAAAATTCTCAAAAGTGTAACGCACAAAAAAATGTGTCAGACATGCCTTGCTAACGCAAGTGTCAGAGCTGTTATTTTTCAATAGGTTTGTTACCCTGGAAATCAGACAGAGCCCTCACAAAAGGCATTTTTGGTACATTAAGAACAACAAATATTAAAAAAAAAAAAAAAAAAAAAAAAAAGTCGAAGGAAACTATTTCCTTAGCAAAATGTTTCCGCAGAGGAAATACCTTGGAAAAACTTCCTTTGTTGAAAAAATATTCGTTAAATGTGTGCAATTTTTGTACCTCGGCTATCTAAAAAGTTTCTAACGTAGCTATTTGTGCAGTTCTTGGGTCAAATACGATACTTGAAAAAATAAACAAATCTATTAACTTTTCTTTCTAGAACGAAGTTTTATCTCGGGTTTAAGGAATTTTTGGAATAAGAGAAATAGCCAAACAGTTTATTATGGCATTTGGGGCAGATATCAGACAAGCATAATTTTCGTTAAATAATACCCTATAAATAAATAAAAATAATCGTAATACTCTTCATCGTTGATAATAACGGCTAATTCAACATCTAACCTTAATCACGCCTTAAAAGAACGACGAAAGAGGAAACAAAAATTGCCAAAATTAGGAAAATTTGAATTCCAAAAGTAATCAAATAACGAATACACATAAGTATCAATTTTTTAAGAGATGAGTGCTCACCTCGCAGTGAGATAGGAATCTCACAGAGGGTAGCAAAATGAAGCCGGAGGAGGTGGGATACTTATCCCGTTTCACGCGCTTATTTTAGAAAAATTCACGCGTCACGTTTATTTTAAAACACCATTTCAGGCATCTCAACTTCAAAAGAACAGACCTCAAGTCTCTCTTCTTTTATGCGAGGTTTCAGGGAAACCTTGAAGCTTTCACGAAATGAAAGAAAATAATTCACGGGTCATGTATATTTCAGAAGGCAAATTGCGCTTCGTGCTTGATCATAAATTCACGAATCACGCTCGCCTTTCGGTAAAATTCACGCCGCGTCACATTTTATTTCTGGCCTTAAAAACTCCTTCCCACTATCCTTTCTGATTTGAATAATAATAATAATAAGGAAGGATTTTCATATCGCCATATCCATCAGCTCATAGCGCTTTACAACATTTTATGGGGGACTTTAGTCAGACTGCAATCAGCCTTTTACACCTAAGAAGAAAATGTTTTCAGATGCCCCCATTTCAGACCACATCCTGTGCAACGTCAAAATAACGAGCTGAAAAGCTGTTCCGTTTGTATGAAAATAATTTAATCGTCGTGTGACATTTTGATCCCCTTGTCAAACCATAAAACACGATGCTTAGGAAAATACTTTGCGTTCTTAATGGTTTGTTAATTACTTCTGTGTCGGAAAAGCATATGAATATGGATTCCTTTATAGGCTATATATAGTTAGACGGTTCAAAGATTCGTTTGTATTGTTTTCAACTTTTTCCTTGCCTTAGGCGATTGATGTGTTGCTTATTCAAGGCCGTTAAGTGTATTTCGAAAACTAGAAGCCAAAATTCTAGAAAATGAAATGATAATAGTGGAAAATTAAATCTTTTATCCAATATATTAAACGAACAGACATGTTACTTACTGCTTCACTCATATTTTTTTGTCGCCCCAAAGAAGCGTAGAAAAAATATTACGTAACCCGCAAAATAACTGCGGGTACTATTTGTAGACCATGGAATGAGGTAATCCTGAAGACTATCCGATTACGTCAATGGTTTTACCTCAGTGGATTTTACATTAGTTTCGAGGGCATAACGGTGAAAACCATCAACCAAGTTTGTAAAGGATTTGATTTCTACCAATGTCTGATATGTAATCAGATAGGTAAAACTCAAACTAAAACAACGCAACCAAACGCATGACGGTCAGGAACACCATGCTTCTCAATGCAAAAATTCTCAAAAGTGTAACGCACAAAAAAATGTGTCAGACATGCCTTGCTAAGGCCAAATGATACTAGCAGCGTATTTGCTGCTACTTACCCCTTCCCTGTGACCTTCTCAATTAGGTACATCTCCACCCCACAGCTGCAAGAGTGTTTTTTCGGTTTTTGGTTTTTCACATTTTACACAACTCTTCAGTTACGCGTAAACACATCAAACGTGACTAAATATTTTCCGGGTTCAAACTCTGACGATTTTTATCAATTTCTCAGAATTGCCTTTACGTCATAACATCCTACGAAGTGTGTAGGTGGCAAAATAGCATTCTTTCGCGAGAGATCTGGGTAAAAAAGATTAAATTCCATGCCTATTTTCAGACCAAAAGTGGCTTTATTTTCTTATTTTTAACAGAAATAGCAAGTTTTTATGTTTTTTTTTAACTGCTTCAAATGTTTTTAACTCGTGCATTACAAGTGCAAGATTTTGAAGTGAGAAAGCCATAGGTAAATTCATTTCATCAAAGGTCTACGATCTTCACAGATCAGGCTCGTCTCTTGACGTGATTTTTCTGTGAGGGAAAGATACTTCTGTAAGAGCAAATATAGTTAGCACAAATGCGATTTCTGTGTAAAAATATGTTGAAAGCATCTTTTGAAAAAAAAAACCAACATCCTGGTGAAAAAAAACTGGTGAAAGCTGAACTCAAACTCTGGTGAAGCTGCCTTACACGACCTCGTCTTAAGGTGACTGTCATCGCCCGTGACGAGCTTACCAAATAATTCTATATGATAAAATCAATAAGGAGCAACATTCTTGACAATTCTCAAATTTCTTTTCCTGGAACATCCAACGAGGCCGGATGCAGTGTCATCTATGTCACACAGAACATCGGTTTTTGATTTCACAGACGGCGCCAGAAAGTAGCTGGAACGTGTCTCCCATCTCATAGCGCTTCTCCTTTCTAAATTTTTGTGATCTAAGTTTTTGATTTACGATCGAAGAGTATTTCTGAAGTTTCGAAGTTTCCTAGTTCATCAACTGGGTATTTTGGCGTGTAAGGCTTTGAGTATATCGAGAGCAGAGCAGAGCTGGCCACGTGCTAAATGAACTCATTGATCATCTTAAGGATTATTTATACAGCTACGAGTACAATCAGCACAACGTCCACCTTCGAAACGAGTGTGTTAAGGCATTGCATCGGCAGAAAAATATCGGAATGGCTTCAAAAATTGCTTATTTTGTCGTATTTTTCATTGGTCTACGCTTCGGTTTTAATGCAGGTAAGATGGCTTCTGTTTCTAGTACAACCTCATCCATTCTTATCGCTTTCAATGTTTCTGCATCGCATAATTTGTTTTGTTTTTTTTTGCTTGAACCTTCCGGTGAGTTCGGTCGTTTTAAGTCGAGAAAGTTGTCTGTTGTTTTTTTAAAGGTGGCCTTTTCATCTCCGAAGATGAGGGACTTTTGTGATAGAAAATGTAGAATCGATAAAGAGGCTTTTCCAGAGCGATATCGCTTTTCCAGTTTTGATTTCCACTGGACAGAATACAAACAACTGAAAAATACCCGGACTACTTTCTTTAAAAAAAAAAAACAGTGATCAGATGGCAAACTGGCGTCTCTCTTTTAAGTTCATCCATCCCAATAAGAAGTAGAATTTTCCAGTTGTTTTTTTTCTCGATCGCACGAATAATTTGACAGATGCTGTAAGTTGCACAGTCAGCTATTGTGAAAGACACTTCTAAAATGAGAGCCCATTTCACAACAGAAGAGGACCACTATCGCATAATGCTTTTGTTATTTATTCACGAACACCACAGAGATTAGGCATTTTGAATGCATGTGTACTTTTTCCATAAATCAATCTGAGTCCCCTGTCTTCGTGAAGACCCCTCATTGCTTTTTAAGTAACGGAAAGGTTCTTTATTCCGCGTGAAGCAAATAAAATAGAAAACGCCAGTGCATGCTCGTCATCGAATCAGCAGGTTTTCTTCCATTATCTTAACTCATGAAGCATATACATATAGGAATCGTCAAACGTGTGGCGGGCAAATGAATTTGTCCGTGGGTGAGTATTTACCTCAAAATTTCTCGTGTTAGTACTTACCATTCATAGCGGCGTTAGTCATTTGTCTGAAAAGTCACTTTCAGTTTGAAATTATATGTCATAAAATATATATTCTCGCCAATTTTTTATTCGTACATTAAAAAAAAGGCGTTCGATTTGAAGACATGCAGAGAGGGTTGATTTTATCAAAATATTTATAATGATAATCATGAGTTGTATTGTATGAATGCTAATCGCCCAAAAGGTTTTTTCACGAGATTCGCGATACAATTTATGAAGTCACCCAGTTTTTGCATTCAAGGCGTAAAGCTTTAATGTCCATGAAACTTATTCCGGATAATAATAACATGATAAATCTCTCCCTTTTCTTAGATTCCATCTCCTCAAGAGGTTTACAATCTCTTTCAAATTATTTTGGTCGAATATTTCAACCTAACGAGCCACATTTCTTAGATTTGGACCGAAATTTTTATTGAGCAGATCATGTCCTAATTATAGCAGTAATTTTATCTCAGTGGGAGAACGTCCACAAGAGTCAGAGAATTAATTCCCCTTTCGACTTTATCTTCGTTATCCTTTCCTTTTTGTCCCACGCTCGAAACAAATAAAAATTCAATGTCCATGTTATCCAGTGCAGTTAAAAATTTCTACCAACTGTTTTTACCGCTATGTACGTCGCGCACTAAATTTCACTCGTTTCGTGTTTTGGAGGAGCGTGTGATACGTGAGAGGAATTTTGGCTCATTTTCCGCCGGCAGTTTTCCGAGAAACTCAGTATTTATAAAATTCTCAGAAGATAAAAGGCGGATCTGTTGTGTCCTTTTATGGTTAAATGACGCATGTGATGACAGTTGTCTGACGGGATCTCATGTGAATCTCTTAACAAACCGTATTATTTTGTCTCCGCGTTACTGACCTCGTCAGCTGTGAAACTGTAGATATTATTTGCATGAAAACATTTGTTATCGTTCCGAATTTGACAACCTTTAAAGGCCTTTTAGTCAGCTTACACTTAAAAATTGAAATTGCTTTTTAAATAAACTCCTCCCTGAATATTTCTGTTTTCATTCCGGCCGAAATTGACAGAAGTGTAAATGTCTTCTGACTTAGGTCTGATTCGCCTTCGCTTTTCGACTTGGTTGTAAACCTCAAGGCTCTTCAAGGGCCCATTGTTTGAGAGAGACGCAGCACTAACCCAGGATTACAATTCAAAACTAGGTATGACTTATCTGAGTCGCATAAAGTTTTCGTCAACTGTTAAAGGTAGCGCAATTTCGTGTTTTCGAATAAAGACTGACGGCTGTACATTAATTAAAGTAAAAGGACTAAGATATAATTACATAAACGTGTAATATGTAAACTCTTCGCTGTAACGCTGATATTTTCAAATCCTTGCTGTTTTTTGAGACTGTACTTGTCGGGGAACATATTCTTATAATCTTAAATAATATTCAGGGGTAAAAATATAGGTTTATTCCAGATCAATTCAGCATCAAAAGATGGTATTTCTAACTTAGAACTATTGACTTACAATGCTGTTGTCTTTTCACATACAGGGGCTTTAGGAAACAGCACCGGAACGACCTCGCTCCCTTGTACCTCAGCTACTACGTTGCAAAGGGCACAATCAGCAGTTGTTTCAGCTACGACGACGGAGAAATCATCACTATCAGTTTCAGTCACTAGGTATGCTTCCACGTCATATCAAAAGGCAAAACTGTCGAATACATCAACTATGTCACTCAGACAGTCGAAAAGTACATGGAGTTTGGAATCAAGTAACACACCTCATAACCCATCATTACCAGTTTCGTCACTGCCGAATATTTCAGCCACAATTCTGGACGAGTCAAAAAGCACGCTAGGATTATATTCATGTACTGTCGTGTATTCTTTAGCATGCGCAGCCTTGTCGAATGTCTCAACTTCTACCATGATACGGAAACAATCGAACAGTACAACAACACTACATTCTGGTAATATTACAACTACGACGACTGAACAACTCGTACCTTCATTGACAACAGCCCCAGGCAGTGCGAATTATTCCACATCGTCCACTATATCTTCCTCTCTATGCAGTTCCTTGGCATGCGTAGCTTTGTCAAATGTCTCAACTTCCATCATAATAACCCACCAATCAATCAGTACAACAACACTACATTCAGGTAACCTTTCAGCTACCACGGAACAACTCGAACCTTCATTGACAACAGCCCCAAACAGCGCGAATTATTCCACATCGTCCACTAGATCTTCCTCTCTATGCAGTTTGGTTTATTACAGTTCATGTTCACCTTTCTCTCCGTTGGATGTTTCGAGTTTATCACGAAGACAATCCTCGCGTTCTTCATCGTCAGTATCGGACACCACGACTTTTCTTACATCATCAAAAATCATATCGACGTTGACTGTTCCAAGCAGTGTGCCTTATTCTACATCTTCTTCAAGCTCGATTTCATCGGGTATTTCAAGTACCATGGTGCAACAGACAACAAGTCCATCAAGTTTGGATTCAAGTAGTACGCCTTATTCTACATCTACAGCGTCGCCAACATCGACTGTTTCAAGCTCCTTGATGCAACAGACAATAAGTCCATCAAGTTCGGATTCAAGTAGTGCTCTTTATTCTACATCTTCTCCAGCTTCGCCATCATCGACTATTTCAAGTTCTGTACTACAAAAGACAAACAGTACATCAAGTTTGGATTCAAGTAGTACGCCTTATTCTACATCTTTTCCTACTTCGCCGTCTTCGAGTATTTCAAGTCCTGTACTGCAAAAGACAAACAGTACATCAAGTTTGGATTCAAGTAGTACGCCTTATTCTACATCTTCTCCTATTTCGCCATCTTCGAGTATTTCAAGTTCTGTACTACAAGAGATAAACAGTACACCAAGTTCTGAATCAAGTAGTACGCCTTATTTCTTATCTTTTCCAACTTTATCAGCATCAAGTATTTCAAGCTCCATACTGCAACTGACAACAAGTCTATTAACTTCTGATTCGAGAAGTTTGCCTTCCTCCACATCCTCTCCAACATCGACGCTTTCGAAGATTTCAAGTTCCATGGTGCCAATAAAACAAAGTTCATTAACGTCAGATTCTCGTAGTGTGCTATATTTTACATCTTCCCCTACCTCGTCATCAGCGAGTATTTCAAGTTTCACGTCACAGCAGACAACAAGTTCATTGAGTTCTAACTCTAGTACTATCTCAAGTTCTACACTACAACAAAAAACTAGTTCTGTAAGTTCAGATTTAAGTAGTGTGCCTTACACCACATCTTCTCTTATTTTGCCATCATCGAGTTCCATACTGGAGCAGACAACAAGTTCGTCAACTTCAAATTCTAGTACTGTCCCATATTCTACATCTGCATCTTCGTCATCTCTGATTATTTCCACGCCAGGATTATATTCATGTACTATCGTGTATTCTTTAGCATGCGCAGCCTTGTCGAATGTCTCAACTTCCATCCTGATAAGCGAACAATCAATCAGTACAACAACACAACATTCAGGTAACCTTTCAGCTTCCACGGAACAACTCGAACCTTCATTGACAACAGCCCCAAACAGCGCGAATTATTCCACATCGTCCACTAGATCTTCCTCTCTATGCAGTTTGGTTTATTACAGTTCATGTTCACCTTTCTCTCCGTTGGATGTTTCGAGTTTATCACGAAGACAATCCTCACGTTCTTCATCGTCAGTATCGGACACCACGACTTTTCTTACATCATCAAAAATCATATCGACGTTGCCTGTTCCAAGCAGTGTGCCTTACTCCACATCTTCTCCAGCCTTGAGGTCATCGGGTATTTCAAGAGCCATGGTGCACCAGACAACAAGTCCATCAAGTTTGGATTCAAGTAGTACGCCTTATTCTACATCTATAGCCTTGCCATCATCGACTGTTTCAAGCTCCATACTGCAACTGACAACAAGTCTATTAACTTCTGATTCGAGAAGTTTGCCTTCCTCCACATCCTCTCCAACATCGACGCTTTCGAAGATTTCAAGTTCCATGGTGCCAATAAAACAAAGTTCATTAACGTCAGATTCTCGTAGTGTGCTATATTTTACATCTTCCCCTACCTCGTCATCAGCGAGTATTTCAAGTTTCACGCCACAGCAGACAACAAGTTCATTGAGATCTAACTCTAGTACAATCTCAAGTTCTACACTACAACAAAAAACTAGTTCTGTAAGTTCAGATTTAAGTAGTGTGCCTTCACCCTTAGCGGCATCAACACTACTCACATCATCAGTTGAACCATCAGCATTGGCATCAACATCTCCATTACTAACACCATCACCATCATTAAAGTCGGAACGTACCACAGTACGCAATCAATCGCAATCAACGCAACCAGCACCATTCTCAAGGGGACCACCAGAATCACCATCAGCGTCACTATCGCCAACAGTAGTTGCATCAGGGTCATCATCATCAGAACAAGAGTCGCAATCGATATCATCATTAGCATCAAACCAATCATCACCGCAATCATCACCACTGTCATCACTAGCGCAATCAAAATCATCACCGCAACCACCGCCGTCCACATCCTCATCAGCATCACAGCCGCCATCATCACTGGCTTTAGCATCACCACTCACATCAGTATCAGAATCAACCCGAGTATCGCCGCCACCATCAGCGCCAGTGTCAACAGTGCCATCACCATTGACACCACTGCCACCATCCCTCTCGTCATCATTAATGCCTGTATCACCAGAGCCATCAGATTTTCCGTCACCGTCACCATCGGCAGCACCACCAAAGTCTCCATCACCTTCTCCACTGACTCCATCACCGCAATCCCCATCACTTCCACAGTCACCATCAGCACTGCAACCGCCATCATCGTCACCACCAGTATCACCAATCCAGTCAACACAATCTTTAGCTGTAACACAATCTAATGACAATGTGACACAATCTTTAGCTGTAACACAATCTTTACCATCCTCGTCGATAGCATCAACAGGTTCGACAAAACAAACTGTATCGACGACAACAAAAGTAGTTACAAGCACAGTGTCTACGTCATCGACGTCGCAACCACCTACTACATCGTCAATAGGTAACATAGTAAATAAGTAAACCATCCATACCTCATGATTACGGCACAATATTAATGCTGTAGATCTGCTGTATAACATACATAGTTCAGTTCTGTGGTGCAACATCTACACTTCAGATCTGTGGTATGACATCTGCACTTTAGATGTGTGGTATAATCATAGCGCTCATAGCGGTTCTTTAGTTTATACTAACATCCGTTATTATGTTACGGGACTTGAGGGTCACTCCTGACCATATGACATATGACTTCTGCACATGATTGCAAAGGGGCAATCATGTATCATGGGCTATCTGACACTTTACGTGAAACGTGCTTAAAATAACCCGCAGGAACAACCATTACTGATAAAATTTGTTTCTTTCATTTGTATTATGACTACAGTAGAAGGCGCTAAGAAATTCGATGGAAAAGGCAAAGTGAATGAACTTTGGGACGACGAATATAAAAATAGCAGTTCCGATAAGTACAAAGACCTCAAGAACAGGCTGGAAACCCATTTAAGAGAAATTCTCGAAAAGAAATACGGACAGAACTTAATCAATCTTAAGGTGGAAAACTTCCAGAAGGGGAGTATAATTTTCGACTTCACAGTTTTCCTTACATCTACGACGGATGTTAATGCCAACAGCCTGAAGGAGGCGATAGAGAAAGATGAAGGGGGCTCAAACTTCACTATTTCCGTTGAAAGTGTAAAGCAGGTCGCTGGTCCCACACCAACAGTAACGTCGCAATCACCCACTACATCGTCAAAAGGTAAGATAGTGAATAAGCAGACCATCCATACTTCATTTGTAGAAAACCATTCGCATCTCATGTTTGCAGCACGATGTTCATACTATAGATCTGATGTATAACATTAACAGTTCAGTTCTGTGGTATAACATCTACATTCAAGGCCTATTTGTTCAAAGACCTGGCAACGCTACCCAACAGATGAACTGCAACCCAACAGATAAATGTTAGCAAAACGTCCTGTGCAATCCACCGGATAGAGATTTATTCGGTGGATAGCGTTATCCACCCTTCGAACATCTGGGGCCAGATTTTTTCGTAGAACATCCACGCTCTAGATCTGTGGTATACCATCAATATTTCAGATCTGTAGTATAACATCCACGGTTCAGATCTGTAATTTAACATCTATACTTCGGATCTGTAGTATAACGTCTATACTTCAGATCTGGGGTATAACGTCTATACTTCAGATCTGTGGTATAACATCTATACTTCAGATCTGTAGTATAGGATCTATACTTCGGATTTGTGGTATAACATCTAAACTCCAGATCTGTGGTATAACATCTATATTTCAGGTCTGTGGTATAACATCTATCCTTCAGATCTGTGATATGACATCTAGACCTCAGATCTGTGGTATAACATCTATACTTCAGATCTGTGGTAGAACATCTACACTTTAGATGTGTAGTATAACATCCATGCTTCAGATATTTGGTATAACATTTATATTTAATATCTGTGGTATAACATCAATACTTTAGATCTGTAGTATAATATTTATATTTCAGATCTGTGGGATAATATCCACTCTTCAAATCTGTGGTATAAAACCCGCACTTCAGATCTGTGGTAGAACATCCATTCTTCAGATCTGTGGTGTAACATGTATATTTCAGATTTGTTGTATTACATCTATACGTCAGATCTGTGGTTTAATCATAGTGGGTCTTCAACGCTATCCACTGTTGTAGTTTATACTAACATCCTTTATACGTCACGGAACTTTAGGGTCACTCCTAAACATGACTTCTTCACATCATTGCGTAGGGGTAATCATGTCAGTAGCATTCTATCATTGGTTATCTACACTTTTCGTGAAATGTTCTTGAAATTACCCGTACGTTCAGCCATTACTAATAAAATTTGTTTCTTTCATTTGTACTATGACTACAAAAGAAGGCGCTAAGAAATTCGATGGAAGAGGCAAAATGGAGGAGCCTAGGGACAACGAATATGCAAATAGCAATTCCGTTAAGTACAAACACCTTAAGAGCAGGTCTGAAACCCATTGAAAAGAAATTCTCGAAAAGAAATACGAAGAGAATTTACTTGATCTTGAGGCGAAAAACTTCCATAGGGGAGTACAATTTTCGACTTCACAGTTTTCCTTACAACTACGAATGATGTTAATGCCGACAGCCTGAAGGAGGTAATAGAGAAAGATGAAGAAGGCTCAAATTTCACGGCATCCGTTGAAAGTGTAAGGTAGGTCGCTGGTCCACAAAAAAAGTGAGCAACCTGAGGCGACATCCTTTGTAAAGGCGTGGATTGCGGTTGTGATCACACTTGGAATTATAATTCTGGTTTTGCTTGCTTTGCTGCTGTGTTTAATCGTGAGTAACGATTAGTCCTATAAAAGATTTCTCTCTAGTAAACAGGGTAATAATAGAAGCTTTAAGTAAGATTTGGTGCTTCCGATATCAATGAGGGGAGGATCGTAATTATAATCGTCAATCAAAGAGAAGAAGCACTTTCAGAAGGGGCCAATGAACACTAAAACTGGAGAGAGGTCACAATACCAGCTATAAGCGCGAATAATCGCGAGAAGCAAGTCACGTTAGTTTCATTGATCGAGAAGGCGGCACGAACATAAAAACAAATCAAAAAATGGATATAGAATCCAACCAATGCTATCACGAATTTCTATTGTCACTCAGTTGAAAATTGCTCCATTCAGATTTAATCAAGGGTCGCAATAGTTAGTATGATTAAAACACACAGCTGTTATTCAATCACTTCTGACCGATTCTGAACACTATTCTTTGGGAAACTTCAATCTCCCCAGCCTAGGAGTTACAATCAAAAAGGACTTACAGTTCTATATTAGTGGACTCTATGTAATTTCAGTTGAAGTGCATTTCGAGCCGAAACTAATTTTTTGGTATTTCCTCACAAAGCTTCAATACAGAAGATTGAAAAATAGTTGGAGGGCGAGAAAGGCGTCAATTCTGCACAATGACAACGATCCTTTTGCACAGCCCCGTATATACAGCATCGATTCCAAAGATGTGTACTTGCTATCTGGTATATCGGATGGAAGACGAGCAAAAAGTCATGGTTTAGCGGTGGGTTTTTACTTTCACCGTTGTCCAGTTGTAGTGACCTTTATTACTGTTTGTGCAGCCTTAACAATTAAGCCTCATTGTTAACTTTCCCTCTAGAAATCCGATTTAAACTTCACTTTCTCCGAGCACCTTGGTCGCTCCATCTTGGCCTTTCTCATCACGTGTTTTTATTGAATTTTTATCTACTCTTACAATATTTTTTGGCCGGTTTCCATGGATTATGAGAGATATTTCCTCGATGCTTTATTGTGGGAAACGAAGGAAATCTTTACATAAGGTAGATGAAAAGACGTATATTACATCGAGAAAAATGCAGAAAGAGGTAAAATGTAAATGTATTGGCGATTTTTTCTGATTTTTCTCTTCAGCTTCTCACCCGTTGCCTTGCTTTATTTTCGTTACACAGACATTTAGTGCGGAGAATGAAGGTTATAATGGCCCGGAAAACGACGATGAGAAAGCAGAGCCACAAAGCGATGAGCCTTTGCAAGCCGACATGAAAAGTGATGTTTCCGAAAAGGAAGACAAAGATGAAGAGAATGTCCAGTTCTTACCTGCAATTGGTTTTTTATTAGTGAAACAGCTGAGGCAAAAATGTTGTCTTTTTATCGATTTAACTACAAGGGATAAACAATGAAGAAATGAGTGCTCAATCATAACCATTAATGTCGAACAGTGACGTAAGTGTGACAGACTAGATAGAAAGAACAGTTACCTATTTTTTCGAAATACTGACGCATGTAGCACTGGATGTAGATAACAGTCTAGTTAATAGCAGTCGTTCTGTTTTAAAGTAATGAATGTGGCCTTTCGCACGTTTTTTTATGTTTTCCATCCAATATGTAATGGTAATAGGACTGAGTGGAGTCCAATTCGGTCTGTAATCATACGAATGATAACAAAATCGAACAACCGTGAAGTCTAAAATTGAAGGCCTAAATTGCGATTGGTTGATTTAAACAACAAATGTGATTTTTTGGCTAAAATTATAACTTTAAATGTGATTGGCTTATTGAACTGTCCGATATCAAATTGGCAAGTGAATTAATGGCATCAAACCAATCACAATCGAGGAAATTGTAGTTTTTTTGTTATTTAATAAGAGCTTTTTTCTTTTAAAGGTAATAGGTAATAAGAACTTCCTTTTTTCAAAGATTGTTGAGTAATAAGAGCCTTTTTTCCCGAAGGTAATTGGTAATTTTCACTTATGGTTCGAGTCTTTCCGTGACTCACACGCCTGGAATATGATAACGTAACTATTTGTTCTAAGTGACACTTATTTATTTACTCTTTTAAGTTCACACTCTATTTTTTAAATCGAAGAGACAACTATTTCTTTCCAAGCATTGGTTACCACGTAACCAGCATTACGCGGTCAGTTTTCAATTGTCGGTTTGTTCTCTTAACAGTAATTTGAAAACCTTCGGAGAGTCGATGACCTTTAAATCGACTTTAAATGCCTACTGATAAGGCAATATGTGATACAGTTGTTGAGACTTGAAAACCTCCTTTACAGAAATAAACCTGTTTGTTCTAGAACAAGAGTTGTACATAAGGCAAAACTTATAACTACGTACGGGCCACGTGTTGTGGGAATTATCGATCTCGTTACATTTTATGGCAAAAATAATTCTCATATCTTATTTCAGTAATCACAAAAATACGTCGATTTTCGTAATGTTATTTATACGTGTTAAATACCTACAACTACAATACAATTACAAATTCAAATCACTATTATCTTCCTGAAGAAGCCCCGTCAGAGTCAAGAAGAATTCATGGCATGTGTACCAGAATCATTCGATCCCAATGCAGTCCCACTACACAAAATTATCCTCAGTCTTAACATACCATTTCTACGATCTATTATAGAATCAATTTTACAAGAGTCGTACCTAACAAAGGACGTTTAGCCTAGTGATAACAATCAGCAACTTAACGAATCTATCTACCACGAACTCTTAAATAAGTACAAGTCAATTTTAGATTTTAGATTTCAGAAGTTATCTAAACACTACAATTTTTTTGTCTCAGGGAAACGTACATTACGTTGTGCGATATATGGCCTACAAAGCCCTATATCATGAAACATTCATGAAAAGGCACAACAATTATCCTGCTTGAATTTCAAGTGCTTTACATTACTTCAAGCTACAAGTGGGGACATTCAGTTAGAGAGCTTGAACGGTTCCAGAGCCATCGCCAGCTTGTGAACACCGGATAAGCACTGGGCCCAAGCGGTCTGTGCGGCCGGGAACCTCTTGATAATGAGCCATGACGAAAACAGGAACAAACAGAAGTACATGGACCAACGGATGTTCCGCAATCTGGAAATGAACCAAGGGAAAGTTTAAGGTCAATCTAGGCTAAAGTAAAGAGACCTCTGAATTTATATGAAAGAGAAAGGGGGTCGAGGAACATTTTTAAAAGTATGATTCAGAACATCAAGAAAGCTTTCATTCCTTCCACAAAAGCTAGCCACCAACAACCATCCTAAATACGACACAAGCAGCAACGAAAGATGCTAGAACGAACTATTCTATTTCTCCAGAAAAATCAACGACAAACGTGATCTCCACCGACTAGCTGGTTGAGTAACGAGAAAACCTCAAACCCAGTACTACACCAAGACATTTACGGTATCTCTTCTCTTTATATCCAATCATCAATATGCATATTCTCCATACTGTTTCTCCATACATTTCCTAAGGTTCTGACAAGAAGAATTGGTTTAACATTTATGAGCTTCCTGAGTTGGTGATCATTTCCTATATTCTTGTGACCTTCATGTTTGACTCAGGGGTGATATTGTAAGGAGAAATTGGATGTTAGTCATTCTTAAGGGTCCAAGGGTTAAGCAGAGGGTAGTAAAATATTCGATGTGTCTTGTTTTTTTTCACAAAAATTAGTATCACTCTAAAAATTCACTTTACCCTGTATTTTGCGCATTTAGAATCTCTTGACCCTTACCTAACTAAACCAACAGCGACTTCCTCTAATAAATTCAAAGTGAAATATGTTTTCATATACTATTATAAGAGTAAAAAAAAACTGATAGCATGTTAAGAGTCTTGCCTGCGAATGCGGCTTTGCGCAACTGGAAGATTGGCCATATCTTCTTTGAGAACAAATTTCTTGAGGCCGAGAATGAAGTGCAAAAAATAGTTGTTCCAATCCAGCTTCTGCACGTCAAAGTTGAAGGTCTGAGAACACAGATAGATCAAGGAAAATGCTAAAATAAGCTACACAAAAGTTGCAAAGTCTTACAAAAATGCGTGATAGGAAGCTGCCAGCTTCAGACAAGGCAATGAGTAAAACTCGCCAACATTCAGAGCACAATAAGCAATAGAAAATATCCAGTCTTCCTGGTCTTTTAAACCCTTTTCTTCCAGGATCTAAATATCACTTCTCTGCACTGTCTGCCATACACTCATCATGATTTTGGAAATGAGAATTCTGCGATAAATCAAACAATATTCCCTGGTTGACATTTTTTACCATCTGGTCACCGTTAAATTTGAAAATGTATGGATACTGAATAAAGAAATAACTCTTAAGTAAAAAACCTTACGGCTTTAGTTTACATAGCAGTTTATGTCCCACTAAGTGGCTGAAAACAGTAAATAATTTGTCGTTTCCTCAAACCATGCAATGTTACATGGCTATTTCAGTTCTTTAAATTTGAACTTCATAAGTTACAGCCGAAATTTTGGATAACGCGAGCCAAATTCCGCAAGGAACAAGTTTACTAACCTCTCTGTCTTAAGGGCTCATATCTTGGATCAGTCCATGATAGTTGTCCATTGAAAACTACAAATAAAAAACATCATTTGAAATTCAACAAGCTCCTGTGAAATGCTACAGTTGCTTACACTTCGTTTGCGCTCACGGTGGACAGACCAGCATTTAAGAGTTTAAATGTCATTTTGGCGGGAGACGCAGTAAACTCAACACAGAGCGATCCGACAGAGGCCAAAAACCTCCGCAACTTACTGAGTAGTTCTTCTCTTGATAATCCCTGTAGGAAGTGTTAGGTTTTGTTTTTTACGGCCTAATTTATTGTAAACTTTACTTGAAGTATTTTTATTTTTGACGATCACTCGTAGGGTTATCATGAATACGTCCTTCCCATGCAGGACAGCTCCCATACCCATCTCAATGAGAATAAGTTCGTGTGTCCACATTACATCGATTGTCATTATCAATCCAAATATAGATTTCAGAAACGTAATGTAAAATATAAATATAATCATTAAGTCCAATTCTACCTCCCAGCCTCTGGAAGTGAAGCTAGAAGATCAAACTCTTGGTTGCCCTGTCCAGCTTGCCATATAACTTATTCATTCTGTTGAGATCAAACATATCATAACATTCTCTCAACAAGCTGATCACATAAGAGTAATTTTTTTCCTTTCTTTTTTAACCGGAGAGCCATTGAAACCAGTTTGTTTGGCAAACTTCATCTTTCTTAACCTCTGTACCTTCAGAAATTGTTTATTTCTGGCCTAGAAAGAGATTCATGAAGAAAACTGATAAAACAGTAACTCGAAGCTAGTTTTGATTACAGCACCTTTGTCTTTGATGAATACAAATACAGTTAGAAAACTTGGGCAAAACCCTCTAACTCACTCACCTTGTTCTTTGCCCAGAACAAAAGGATCCCATGTCAGCGATAAAGGCAGGGATTTTGTGACCAATGTAGCACCAGTAGTAGTGAATCAGTCTGTAAAACAAATGAATGAACAAATTAACCAATTAATTAACAAAACAATCAATCCATCGATCAGTAAGTTAGTTAGTCAACCAATCAGGTTGTCAATCTCCCAAATTTCAATTAATGAATGAATTGCATCATTTTAATGATCTATTCATTGATTAGGTAATCTTTCAGTCTGTCAATGTCCTTCCATTAATGTCATATGACCACTCATCTGTCCAAACAAGACTACAGTGACTGACAAACCATGCAAGACAATATTGACTGCAACAATAATTATACAGTTAATTAATGGCTATTTTCTAAATGATAAATTCTAATGCTGAAACACTCTCTTTCCTGAAAGAGCAAAAGTTATGTGCTGGCAACCGTTAAAGTGCAAACCACTCCTGAACAAAATTGGACAACCATTCAACAAATGAAAATTTAGCTACCAGTTTTCTCGTCCAAGGAAATATGAATATTGACATACGGCACAACAATTTTTTCAGTTTCCATGACTACGTTATGCCAGGAGCTATACATTGCAGTGATCGAAAGATTCCGTTGAAATTTTAATTTTTTGAGTTTTTTTTCTTAATTCATAAACACACTGAGATGTACTTATTTTTTTCCTAAAAAACTTGGTATTTGTTACACATTTTATTAAGAGGCGATGGCATTCCATAGGGCGAGGATTGACGACATATGTGACTAGACTTCTATATTTACCTTGACACAAGTAAAATATAACACGACTTCCTCAGCAAACCGTTTGTAAGTCGGCTGTCAAACTTTGAGCGGCAATAATAAAAAAATGAAACATTGCGTAATGACAACCGCTCGGCGTCAATCCGCACTTCGAAACACAACTCGAAATCGAATCAAACTCGAATAATTCATGTAAGTTACGCGTCGTCTTAAAATAAACCTAAGCAAGAGCTGCACCTAAAGAAATGTCCTTTAACTGCATAATCCTTATCATTTCGATGCAAAATATTCATAATTATGATCAAGGATTACCGATGCGGTCAAGTAAACAATTTTTCTGTCAGTCAACCCCTGAAACACAAAGGCGCTGTTACTTAGTATGCCTTAATCCGGGCACTTATATCAGACAAGCGATAATTGACATAATTTTCCGTTCTGGAATTGATTCACGTCTGATATTTCTTCTGAAGTAGAGGGATTATTGAAAAAAGCGTGCTCAGCAACGCGCCAAAGCTGTTTTAAACCTTGGTTACAAAAGGTTACGATTACTCTGCCGTCCGGCTCACTGCGTTGTGCTCTGAGAGAATTTGATTTCTCAGATTCCTCGTTCCGCGGAAGTCTAGGTTAGCGTTGAATAGGAGAACTTCAACCTACGTGATTGTATATCGTTCAAGCTCTGTCGTCCATATAAAGCCACGATGGATCAGATCAAAACGAGGATTACTCTGTTGGTTACTGTGATGTGGATCATGTCTTTTACGGTCTGTGTGATCGCGACTAGCTCACAAGGTAAACAAATTCCTTAGCCTGTTTTATCAAGAATGCAGAAATATAAAAACCTTTTCATGTTTGTTTGCTTTCTCTCGTGCAGATGTCATGCTGATTTGCTTCAGTTAAGAATAACTTAACATGTCGTTTATCTCTTTCACACGCAAACTGGTCAGACGATCCATTAAAGCTTCACTAGAATTCTGACACATATGCTGACAAGGAGCCCCTGTCAGCAGCAATTTTAACTAAGCCTTGAAGCGGAAGGCCTTCAAGTCCATTAAAGACAATATTTAAAGGTCTTCTTTCCAGTCTCTTCCCGGATATTCGTAATTAAAACTCAATGGTTGCGTGATAAGATTTACTTTAATAATTTCAGCCATTTAGATTTTAATTAAGTCGAAAGGGATATTTATTACCTCTGAAAAATGATTCAGAGCGATTTGGATGAATTTACACGAACGCAAATAATTTTTTCATGAAGCCTTTAATTAATTCATTGTCGTTCGTCTAGAACCAAAGATCATCAAAGAACCATGTTGACATAAATAAACGAAAATAGCCAAGAGAAATTACTTCTTTGAGAAGTTATCCCATGCAGTTATGGTTGATCCGCACATTTTGAAAAAACTTGCAGGAAAAAGTCAGTCTAGAAACTTGATTCCTGTGGTGTGATTTTTTCAACTAACATTGCAGACAGGTCAACGTTCGCCATGGGGCGGAGGTGCTCACTTGAACAACTTAAATTTTCTAAATACATTTTTCCTGTCACTAAGTCGAGGCGGGAGAATCTGACTAAAGCGCTTTCTAATGTTGTTTGTTACTGTGTATAACTCAGCATATTTTCATTAGTCGCGAAAATTCTGTCTTGGTCGCTCACGGGAATTAAAGGTTTAAGGACACGTTTAGGTCTGTGTTAGCAAAGAGTGGGTGCCTTTTTTATAATGTGACGATGTAGTTCGAGTAGGTCGGACCTCCTCCGTTTGGCCTCTGTTTGGTGGAGGAGAACTGGGAAACCCTAGTGAATTAAATAAGATTTAAATTAAAGATCACGTTGAATGATATTTGAAAATTAAATAGAGCATGAATTTAGAGAGCAATCGTCCTTTCATTCATGATGATACCAGATTTTTTAATCAGTTTTGACGATTATTATAGTGGAAAATTGGATTGGACACTTATAAACAAGCTATTTACTCGTGTATTTAGATGTAGATCGTAGCTTATGCTGCTTACGCTTGTCTTGCTTAGCTTTTGGCGCCTTTCGCGTTGTGTACCAAAAAGCATTTCTCACTCTGTACTTATAACTATCTGTTAAAAAAGTTAAAGGTTATTTATGATAAAGACTCAACAGAAGTTTAGATAACATTATCATCTCGTTTTTCCTTATCAGCAACATCGTCGTCGCCATCTGCGTCAGCTTCAACATCGCCGCCAACTCCTACAACACCTATAGTATTACTACCGACATCACCTGCAGCGTCAGGATCACCTCAACCATCAGTATCAGGGTCGACATCAAAACTAGCGGCATCAAAATCAATGTCCTCATCCTCAGGATCGCATCACCACCATCACCGTCAGTGGCAAAACATCATTTAAACCGCCAACCAGCAATCTTTCTCATCCCAACCATTAGGGTCAGTGGATTTAACGGCATCATTATTCTCATCATCAGCTGAACATTCAGCACTGGCATCGACATCACCAGCAGCGTCAGGATCACCTCAACCATTAGGGTCAGCAACAACATCCGCGGATCATCACCTGAACATCTATAGCATCTTTACCGACATCACCAGCAGTGTCAGGATCACCTCAACCATCAGGGTCAGCAACAACATCATCGCTAGTGGAATCAACACTATTTTCATCATCACCTGAATCTTCAGCATCGGCATCAGCCAAAGCATCGAAATCACTGGCACAAACATCTATAGCATTACTACCGACATCACCAATGTCCTCATCCTCAGCCAAAGCATCGACATCAGCACCAGCATTACCATCAGCAGCACAAACATTTATAGCATTACTACTGACAGTACCAGCAGTGTCAGGATCACGTCAACCATCAGGGTCGGCAACAACATCACCGGCAGTGGAATCAACACTATTCTCATCATCGCATGAACCTTCAGCATCGGCATCAACATCTCCATCACCAACACCATCATCAAAGTCAGAATCACCACAACGGCCAACTTCACCATTATCAAAGTCAGATTTACCACAATCGCAATCAACACAACCAGCACCATTGTCCACGGAACCACCAGAATCACAATCAACGTCTCTATTGCGAACACCAGTTGCATTAGGGTCATCATCATCAGAACAAGAGTCTCAATCGATATCAGCATTAGCATCAAACCAGTCATCACCACTATCATTACTAACGCAATCAAAATCATTACCGCAACCACCGCCGTCCACAACCTCATCAGCATCACAGCCACCATCATCACTGGCTCTAGCATCACCACTCACATCAGTATCAGAATCAACCCAAGTATCGCCGCCACCATCAGCGCCAGTGTCAACAGTGCCATCACCATTGACACCACTGCCACCATCCCTCTCGTCATCATTAATGCCTGTATCGCCAGAGCCATCAGATTTTCCGTCACCGTTACCATCAGCAGCACCACCAAAGTCTCCATCAACTTCTCCACTTACTCCATCACCGCAATCCCCATCACTTCCACAGTCACCATCAGCACTGCAACCACCCTCATCGTCACCACCAGTATCACCAATCCAGTCAACACAATCTTTAGCTGTAACACAATCTAATGACAATGTGACACAATCTTTAGCTGTAACACAATCTTTACCATCCTCGTCGATAGCATCAACAGGTTCGACAAAACAAACTGTATCGACGACAACAAAAACAGTTACAAGCACAGTGTCTACGTCATCGACGTCGCAACCACCTACTACATCGTCAATAGGTAACATAGTAAATAAGTAAACCATCCATACCTCATGATTACAGCACAATATTAATGCTGTAGATCTGCTGTATAACATACATAGTTCAGTTCTGTGGTGCAACATCTACACTTCAGATCTGTGGTCTGACATCTGCACTTTAGATGTGTGGTATAATCATAGCGCTACCCGCTTCTTTAGTTTATACTAACATCCGTTATGTTACGGGACTTGAGGGTCACTCCTGACCATATGACATATGACTTCTGCACATGATTCCAAAGGGGCAATCATGTATCATGGGCTATCTGACACTTAACGTGAAACGCGCTTAAAATAACCCGCAGGAACAACCATTACTGATAAAATTTGTTTCTTTCATTTGTATTATGACTACAATAGAAGGCGCTAAGAAATTCGATGGAAAAGGCAAAGTGAATGAACTTTGGGACGACGAATATAAAAATAGCAGTTCCGATAAGTACAAAGACCTCAAGAACAGGCTGGAAACCCATTTAAGAGAAATTTTCGAAAAGAAATACGGAAAGAACTTGATCAATCTTGAGGTGGAAAACTTCCAGAAGGGGAGTATAATTTTCGACTTCACAGTTATCCTTACATCTACGACGGATGTTAATGCCGACAGCCTGAAGGAGGCAATAGAGAAAAATGAAGGGGGCTCAAACTTCACTATTTCCGTTGAAAGTGTAAAGCAGGTCGCTGGTCCCACACCAACAGTAACGTCGCAATCACCCACTACATCGTCAAAAGGTAAGATAGTGAATAAGTAGACCATCCATACTTCATTTGTAGAAAACCATTCGCATCTCATGTTTGCAGCACGATGTTCATACTATAGATCTGATGTATAACATTAACAGTTCAGTTCTGTGGTATAACATCTACATTCAAGGCCTATTTGTTCAAAGACCTGGCAACGCTACCCAACAGATGAACTGCAACCCAACAGATAAATGTTAGCAAAACGTCCTGTGCAATCCACAGGATAGAGATTTATTCGGTGGATAGCGTTATCCACCCTTCGAACATCTGGGGCCAGATTTTTTCGTAGAACATCCACGCTCTAGATCTGTGGTATACCATCCATATTTCAGATCTGTAGTATAACATCCACGGTTCAGATCTGTAATTTAACATCTATACTTCGGATCTGTAGTATAACCTCTATACTTCAGATCTGGGGTATAACGTCTATACTTCAGATCTGGGGTATAACGTCTGTCCTTCAGATCTGTGGTATAACATCTATACTTCAGATCTGTAGTATAACATCTATACTTCGGATTTGTGGTATAACATCTAAACTCCAGATCTGTGGTATAACATCTATATTTCAGATCTGTGGTATAACATCTATCCTTCAGATCTGTGATATGACATCTAGACTTCAGATCTGTGGTATAACATCTATACTTCAGATCTGTGGTAGAACATCTACACTTTAGATGTGTAGTATAACATCCATGCTTCAGATATTTGGTATAACATTTATATTTAATATCTGTGGTATAACATCAATACTTTAGATCTGTAGTATAATATTTATATTTCAGATCTGTGGGATAATATCCACTCTTCAAATCTGCGGTATAACACCCGCACTTCAGATCTGTAGTAGAACATCCATTCTTCAGATCTGTGGTGTAACATGTATATTTCAGATTTGTTGTATTACATCTATACGTCAGATCTGTGGTTTAATCATAGTGGGTCTTCAACGCTATCCACTGTTGTAGTTTATACTAACATCCTTTATACGTCACGGAACTTTAGGGTCACTCCAAAACATGACTTCTTCACATCATTGCGTAGGGGTAAGTATGTCAGTAGCATTCTATCATTGGTTATCTGACACTTTTCGTGAAATGTTCTTGAAATTACCCGTACGTTCAGCCATTACTAATAAAATTTGTTTCTTTCATTTGTACTATGACTACAATAGAAGGTACTAAGAAATTCGATGGAAGAGGCAAAATGGAGGAGCCTAGGGACAACGAATATGCAAATAGCAATTCCGTTAAGTACAAACACCTTAAGAGCAGGTCTGAAACCCATTGAAAAGAAATTCTCGAAAAGAAATACGAAGAGAATTTACTTGATCTTGAGGTGAAAAACTTCCATATGGGGAGTATAATTTTCGACTTCACAGTTTTCCTTACAACTACGACGGATGTTAACGCCGACAGCCTGAAGGAGGCAATAGAGAAAGATAGAGAAGGCTCAAATTTCACGATATCCGTTGAAAGTGTAAGGTAGGTCGCTGGTCCTACACTAACGACAATGTGTCCAAGTGAGCAACCTGAGGCGACATCCTCTGTGAAGGCGTGGATTTCGGTTGTGATCACACTTGGAATTATAACTCTGGTTTTGCTTGCTTTGCTGCTGTGTTTAATCGTGAGTAACGGTTAGTCCTATAAAAGGTTTCTCTCTAGTAAACAGGGCAATAATAGAAGCTTTAAGTAAGATTTGGTGCTTCCGATATCAATGAGTGGAGGATCGTAATTATAATCGTCAATCAAAGAGAAGAAGCACTTTCAGAAGGGGTCAATGAACACTAAAACGAGAAGAGAAAGGTCACAATACCAGCTATAAGCGCGAATGATCGCGCGAAACAAGTCACGTTAGTTTCATTGATCGAGAAGGCAGCGCGAACATAGAAACAAATCGAAAAATGAATATAGAATCCAACCAGTGCCATCACGAATTTCTATTGTCACTCGGTTGAAAATTGCTCCATTCAGATTTAACCAAGGGTCGCAATAGTTAGTATGATTAGAACACACAGCTGTTATTCAATCACTTCTGACCGATTCTCAACACTATTCTTTGGGAAAACTTCAATCTCCTCAGCTAAGGAGTTACAATCAAAAAGGACTTACAGTTCTATATTAGTGGACTCAATGTAATTTCAGTTGAAGCTCATTTCGAGCCGAAACTAATTTCTTTGTATTTCCTCACAAAGCTTCAAAACAGAAGATTGAAAAATAGTTGGAAGGCGAGAAAGGCGTCAATTCTGCACAATGACAACGATCCTTTTGCACAGCCTCGTATGTACAGCATCGATTCCAAAAATATGTACTTGCTATCTGACATATCGGATGGAAGATGAGCAAAAAGTCATGGCTTAGCGGTGGGTTTTTACTTTCACCGTTGTCCAGTTGTAGTGAACTTTATTAGTGTTTGTGCAGCCTTAACAATTAAGCCTCATTGTTAACTTTCCCTCTAGAAATCCGATTTAAACTTCACTTTCTCCGAGCACCTTGGTCGCTCCATCTTGGTCTTTCTCATCACGTGTTTTTATTGAATTTTTATCTACTCTTACGATATTTTTTTGGCCGGTTTCCATGGATTATGAGAGATATTTCCTCGATGCTTTATTGTGGGAAACGAAGGAAATCTTTACATAAGGTAGATGAAAAGACGTATATTACATCGAGAAAATGCAGAAAGAGGTAAAATGTAAATGTATTGGCGGATTTTTTCTGATTTTTCTCTTCAGCTTCTCACCCGTTGCCTTGCTTTGTTTTCGTTACACAGACATTTAGTGCGAAGAATGAAGGTTATAATGGCCCGGAAAACGACGATGAGAAAGCAGAGCCACAAAGCTATGAGCCTTTGCAAGCTGACATGAAAAGTGATGTTTCCGAAAAGGAAGACAAAGATGAAGAGAATGTCCAGTTCTTACCTGCAATTGGTTTTTATTAGTGAAACAGCTGAGGCAAAAATGTTGTCTTTTTATCGATTTAACTACAAGGGATAAACAATGAAGAAATGAGTGCTCAATCATAACCATTAATGTCGAACAGTGACGTAAGCGTGACAGACTAGATAAAAAGAACAGTTACCTATTTTTCGAAATACTGACGCATGTAGCACTGGATGTAGATAACAGTCTAGTTAATAGCAGTCATTCTGTTTTAAAGTAATGAATGTGGCCTTTCGCACGTTTTTTTGTTTTCCATCCAATATGTAATGGTAATAGGACTGAGTGGAGTCCAATTCGGTCTGTAATCATACGAATGATAACAAAATCGAACAACCGTGAAGTCTAAAATTGAAGGCCTAAATTGCGATTGGTTGATTTAAACCACAAATGTGATTTTTTGGCTAAAATTATAACTTTAAATGTGATTGGCTTATCGAACTGTCCGATATCAAATTGGCAAGTGAATTAATGGCATCAAACCAATCACAATCGAGGAAATTGTAGTTTTTTTGTTATTTAATAAGAGCTTTTTCTTTTTAAAGGTAATTGGTAATAAGAGCTTCTTTTTTTCAAAGATTGTTGGAAATAAGAGCCTTTTTTTCCCGAAGGTAATTGGTAATTTTCACTTATGGCTCGAGTCTTTCCGTGACTCACACGCCTGGAATATGATAACGTAACTATTTGTCCTAAGTGATATTTATTTACTCTTTTAAGTTCACACTCTATTTTTTAAATCGAAGAGACAACTATTTCTTTCCAAGCATTGGTTACCACGTAACCAGCATTACGCGGTCAGTTTTCAATTGTGTGTTTGTTCTCTTAACAGTAATTTGAAAACCCTCGGAGAGTCGATGACCTTTAAATCGACTTTAAATGCCTACTGATTAGGCAATATGTGATACAGTTGTTGAGACATGAAAACCTCCTTTACAGAAATAAACCTGTTTGTTCTAGAACAAGAGTTCTACATAAGGCAAAACTTATAACTACGTACGGGCCACGTGTTGTGAGAATTATCGATCTCGTTACATTTTATGGCAAAAATAATTCACATATCTTATTTCAGTAATCACAAAAATACGTCGATTTTCATAATGTTAATTATACGTGTTAAATACCTACAATACAATTACAATTCAAATCACTATTATCTTCCTGAAAAAGCCCTGTCAGAGTCAAGAGGAATTCATGACATGTGTACCAGAATCATTCGATCCCAATGCAGTCCCACTACACAAAATTATCCTCAGTCTTAACATACCATTTCTAAGATCTATTGTAGAATCAATTTTACAAGAGTCGTACCTAGCAAAGGACGTTCAGCCCTGTGATAACAATCAGCAACTTAACGAATCTATCTACCACGAACTCTTAAATAAGTACAAGTCAATTTTAGATTTTAAATTTCAGAAGTTATCTAAACACTAAATTTTTTTTTTCTCGGGGAAACGTACATTACGTTGTGCGATATATGGCCTACAAAGCCCTATATCATGAAACATTCATGAAAAGGCACAACAATTATCCTGCTTGAATTTCAAGTGCTTTACATTACTTCAAGCTACACGTGGGGACATTCAGTTAGAGAGCTTGAACGGTTCCAGAGCCATCGCCAGCTTGTGAACACCGGATAAGCACTGGGCCCAAGCAGTCTGTGCGGCCGGGAACCTCTTGATAATGAGCCATGACGAAAACAGGAACAAACAGAAGTACATGGACCAACGGATGTTCCGCAATCTGGAAATGAACCAAGGGAAAGCTTAAGGTCAATCTAGGCTAAAGAAAAGAGATCTCTGAATTTATATGAAAGAGAAAGGGGGTCGAGGAACATTTTCAAAAGTATGATTCAGAACAACAAGAAAGCTTTCATTCCTTTCACAAAAGCTAGCCACCAACAACCATCCTAAATACGACACAAGTAGCAACGAAAGATGCTAGAACGAACTATACTATTTCTCCTGAATAATCAACGACAAACGTGATCTCCACCGAGTAGCTGCTCGAGGAACGAGAAAACCTCAAACCCAGTACTACACCAAGACATTTACGGTATCCTTCTCTTTATATCCAATCATCAATATGCATATTCTCCATACTGTTTCTCTATACATTTCCTAAGGTTCTGACAAGAAGAATTGGTTTAACATTTATGAGCTTCCTGAGTTGGTGATCATTTCCTTTATTCTCGTGACCTTCATGTTTGACTCAGGGGTGATATTGTAAGGAGAAATTGGATGTTAGTCATTCTTAGGAGTCCAAGGGTTAAGCAGAGGGTAGTAAAAGACTCAGCGCGTCTTGTTTTCTGCACGTGCATTCATTAAAATTTCACAAAAACTGGTATCACTTTGAAAATTCATCTTACCCTGTATTTTGCGCATTTAAAATCTCTTTACCCTCACCTAAATAAACCAACAGCGACTTACTCTAATAAATTCAAAGTGAAATATGTTTTTATAAACTATTATAAGAGTAAAAAAACACTGATAGCATGTTAAGAGTCTTGCCTGCGAATGCGGCTTTGCGCAACTGGAAGATTGGCCATATCTTCTTTGAGAACAAATTTCTTGAGGCCGAGAATGAAGTGCAAAAAATAGTTGTTCCAATCCAGCTTCTGCACGTCAAAGTTGAAGGTCTGAGAACACAGATAGATCAAGGAAAATGTTAAAATAAGCTACACAAAAGTTGCATCTTACAAAAATGCGTGATATAAAAGGGCAATAAGTAAAGCTCGCCAACATTCAGAGCACAATAAGCAATAGAAAATATCCAGTCTGCCTGGTCTTCTAAACCCTTTTTTCTTCCAGGATCTAAATATCACTTCTCTGCACTGTCTGCCATACACTCATCATGATTTTGAAGATGAGAATTCTGTGATAAATCAAACAATATTCCCTGGTTGACATTTTTTACCACCTGTTCACTGTTAAATTTGAAAATGTATGGATACCGCATAAAGAGATAACTGTTTTAAAGTATAAAACCTTACGGCTTTAGTTTACATAACAGTTTATGTCCCACAAAGTGGCTGAAAACAGTAAATAATTTGTCGTTTCCTCTAACCATGCAATGTTACATGGCTATTTCAGTTCTTTAAATTTGAACATCATAAGCCTTACAGCCGAAATTTTGGATAACACGAACCAAATTGCACAAGGAACAAGTTTACTAACCTCTCTGTCTTGAGGGCTCATATCCTGGATCAGTCCATGATAGTTGTCCATTGAAAACTACAAGTAAAAAACATAAGTTATAATTCAACAAGCTCCTTTGTACTGCTCCAGTTGCTTACACTTCGTTTGCACTCACGGTCGACAGACCAGCATTTTACTAGTTTAAATGTCCTTTTGGCGGGAGACTCAGTAAACTCAACTCAGGGTGATCCGACAGAGGTCACAACCTTTGCAACTTACTGAGCAGTTTTTCTCTTAATAATCCGTCTAGGAAGTGTTAGGTTTTGTTTTTTTACGGCCTAATTCACTGTAAAAGTATTTTTATATTTGACTATCACTCGTAGGGTACCATGAATACGTTCTTCTCATGCAGGACGGCTGCCTGCCTCCACCATCCCTCTAGGCCCCAGCTCCCAAACTCACCCATCTCAACGAGAATACGTTCGTGTGTCCACATTACATCGATTGTCATTATCAATCCCAACATAGTTTTAAGGAACATGTTGTAAAATGTAAATACAATCATAAAGTCCAATTCTACCTCCCAGCCTCTGGAAGTGAAGAAGATCAAGCTCTTGGTTGCCCTGTCCAGCTTGCCATATAACTTATTCATTCTGTTAAGATCAAAACATATCATAACATTCTCTGAATAAGCAGATCACATTAGTGTAGTTTTTTTTTTTTTTTATTTTTTTTTTAACTGAAGAGCCATTGAAACCATCTTGTCTGGCAAAATTCATCTTCCTTATTCTCTGTACCTTCAAAAATCGTTAATTTCTGGCTTAGAAAAAGATTCATGCACAAAACTGATGAAACATTACTTCAAAGGTAGTTTTGATTATAGCACCTTTGTCTTTGATGAGCCCAAATACATGTAAAAAACTTGGGCAAAACACTCAAACTCACTCACCTTGGTCTTTGCCCAGAACAAAAGGATCCCATGTCAGCAATGAAGGCAGGGATTTTGTGACCAATATAGCACCAATAGTAGTGGATCAGTCTGTAAAATAACATGAATGAACAAATTAATCAATTAATTAACAAAACAATCAATCCATCAATCAGTAAGTTAGTCAGTCAATCAATCAGGCTGTCAATCTCCCAAATTCCAATTAATGAATGTATTGCATCATTCTGATGATCTATTCATTGATTAGGTAATCTTTCAGTCTGTCAAAGTCTTTCCATTAATGTCATACAACCACTCATCTGTCCAAACAAGACTACAATGACTGACAAACCATGCTAGACAATATTGATTGCAATAATAATTATACAGTAAATCAATGGCTTTTTTCTAAATGATAAATTTCAACTTGATACCTTCTTTGCTCAAAAGCAAAGTTTGGTCTCCTGAATACTCCTTCAAATGGATAATTCTGGAAATGCTTGCTAACCATGATACCTGTCAGTAAATACAATTTAAATAATGTATAATTATTATAAGTACATAATGGCCAGAAGAAGAGAGCAGGTCATGAAAAGCAAAGCCATAAAAATAAGTAATTTAATTCAAGACAGGAAAAAACAAGATTAACAGAAAATTACTTCACAACATTTCAAGCTATATACAGAATGATTCAATTGACAGATTCAAATAAACTTACACAAATTGCCCCAAGTGCATCCATTCAATGTGCCTGTAGTTAGATGGTAGACTGGAATACTTGAATGACTACAAGGAAACAAGACTGATAACAATTCCGTGCAAGTAACAATTGCATTTAGTATATGTAATCACATGAGGCCAAGTACCATTAAGGATTAATTGCACGAGAATTTTCAAAATTTTCCAAAATTGCCCGTGTCGTGAAGCGACGAGGGCAATTTGGAAAATTTTGAAAACTCAAGTGCAATTAATCCTTAATAGTACGAGGTCTCATGGGATTACTTGTTTATCAATAAAGGGCAAAATTTATACGAAGGAAAATCACGTGCGCAGTCTATTTTTATCTGGGAAGCCTGTTTAGCGCTACGGCAAATCATCAATCAAATTGAACTGACCAATCGATTCAATGAAATTTTATTCTCCAAAACTGTGTCGTGATACACTGCCAAAAGTCTAGAAAACAAAGCTCATTTCAACAGAGCGTTTCTGCCAACAGAAAAACAACAAAGTGCTTTTAACTGAACAAGGTAATCATGCCCTCTCTTGATTACTAAAAATGCCCTCGATTAAGAAAAAATGCCCTCTCTCTCAACCAATCAGCGCTCAGTAATTTTGCCCTTTATTGATAAAGGCAGTTTATGGTACTTCATCCTGCACATGTCACTAAATCAAAGTTGCTTGGATGAAATGTTCCTTGTACAGTATTTTTAGACCTGAGCCAGGAAAACTGGACTATCCCTTCTAACTAAATAAAGCCACAGTAACCTTCATTAGAAAATAAAAGGCATTTTAAGTTTCCTCTCATAGTCTCATCACTTGGATGACCTCTTTTTTTATTTTTCTAGTTTCTGTTTCTCATGACCTTTTAGATGGTAATCTAAAAAAAGTAGCTCAAAAGTAAGACGAGACTTCACTCTTTGCATTTCTTTGAAAACCACCCCTTCATTTGCTTGACTCAATTTTTTGTATCAAATGTGGGGCCAGCGCTTTAATGGAAATGGGTTAATCAGTTCTGTTGATCAGGCCTTCATGACTCTTCAAAAATTTCAGTCATCTATACCTCTATCCTGTCACACCTTCATTACTTTAATTAATTTGGAACTCTCTTCCTGTTTCAGTCACTCGTTCATCAAAGCTTCTTAGCTTTAAGATGAAAATGCAAGAGTTTTTACTTATATAATCACTGAATTGGCCAGCTACACATTCGCAGCACTTTTTCTTTACTTGATTTATTATTACAAGTGAGGCGGCTCCCCCATAAGCCTGGTGGCTTCCTGGGTCTCCTCGCCTTCTAGCTATTAACGCTGTAAATAAATTTTGTACTGTGAAAATAAGGCAAATAAAAGATGATGATTATGATGATTACAGTATGAACATGAATGCTTATCTACATGTATTGGAAACATAGAAATAGAGCTACCGACACTTCCTTTGTACCTATGCAGCAAAAATAAGACATTCAACTACCTTTTTGCAACTCTGTGCCAAGCAATGGCAAGCAACATATTGGCTGAGTAGTCAACAGGAATAATATCTGCAATGGCATTCCAATCTCCGATCATTGACCGCAGCATTCCTTTTCCAGCCTACAAGTAAAACACATTTTATTTACAACTATACCTGAAAAAGAAAAAAAGGCCTTTGTCTCTGTCCATGGAATCTTACCAGTCCTTCACTCAGCTACAACAAGTTCAACAAAATCTAAATGTTTCAAAGATGAGAAAATTACTACCAAACTTGCCACCATTTATGTTGATTATCTGTAGAGATGTTCCATTTTTTCACTTTGCAAGTACATAAAAATGTATAGTGATTGATTTTACAAATACAAGATAAAAAAAGAAACATAAGTCTGAGGATAGGAAATTTTGTAACGATAAACTATCACTGTCCTGACATAAGGAAGTGATCATTTGAATTGTTTGCACCCTTTGATTGTAGTTCAAAAAAAGATTGATACCCTTCAAATATGATATACAGAAACATGCCTTTGGGTGAAAGAACAGTATGACCTTTGTGTCCTTAAAATTCTAGATTTATGGCATTGCACACTGAGTAGCAGCATGAGCAGAGGGTACATTGTACATAAAATGAAGGAAAAGAAATCAAAAGCAACAACTCACAGCAACAAAAAGACCACTAGGCCCGTTGAAATTGTCCACCCAACCCTGAAAAAAAAATTTACCATCAAATGCAGGGATTTTTTGCTGCTAGAGAAATTGTAAATCATTATAATATAAGGGGAATTACACTATCTATACAGTTTCCAGATCTCTGACACACACAAACACTGCTGCAACAACTGAATTTACAAAATATCCTTTAATTATTTATTGATTCATTAAAGTAAGTTATTGAGGGTATGTCTGACCTGTTTCAGAATGTCTGCAAGAACATATCAGCAAATTAATCTTTTAAATGACCAGTACAAAGTAATGTGTGCTTGCATGTAGTGCAAGTACTTGACAGAAGTTCTTATTAGGTGGTTAACAGAAAAGCATGACACAACTCACTTCCAAGGGTTCTTTCCAAGCTGCACCAATGATTGAAGGCCTGAAAATTGCTATTGGGATGTTGTCAGCCTCTTGAAGTAAGACATGCTCAGCCAGACTTTTGGTGAAAGTGTATGTGTTGGGTCGCTTGCCAATCAAATGTGGTGTTAGAGAATTCACCATGTCATCATTCATCCAGCTGATCACAATAAAAAAGATTGCATCCAAAGAATTACTTTTGCAAGAGCCTAGCACAAGAACATAACCTAAAGAGGTAATTATGAATATCTTTGTTCAGCATGCATGTGTTTGTGTGGAGGAAACATCTTTGAATACACATCATATGCTACATGAATAATGTACATAGAAATCTTTGTCACTTTGTTACCCAATAGATGAGGAAAGCTTGTCAGGGTCTACTGAAGGAGGGTATATCCTTTCATCAATGACTTCCCTGTCACAGTTAGCATATGCTGTGGATACATGAACCAAGACCTGAAGAAAAAATTATGGAAAATGTAAATAAGAGATATTTGTATATAGTATTACATGTATGTTGTGTATTATTAGTTCAAATTGATGCAAACTTTACAATTAGACCTCCCCCCTAGTAGATAAATAAAAGATTAAAATTGCGCTTGATGTAACTTCATCTGAAGTTAGTTCTAACAGGATTCTTGATAAGCAAATCTGAAATTTAAAGAGAAACTTTTTAATATTCTTTTGGTAAGGAGAGAAGGGTGTAACAGGGTCAATTTATTAGGCCAAAAGTATGTGAACAACATGGCTATAGGAGTCTTCAAAAGAACTAATACACATAATATTACTCTACTATCTATATAAATCAAATCATTTAAACTCTTTTGCTGCCTTGTTCTTAATCAAACAAGTTTTTCATCTTCCAATTAAAACCCCCAGGTTTGGATCAGACAAAATAACCCACACACATTACTGAAAGATGCAAAATATTGTGCATTCTAAAAAAGCAAAAAAGAAAGAAAAAAAAGAAACATTAGCTACTTTTTTTTATTGTTTTGACTGTAAGCTAACATTTGAGAATTTAGTCTCATTCTAGTTTCCTTGCTTTGATTTTCCATGCTATCAATTCTGAAGAACACTGCCCACCTGAAAAATCTAAAAATTCTCACCTCAAGACGTTTCATCCCACGGCACAACCCAATGACATTTTGAGTTCCATATAAATTCAAAGTCATTGCATCCCTATGGAAAGATATCAGGGACACTTATATACAGACATGCCAAATTGAAAAGGGGATTAAATTCGAGTTCTTAACAATGCAGCATGTTTAAGTAATATAACTGGAATAAAAATAAGATGAAAATGAAAAATGTGAGCTTGGCTTGGTTGTTTCGGTAACTAAATTCAATTCCTGATGCTTACTTTAGATCTTCATCAAATCTGACTGTTGCCGCAGAGTGGAATACAATTTCAACATTTTCTTGAAGTGTTCTCCAATCCTCATCTGACATTCCAAGTTTATCTTCAGCAATGTCCCCCTTGATGGGTACAAGTTTGCTTCTCCAGTCACCACCCATGTCTCTTACTCTGTCATAGAGCTATAAAGGAGATATAAATTTACAATTTGTTATTGACCTAACTAAAAATGTTTACTCTAATTAAACATACCGCTTATATCAATACAGAATTGTAACAATTGATAGTTACATAACCAGGTGTTTTTTGGCTTCAGGATATTTGAGGATTATCACGCAAATATCAAGAATTTCCCAGCTTAAACTAATGGCCTCAAAGTAGAAAATCCTCTCTTTTATCTATTTACTATCCTCTTTCAACAGAACTTCATCTCTGCATAACAGATGCATAGTTACATAATAGTTACAGAGCTAATTAAATCACAGTTTCTATCCATAAAATGAGATAAAAAAAACAGCCATAATTAGGAAAAGCCATTGCAGCATCTGAAAATGATAAGTACTGTAAATCGCAATTACAATATAACTGTGGGGTGAGCAAAAGTGTCTCAAGTGGTGAAAAGAGTGAGCAGTTTTTCCATAAAAGTTTATCAGCATTTAACTTTTGATGATAGCTCTGAACTGAATCTCTTATGAGAATCAACTTTAAAGTTAATGACATCAGAAATATAGTAAAAAAAAAAAGAAGAGTCATAAGAAAAACCTACCATTCCATCTAACAAGTCATCAATTCTCTGTTGGGGGCTAACACCACGTCGGCTTCTTGCCAGAAGATAAATCTTTTTCACATGAGGACATGCCCTTAAAAGTTTTTCTATCACAACTTTACCAAGAAATCCAGTAGCCCCAGTAATAAATACTGTTTTCTGTGCGTAAAAGTCACTTATAGACAACAGATCCTTTGCTTCTGACATTCTGGCTTCAAAGTGTTTGGCACCAGCTCAGACTTATTCACAGCACAACCTCTCCTCTGATAATACTCCCTCCAGACACTGCAAACAATTTATAACACCAGAATCATATAAACCGGTATTGAGGGTGAAAATTGAGTGTTTATAAACACAATGTCTAGTTGAAATGTGGTATCCAACTGAGAGTGGGGCAGAGGTTCTAATAACCAGGAAAGTTCTGCGTCTGGTTTTAAAATGTGTTTTTTCTTGTCCTCACAAACTGAATCTTGAGATGAAAAGAGCAGGGGCTTTAGGCTTTGAGCTCTGATACAATAAAAATTGATTGTAAAACACAATCACTACTAAATAAAAACTTTTTCCTGCTCTGAATTAAAGATTACATAATACAGTATCTTATATAGCTAGATGACTATATACATGTTTATATCACTCATCAGTCCACAATTTAGGGCACAATATTTAAGAGTCTCATGCAAAAATGCTATCAATCTGATACAGGACCAGATTAAAAAGATAAATAATCTCAAGGCAGCCTTTAAATGAAGTAGTTCTAAATGGTTGGTAAGAAAATGCCTATTCTTAAACTAAAATATAAAACTATTCAAGTTACATGAGAAATTGAAGACAGAGACTGAAAGCCACACAGACAATAATGTCTTGGTAAAGAAAGCAATAGCATGTAGCTAACATGTGCTGCTAACAACAGGACACCAGTGAAGACCACAACAATTACTTAATCAGTGAAAATAACGTACAGTTTTCAACAAATTATTTTCTATATCATCAAAAAAATTAAATTTTCTTAAGAGAGTGCTGAAAATAGGCTTATGTGAAATAATACAGTGTAGGCAGTCTCTTTTCCTATTATGATCACAACCAGAGGGTTAAAGTCACAACAATTACATAATAATCACTTCTTTTGTCTGAACCACCTCCTGTAACATTTAACACTCATTTGACCTTTACATTTGCATGTGACAGCTAGTGGGAATGAATGTGATGTAGACATGTAACCAGGACAAAGTCCTAGCTTTAGGAAAATGTTCATTGTCTTCAAAAATAGCTCAACACTTTGTAAAATTGACACCAGATGCAATGAGCTAACCTTTTAAAAAAAATTAAGACTCGTTTTCAAAGTGGAATCCCTGTGCTGGAAAAAGATAACCCTCTCCTGACAACAACCACAGCTTACCAGCTCCTTCTCAATTAGTACTTCACTGAACAGGATTAGTACTGTATCAACAAATGAGACTCTTGTATTGAAATTATCACGTCTTCATTAAATCCAGCTACAAATTATGAAAATAGACAAGAGTTCAATTGTTTTCCTTTTGTTTTCAGAGTAATTTGAGAAAGTGGCGAAGCGTTTCCCTCGATATATCACCGACATTCTGCAAGAATGCGGATGTTTTTTTAACAGCGACATGTACACGCTTGACCAAGCGAGTCACGATAGGATTAACAGTACAAAAAAAGAAAGAATTCAATAAAATTAAATAACAGTTGGAACGTTTAATAAAGCCAAAAGTCGCCCTCGAAACAAGTTTCAGCACGTAGAGAAGCATTGCTGGAGGTATTGTAGCGGTGTAAAACAAGTCCTGCTAACGAACCGATAATTGCGAACCGTTGCGACAAGATTATTACAGCTTCAAGTTTTTCACAAATACATGTAGCTACTGTCTGAGTAACTAAGCGGGCTATTTAGCGGCTTTGGAGGTGCAGTGGTCTCAAGATATAACAAATTTAATAGAGTTAAAAAGACTTTATCATTCACATGTGACTAGTTGTTTCTCAATATGGATGATTTTATCTCACCTGCACGCATGGGCTAATTCATCCGATACGCTGGCTTTCAAAGCCTCCGTTCCTCATACAACTATACCTTTAGGCCCGAAATTAGGGGAAGCTGCGATAACTTACTATTGGGAATAACTCGGTTCAACCGAAAAAACTTTGAAAAGTTGAAAACTGCCTGACCCCTCGACACGACTTCTGCAAAAGCTTAACCCACTTCAGCACTTCAGGACAACAAGTAAGAAATACTGCGCCGCCTCATTGTATCGAGCCAGCGGAAACCTCTTCATTTTATAGCCAAGAGCCTGGTTCCCAGTATACTCGACGAGAAATTTCTCTGATTATTTTCCTTTAACAAACAAAAAGTTTACGAAGTCTTACAGCCATTTATCTCACTGTTTAAAGCAATGTAGCAAACACATTTGGCTGGAAGACTCTTCAAATGTGTGAACTATATAAAACTGCCCGTTCAGCTCTCCAGAAACATGGACTGGTTGATGGGGTGAGTTACAAGCCGGTGTTGTGTTGTGATCTCGTGTCTTCTTTACTTTTCTTCCGCGGTCATGTTGGGTGCGGTCTGTACAATAATTATGAAACAAAGAAACTGAAATAGTGTTTACTTGTTATTAAATCAAATGACAGGAAATTGCTAAGTAAAATTCGGGCGGAAAGACCTCAAGAAAGCGCATAATTGTGTGGCGCGGCGACTCGATGACTCGTTCACTTAGTATTGAGCACGAATATCGTTACAGTCCGTATCAATTTACCAAATATTGCCATGTGAACCTTTTCTTCCGATTGGACTGTCTTAGTGAATATAAAGATTTGCCTTAAGTCAGTTTTGAATCCATTTTTTTGTTGTGTGGCTTAAATATTGTCTTGTTTTTTTCCCGGACATCCTATTCTCTCTTGGAAGTGATGGAGAGCCAAAAACTTAAATTGTAGCGATATTTAAGTACGACAACATATACAGGTGCGATAAACGTCTGTCTGTTTTGAAACAAGAAAAATGCATGTTAGCTTCTGTTTCGAAATGATTTGCATGCTTTTCTTCCAACAAGGAGCGAATGCGGCGGTAACATTAAAATTCAGGTGACATAATTCACAAATACATCAGTTCTATATTTTAATGTAGAACTGATATATACATGTAAATTATGTCTCTTAAATTAGACATGCATCGTTAGTTAAGTAAACATGGGTAGGGATCAGTTCTGACTATGAAATAACAGCTATATTTTACAATGTATGTCTAATTTACATGTATTTTCACGGTTTTTTCCTTGTTTTTGGTTGGGGGTAGCATCATCCATTGAGGCTTTTTGAGGAAATGTCATCACAACAATGATGTAGTTGAAAAGACAAAAAGAAAGAAAAGAATTCCAAATATCCAGTAATTGCTGTGTAGCAGTCCAGTGTGCATTGTTTGAAACAAACAAAACACTAATTCATGTTTCATAATCTTTAAAGGGTTTTTGTTTATAAACTAGCAAAGGTAAAGGTAGATAATTAATCTTTGTGAAGTTATAATGGGAATCAAATTTATGAAAAATACAGGAACAATTACTTGTATACAATAAGTTTAGAAAATATTGGATAATGGATATTGAATAATTTATCTTTGATATGCACATTAGGATTTTCTATTAATGTACTGTTAATATTTTGTGCGATCATTATTATTTCACTTTTATTATGTGCTAATGTAAATATTCAAATTATATAATTGTATAATGATGTTGAGCTTTAGCTGTAATCAGAGTGTGCTGGTTTAAAATTTTCTTATTAATTCCAGCGTGCATCATGCATATATTGATCTAAATGTAAGAAATGGTTTAATACTAAGTTCGTTAAATTCTTAGGAGACATCAAAAGCCTTTGAATTTTTACTGTGACTCATCTTTACTTTTTCATTTTTGCTTCACTTTTTACTTTTGGTGTATTGAAATTTTTCCCTTTCTGCTATAAAATATTCCAACCATTTTTCAACACTGAAGGAGTTATAGACCTTTTTAGCTACATGGTCACATGGTTTGAAATGGAAAACAAAAATTCCAAATGGCTGCTCAAGTATGTGCTTCAGATGATGTCTTATAACTGCTTCTTTTCTTTCCGAATTGTCCATTTTCACTGATAACTCTGCACTCTAAAGACTGTGGTAATGTAGTACAAAAGAAATGAAGTTTATAATTGAGATTCTAATCACCTCACGCTGGAAAAGAAACTTTTGAGTACATGATCTTAAATGATGTAATGACCAGTAGTGGCAAATTTTTCTGAGAGTTTTCATAAATTGAGAAAACCTTTAGAATCTAAAATAGGAGGAGATTTATAAATCTCGTATCTCATGCTTGGTTTTTTGCTGACTCAGAATACTTAGAAATTGCTTGATATCAACTGCTGGTCATGTTTCTCTTATAACTAAATAACCAGCAGTGATTAATTTTACTAGGAATTTAAGAAATCGAGACAACCTTCAGAGTATTCCATCCAACTATACCTATTTTAATGAGGAACTGACAAGCAATCTTGACGCTTAGTTTATGCAGGGCTTCTTTACATGTTAAAAGAGATACAGGGAATGAAACTGAGCAGTAGAAGGTTTGGTATCAAAACACCCCCTACCATAATAGTGGCCACTGTCAGATTTTTGAGATACCTCTAATTTCCCTGACAAATGTAAATTTCTCTGACCAATTGACTTAACAATTTCATGAGCAAATCAATGATTTTTTTCAGCAAATTAGACTTAAGTACTTTCTCTAACTGAAGAGCAAAAGAACAAAATTTTTAAAAATTTTAGTGACAGTGTAAATGTCCAGAAGTAAGAAAGAGGTATTAACTTCTCTCTATAATATCTCTACATTATTTTGATCTAACACCAAATTCTCATAACTGATTTTACAAAGAAATGTGTAGCAGTCAGAGGAGAGAATTGAGAATCTGCCCTTGGGAGGTAAAAAATTTAAGTCCAGGAGCAGCTTTCTTGCAGACCTTTTGCAGTTTTGTTGTTTATTATTATCCAGAGCCTTTGGGATCATGGTATAAATTAAACATAGTAGATGTGTTGTAGTTAACTTCAAATTTTTCTCCTCATGTTAAGGAAGGGGAAGAAAAAGCCTGCTGAACCAGAAGTAAAAGAGAACAAACCATACTTAGAAGAGGAATATGTTAAAAGTTTTATCAGAGAAATATCAGAAGTCAGAGAACTTGTGCCTCTCCCACCAAGTATTGACCTTAATGAATGGCTGGCATCAAACAGTTAGTATGACTGTAGATTGTGCTTTGATTGAAGGGTGAACCTCTGAGATAACTACAGGAAAATTCTGAAATTGAGAAGAACAAGCTCATCAGATTTGAGAAAACTTAACTCCAAGCAGTAAACTTTATAAGTTTGTGGTTTCCTGGTTTTTTCGATTGTTCTGATCATGTGTGATTTTCAATCACACATCAAACATCCATAACATATCTCGATGTTACAGTTTGCAGTTTTCTTTGGTTGACAGTAATTTGAAACATTGTAGATCTCTTCCATATGGTTGGCCTTATAAACTCCAATTCTTTTGATTACATCTGTAAATTACATTGTATCTCCACCAACCCTATCCATCAGTCATGTTCAGTTCAACAATGATAGAATTTTCACTCCAAAACAAGGACTATGAGGATTGTTTACCTGTAGATGCACTTAACAGAGTTCTCATTAGGATAACTATTTTTCAGAGGTCAATGAAATGGGAGCTACCAGTTGTCATATGTTTGTCCCTTAATGACCTGTTTCAGTTAATAATGCTGTTTAATTTGCAGATGAACCAAGAAAAAGAAATGTATATTTTTTCATCCTCTTTGTAGCTTTAGCCTTCTTTAACCAAATTGACTTATTGTATGGAAGTGTCAGTGAGAGATGTACCACAACAACCTGTCCTACCATGTCAGCACCTGGCTCTGTGTAAGTTAGATGAGTCTTTGGAATTCAAATCAAAGTCTTTATGTCGTATATGTACTGTATCAATAATTATTGCATAACTGTAGTATTTTTCTGTCTTTGAAAAACTACATTTATGACCATTCATTTTCTATGAACTAAACAGAATGACCTAACTTAAGTACTACCTTACCAGCAGGTCACAACCAACTTATTAATCACAACTCACCTAGGCAGCTTTTCAAGAGTCTTACAACCAACAGCATCACTGCAAAACTGACCAATTAGTTTTCAGGAACTAGACTTATGATGATATTTGACTGACAAACAACTCCTTACGTATCTCTGACAATGACTCCTGCTCATGTTAATGAAACACGTATCACATCAACTGACAACAGTATTTTTAAGTATCACTCTCTCTTGAATGATCATACTACACATTAAAAAATTCTAATCATCTCAATTGATTTTTAGAACTTACTTTTGGCATGATGACAAAGGAAAGAAAATTACCAAAACAAATGTTTCTGCACCTCAGTACATTGATTTGGTTTTGACATGTAGTCACAAGTATCTTCATGATGATGCTGTGTTTCCAACAAAATATGGTAAGTGTAATCCTTTAACCCATTAGGGTGATTGACATTTTATTTCTCCTTACAGTATCGCTGTTGAATCAAACATGAAGGTCATGAGATTAAAGGAAATGATCAACAGCTAAAGAAACCATGTCTTGTTAATCCTTTAACTCCCATGAGTGACCAAGACAGAATTTCTCCTTACAATATCAATACAATATCAACCAGATTAGTGATGAGAATAAAGAAAAATATCAATTTTGGGATAATTAGTTGATCCAATACTAAATTCTCTGAACTAGCATTATAAAAATTATATGGTTGACATTAAGGAGAATTACAAACTTGATCTGGGAGTTAAAGGGTTAAACAAATTCTCATTTTCAACACCTTAAATGTACGAAGAACATTATAAAGAATAGGCATGCTGATGATATTATGTTAGTAATAAATGTTACTAGCAGTGGCCTAGTGGACTATCTACTGGCAAGTCTTTGTATTATATTTCAACCCAACCATTTCCTCAACATATAAACACTATTATAAAGTAATTAGTCAGGGAAATGGAAAACTTGTGGCATATACACCATGTTTGAAATGCTATGACCATAGTAAGCTAACAGGATTGAGGAGGATGTATGTGGGAATAGGCCTTCTTGTCTGTATCAATAATTTGGTTAGGTGACTGACAAACTACATGTGATGTAACAATTAAAGGGCATGTTAAAAAATCAAATATTTGTCAAATTTTTAGACAAATTTTCAGCTATGCCTAAGGTATTAATTTGCCCTTTAATTAATTCTCTTTATATTTCTCACTGGTTTGCATTTTGCTTTCAAGATACAACTTTGCATTCACAAATGTTCCCTTCTCGAAGAAAATATTCTCCCTTTTAATTGTTTTAAAGAAGTTGCTTCCCTGTGATACTGACCCTTCCTCCCACAAGTGATTAACATGTAACTTCTCCCTTTAATATCCATACATTATTAAGCAAACTGGTAATGAGAAGTTTTTATCTTAATCTAACATCTAACTCTTGTAACTCATTTAAAAGGAAGTGGAGGAGCCAGAGGGGAGAATTGATAATCAAATCTTGGGAGTCAAAGGGTAAAAGTACAACAGGATCATACAAGGAAATTGTTTGGTTCAAATTACAGGGATCAACTGAAGAATAAGAAAAACCAATAATGAAAAAATTAAATCTTACTGTTCTCTAGAGTGAGAATTTTATCTTAAATCGATACTTCCCTCTTTTTATCCTCTCTCAACAGGTCTGACATTTCCGGCAACATTTCTGACAACAGTGCGGAAAATTTTCAAGCTTCTATTTCATGTGTTGGCCCACATGTACTATGCACACTTCAACAACTTATTAAACCATGGACTACAATCTCACATTAATACAGTTTTGATGAACTTTTTTTTGTATCACCAAGAATTTAACTTGTTGGATCCAAAGGAAACTGCACCATTGGATGACCTTCTTCAAGCAATGGGTTTAATAAATCAAAGTTAGTTTTTTAAAATATCTTGTACGGGTACAGCTGTATGTATTTTAGATAAAAGATCTGTCTTCATTAAGTAACTATATTTTCCCAATTGGTGGTGTTCATATTTGTGAGAAGCCCTGAAACAAAAGTTGCTCCAAATTTTAATTTAATTCTAAAAAAATAAAAGTTTGTTTTATTTTTTAGCATTAGACAAGTATGTTTTAAATTGGCTACTGTTGAATGATAATTTAATTAGGTAAAGGTCTCATCTCTCTCTCTCTCTTAGGAACTTAATATTGTTTACACCCTTACTATGTGCTATACATTTCTTGCGTTTTGCTAATTCTTAGAGTTTGGCTTAAAGGAAACCTCCACTGATGGAACAAACTTTTTGTTTAATTATCAAACTTATCTTTTAAGTTGAAAGTTTTTGCCTTAAATAGAAATTAACTACAGTTGAACCCAGCAAATTCAACTTTCTTGAGAGGAAACAAAAGGTAGAGCCAGTGGGAGTTTGAGTTAGCTGACAGTAAATGACTTTAAAAATTGGTGGTAAGGAAATGGGGTCTTGTTCAAGTTACCCAATGGTTTGACTAAGTAGAGTTCAAGTTAGTGGGATTCTACTGTACTTTGTGCAAGATAAATTGGAAAAAGATGTTGCCAGTTTTCAAACTGGAATTCTGTGTGTGTTTGCATGTTGAATTGTGTGGTGTGTCTCGGATGCCACTGTTATCTGCAGGATACCCCTTGGACTCTGTGGACAGAAGAGCTATAACATCAAATGTGCCAAAATGGTGCCTTCCAGGAAATTCAAGCACAAGTTTTGCTTATATTTGTTGACAGGTTTTATACATTTCAATTCTTGTTTCCCAATTCTTCAAGGTTGGAGGTTTCCTTTAAATTTAAGAAGATCTTCTTAAATATATATTTGTTTTGTTTTCCTCTGAGTTTGTGAGTCGTTTGAATGAGGAAATTTTCACTACTGTAACAATATTATTTTTAAATAAGTTTCTAATATTGTTCTCTCCTGATAGTGAAAGGTTTAGTCATGTTTACTAATTTTAAAGGTTGATGTAGTTTTAAGAAGTAAATATTATTTATAATAGTTATTAGCTCAAAATTTGAGGGATTCTGGTGATAGTAAACATGTACTATGTAGATTGGTCAGTTAGACCTTGTTAACTATCAGTAGTTTATGTTTGGCAAAAGAAATGCCTTTCACAACAACTTAGTTGGTGTCTGTTTTAGAATTTGTCACTGTCCAGTTTAAAATCTTTTCAAAACATGATTCTGCTTACCGTAGGGTTAACTTATGTCAGCCTTCAGTTCTACTTTGAGATATCAGTCTGATTGATTTTCTACAAAAGGGATTTATGTACTTATCAGCTTTAATTGTAAAGACACTCTTGCGTGTTGATTTGAACTAAATGTACCCTTTAACTCCCATGATCTGATTGTTTTTTCTCCCCTCTAGCTGCTACACATTTTCTTGTAAATTATTTACTGAGAATTTGGTGCAAGATCAAGGTTGCAACTTCTGCCTGATAAGTCTGAATATTCTAATCACCTGTCTGTGAGATAATGAATGGATATTATAAGGAGAGGTTGCATGATACTCAGTCATGGGAGTTTAAGGTTAAGAAACATTTGTGAAGAAATGGTGATTAAGTTGCTACTGTAAGTTATGCTTTAGAAGCTCCTCACTTCAGTTAGTTTCTGCTATTCATAGGTTTAAGTCAAGCTCCTTGTTTTACATTTTAAAGGGCAATTCAGTAGTAAGGTGTGTCAGATAACACTTGCATGGTTGTGCTTCACCTTGATGGTGGAGTGTTTTTGTCGCTGGTCACGACAAATGCATGAAAATTGACAATGTCATCTTCCTCAACTGATTCTTTTTGGCCAATATGTTGATTTTTCTACTCAGGCATGCTTTGCTTTGTAGTTACAACCCTGTGGCATTACATCAATGGTTTGTGAAGAGTAAAGTCAGTGAAATGAAGTTATGATTGTTTTTCTGGGGTGGGGAAAGAAGGAGAATTGCCTCTGGATGTTGCTCCCTCAGAGGACATTACCTGAAAAGTAGGGTGAAGGTGTAAAAAAATTGATTTATATTTCCCTCCTCTCTAGTTTCTCACCCACCTACTTTCAAGCAGATAAGTATGAGCTCTACTGATAAGATTTCCTCTTGGTAAGAACACTGCATTTGATTTATTTGTCATACCATGATGCCCAAATTATTGATGTCTCATTTTGACAACCTGAGATGGTCTAAGTTCACAAAAGAACACAAAATCCTCCTCAATCCTGTGTGCTCTCACTGGTGATTTTAAGTTCAGTGTTAATCCTAAGTGGTAATATTTGATTGGTGGGAAATGTGTGAAAGCTAAAAACATTTGATGATTTTAAACGGTTAAGAATATGTGAAAGGCATATATTTGAACTGCGGATAAAGACGTGAATGAAAGTGATCCTCGCAGTAATGTGCACTACTTAGGCAGTAGTGAAAATAAGGCCTGAAAAAATTCAGGCCTGTACAGGATTTGAACCTGCTCCGGTGCAGCGCTCTACCAACTGAGCTAACAAGCCAACTGGGAGCTGGTTATGATGTTGATTATAAATAAACCCGTGAAGTGATGAAATAAACGGTTGAGAATATATGAAAGTCATATATTTGAACTGCGGATAAAGATGTGAATGAAAGTGATCCTCGCAGTAATGTGCACTACTTAGGCAGTAGCCTGAATTTTTTCAGGCCTTATTTTCACTACTGCCTAAGTAGTGCACATTACTGCGAGGATCACTTTCACTTCACATTTGATGATTTTGTTGATAACAAAGATGTGGCCGCGGAAGGTTTTGTTTGTACAAATCTTTTTTTCTTTGACCCTTTATACCCTAACATCAGTACGCATATTCTCCATAACATTCTCTAAACATTTTCTTAGGTGCTGACAAGGAGAATTTGTTTCATGATCAAGAGGTTCTTTAGTTGGTGATCATTTCCCTTAATCAAGTGACTTCAGCCCTTTTACCCCTTATAGTGACTAACATCTAATTTCTCATTACATTATCACCCCTGAATCACACATCAAGGTCACAAGAAAACAGGAAATGATCACCATGCAAAGAAGCTTTTGATTGGTAAACAAATTCTCCTTGTCATCACCTTAGGAAAGGTAAGGAGAACACTATGGAGAATATGCATACTAATGTTAGGGTGTAAAGGGTTAATGTATGATTCTGGGGTGATATTGTAGGGGAAATTAGAAGCTAGTCACAAGAAAGAGAAATCTCAAGGTAGCTGTTCCAAGACCACCAAGTTGAAATTGCCTCACCCAAAAGAAAACTAAGAGCATCTTTTATTTCCCCTTTTACCTCCAAAACACATGATGTGAGGAACTCTGTTCAGTTGCCAAACGTACAAATAGGCACACGATTTACAGTATGGAATTTATCATGTCTTTCAGACGCAAAAAATACAACAATTTACGGAAGTGGCTTTAGAGTTCTTTTACTCTAATTTACTTTTAGCAAAAAGGAATTGAAATGGAGAAATTATTTACATTATTCAAAATGTTAAACTGATGAAAACAGTAATCGGTTGAATAACGATGAAAAACACCTTTCAAAGTCCAATTCAGACATCGGTTTTTCACTGTCACAGCGTTAAAAGGTGGAACATTTTGTCAAAGAATGTCCCAATATAAACAAAGCGAAGTTCGTCAATTATCTGCAAACAATTATCTCAAGTTGCCAGTAAAGAGAAAGACACAACTCAGTCCGCTTTTTTTCTTGAACAAGGCGGAAAAATCTTGAGTGTCACTTTGGTGACCAATGTACGAAAGAAGGTCGCCTATTCGCACTCCACCCTCTCCTCCCTTCACTCTTGCATCACAAAATGCTGAATTGCGGCGAGTCTCCTGCATTCACGGTCAGCTACTAGAGATCTTAGCGCCTGACTTCTTTTCCAGCCACGTTCTGTACTTTGTAAGCGCAGTGTCTAGCATCTCTACTAAGTGATTGGCCAGCTAAATAAATACAAGGAAAATAAGAGTATGAATAACATAAAGAGACGATGAGTATTAAAAGAACCTAAAACCTGAAAACTCCCTGCTGATGAAATTTAATCATACTATATCGGAGAAAATGTGTGTAACGACGTTTCCGATTACAAAGCTGTTTTTGTCTTCTACGGTACTATCATACCAAGATTAAAAAGCGAAAGGAGTAACGACTGATCTAATCCGCAGTTTTATAACAGATTTAAGTGAAACTGAAAGATTAGAAAGGACTGCACGATGGCGAATGTACACTGCAGTGACACGAAGCTTTAAACGTTTAACATTCTTCCTTACATGAGCCTCTTCGGCGGGAAGTTGATTGCGGAATTGCTGCAGCTTGGCATCTCTGTACTTTTCAAGGCTTTGGCCCATTTTAACCATCTGTTAACCAAGAATTCACACATCAGGCCATTTCATCTCAGCATATGAATGTCAACTTACATCACGTTGTGTAAAACAAACAAGAATACTACATTTCCTCAAATAAGTGCCTAGGTGCTTATTTCAAATTTCGGCTGTAAGGAGGGGCGCTTATCGGAAGGGGGTGCTTAATCGAGGGGTGCGCTTATCATTCTATTACACTGATTCCACTGTTTCTGAAGCTTAAAAAGCTTTAAATAAAGTGAGAGTAGAGGATTGTATCCCTACTATTTAAGAAAGTGAGGGAGGAGGGACCGAGGGGGCTTATTCGAGAGGGGCGCTTAGGGGTGGGTGCTTACTCGGGGAAGGGCACTTATTAGAGCGTGGGCACTTATTTGAGGAAATACAGTTAAATATCATACAATAGCCAACTATTGCCTTTCTGACATCTGGTTTTTAGGAAAAAAAACCTTACAGTTTATTACCCGAGCTTGTCTCACCTTTTCCTCCAAGAATTGTGTCTTGATTGGAAAGCATGACCAAAAGTGTCTTAGCAGCTCGGACAGTGAGTTGTACTGAAGCTTAACTTCCGCCTGAACTGACGAAGACACTAAATCTGTATGTTAAAACAAAAAAAATCTGCTCAGTTAAATATTCTCTCCTTGATGAAAGATGGAACAAAGGCTAGAAAACTCAGAGTATCTAAAAAGCCGTTCTCGCAAATCCAGAAATTTAGTCAAACACGTCGTTTTTGCCATTAAGACTGATGAAATGTTTCTGGTTGACAAATTGTTTTCGTATCGTTTTCATTAAAATGGTAGTCCAAGCCAACAAGTCCATAGCCAATTAGAGCAAAGATTAACAACAGCAGAGGAAACAAATGAATGCTCAGAGTGAGCTCAGGAACACGTACGCTACCAAGACGCAACTGGTTTTCCATTTACATCTGATTGGTTGAGAGGGTAGCACGAGTTTGCTACACAATGCAAAGCAATCAACCAATCAAACAATCATTTATTCAGTCCATCAGTCAGACAGTCAGTCAGTCAGTCAGACAGTCGGTAAGTCAGTCAGTCAATAAGAGAATCAGTCAGTCAGTCAGTCAGTCAGTCAGTCAGCTAGTCCGTCAGTCAATCAATCGATCAATAAATCAATCAGTTCGAGTAGATATTAGTGACATTGATGCAATCACAGATTACTTTCGACATTCTATTCAAAATTTGCACTGATTTCATATTTACGTTGCATGCTTGTCTCAGAAGTTGTGCTCATCAAAGATCCACCAGGGGACATTTCTGTAAGGACGTGACAAGCCATGTCACTGGGAAGAGTCTAAACAGTAACAATGAAAAGTTCCCAGTTATTTTTATCACGCAAAAGAAAAGACTTTCCGTTGTTTTGGTTACACACAACGACCCAAAAAGAAAAGACCTTTCTCTACTTTTGTCATGCACGATAGCACCAAAGAAAATGGTTTGTGTTATACCAGACACGCACAACAGTGCAAAAGCAAAGTTTTTGTGTTCCACTCGACTACGCCAAAAATTATGCTCTCCCTCACTTTTGCCTTGCGCGGAGTACAACAGAAAGGCTTTCCGTTACCTTCGTCACGCTAACAGAGCCAAAGGAAAAGGCTTTGCGTTACCTTTGTCATGCTAACGGCGCTAGAGAAAAAGGCTTTGCGTTATTTCTGTCACCCACGTTAACAAGATAATATCTCTTAAATGTGACTTAGGAGGGCATTTAAAGCATACACTACTTACCCCGGGTAGGTTTGGTCGCCAATATTCAACCTCCCTTTGGTTACTCTGGATGGCTTTGGAAATGTCTGTATGACTGAGTTTGGAGTGAACTGATCCCCTTTCCTGTAGAAATCGAGACGAAACTACATTATGAACAAATTAAAACTGATACCTAACTGAAAAAGAGGCTCAGTTGCAAAAGCTTGGTATAGAAAACCCTATGCCACGTTCCTATGCTGCATATTCCGATTGTCTGTCGTAAAGCCAATCGAAAGCAATCACGACGGCCAATCAGAGCAAAGAAAAATGACACAACAAGCCAACGAGAACTCAAAGCAATTATACGTATGCGTCATAAAGAGCGAAAAAACGAGAGTGACCACGTCGCGATAGATTATTAGTTTTGAGTCTAATTGGCTGAGAAAGTGGAGCGAGTTTTCTCGACCAATCTCACCACGTCGCAAAGCAAACCCGAACGAAGCCCGGCTTTCTTTTGCTGCTCAATTGAAAATTGATCCATGGATTGTCTTACCTTTGGGATAGCCGGTATCAGACCTTGCGAAAACTTTGACGAGTCAGCAATTTTTAAGCTCGGGAGCTCTCTGGATTGTTGCTCAGACAAATCGTCATATTCCACCATTCCTCTGAGACGACTCTAAAATATAGAAATTAAAAAGTACATGAAACTTAGTACTAGTGAAGTATATTTGTTTTTCAGACAGAAAACTATGCAAAACAAAAAATTGAGTATTAGCCTTTCAGTCAAGTACTGAGCTGATAAGTTTGTCACTCTCATTAAGAAGTGAGTGTTAAATCTTTAACTAACACGACAAGGACTTATTCTTCCCCAACGTTCCCTATATTTTCCTTTTAGCGGTGATAAAATGCTTCCCTCTTCAGTAAAATTAGAAAACAAATTGTTACATGCGCAGAGCCTCTACGTTGGTTAAAGAGGGAGAACCACTGCCAGGAACAATTTGCTAACCTTTTTAGCAGGGGGATCTGCTTCATTCATTTTGCCATTTTTTCCATTTTTCTCCTTTTCTTTGTTTACGCTGGAACTGAGGAGAATGGTACAAAATTATAATGAATCTGTTCAGTATTAAATCAAATAAGAGACAAACGAGGCAGAGGCGAGTGTGTCACCATGTTGATGGTGTCACTTATGTTGTGACTTCTTACCCAGAAGCTGTGGCTTGTACTACCATTAAACTGTGGTGATTCAGCTTTCTAAACAAGGACTGAGTTACTGCGTTGTTCTTGGGATCTACCGCTTCTGCAGTTAGTCCATATCCCTATTTAAAGAAGAAAGACAATTAATAATTTGCTCCTCAAAGTCGTGAAAAAATCAAAAACAAATAATTAGCGCACACTGACTCGTTTCTTGTTATACTTGATCACAGCACTGTTTACAGACCTCTTCAGGAACTGGTGACGCTCCTGTTAAGTCCAACAAAGGATCATTGAAGGTTGCAAGTTTCCTTGACAATTGCTCTGTGTAGAAGAAGGGTGCAAGACACCTTGATTTAAACTGCCTTTAGATACAACAAATGGACAACAAACAGTTTTTCATTTGATTCCAATGAAGAATTTATGAAAAACCAACACAGGTCAGGAACAAGAATGCTTTCCCTTGCTACCCTCTCCTAACGATCACACAAAATTCAGAGTAAATGAATACCTCTTTTCGAATTAAAACTCCAGTCTCTTATTGACGTTTCCTGATAATCACCAATTGTCAGCCACACAAAACACATTTGGCACATAAAATAGATAAGATTTTAGCAATGGCACATCTTCAAGGCATGGCTCATCATCCTCTGTTTTAAGGAGTTAAGTTTCTAAAGAAACTGTGGTGTTGCGTTAGTGGAAGAGTACAACAGGGTAATTAATTTTTACCAACTTAGTTGATAACAAAATTGGCCTCCGTAAAGAGTTTAAAAGCTGATGTTTCAAGTGTTAGCCCTTCATCATTGGCTCTGATGAAGGGCTAACACTTGAAACATCAGCTTTAAATCCTTTAAGGTGGCCATGCAATTTATGTTTACTTATCAACTCATAGTTGATAATACTAAACTATCCTGTTATCCTCTGTTTTAGTTTGACTGGAAGGGAAGGCTATCATTCTTTTACCCTGTTCATCCTCCTTTGCACATTCAGTGAAGATGTCACCTGACATTGCCCTTGTGGCATTTCTGTCTCGGTGGAAATAATGCGACTGAAAAAACTTTGTCCAAAAGTCTTTCTCTGGCATCTGGAAACAAGAAAGTGGTATTATTGAATGTTTAAAACTATATTCAAAATAGACATTCCCACACTCATTGTAAGTTGAAACGAGCACTGTATCAGGTGAAAGGCACTTGGTAGTTGTCAAGGGATACAGTAGTAGAATGACACTTCCACCAAGATGCACATTCCTGCTTTTTTCCATCGACCTAAAGCCTTCTTCAAAAGTACATGAGGTGCTATTTAGAAAGGTATTTCTCATCTATGAAGGGATCTTTACACCTTTCTTTGTATTTACAATCAAAGATGAAAGTCAGTAGTCAACAGTAACCACTTATACAAAATGAAAGAATGGACACTCTGTGATTTTTCCACAAATAAGCTCATCAGAGAGTAAAACTTTATTTCACACATACTGACATTTATACTGTGAAGTACTACTGTTTGTGCCTCTGATTGGATAAACAATGTATTTCAGTCAGTCAGCCTACTTCACGGTGTAAATTTCAGTATGTATGAAATAAAAACATTATACCATGGAAAGCGCTTGAACAATTTTTTATTCACTTGCTGAAATGCATAAAAAACTCACTCGTTCATTGTGCTCACTCTTTCGTTCTTTTGATGCATTGTAACTTGTGAATTGAAAATCATTTGAGTGCAATTTTCATGGAATAACCTTTATTTCTCAATATAAGACAAATACCTCATGAGGAACAACTTCCTGGTGTTTTCTTTTCACTACATAAAATAGATTGAAACAGCCAATAATTAATTAACTATTTTAGTAATTAATTGATAAGTAATTCACTGCTAAATGTTCTTACTAATTGATTTAAGAATGGTTATGCCCTGGAAATTAACCTTATCTTGCATTGAGTGATTATCAATCATAGAGCCATTTATCATTACAAAAATTCTTTAACATTCTTCTCTTAACTAATGAGGGAGAGTTTTATCATAAATTACATAAGTCAACAAGTTTTTATTCACTGTGTCTTTTGTCTAAGACCTTTACCAATAAGGGCTTTAAGTAATAGAATTTTAGTTGCTTAAAAAACAAAAGAGTGCATTTTGAGCAACATCATTCACTGTCATGCAAATGTTTATGTCACTTCAAATTTGAACAAAAAACATCAAGTAAGAGAAACATTTACAACTTGCCACATGACCACAGACCACAAGTCCTCAATTTGACTTTTGCTGCAAATTTAGCCACTGAAATTTTTTAGACTTGCCATGGTGACCAAAATGATCACAGCTTGGAGCACTGAAATATTTAAACTGTATGTGTCTAACTCTTTACCAGCTGGATATGTCTTGAATATTGCCTCTATAGTATCCACATTTAAATTGTATTTGACTTCATTGCAGCCTGAGCTCTCTGGTTGCATATCTGCCTAAAGAATAACAAAGCAGAATTTCAAACACCAGTTTAGTAACAGTGACTGTCATAATTCTAAATAATAAATAGATAATTTAATAATTTCAAACAGGACAAATTTGTCATGCAAAAAAATTTTCTAAAGAAATACTCAGTACATGTAGATGTATTTAACAAATATTCAACATACAAGCAATGCCGAAGACAAACCAATAGCCTGTTCTGACTGTACTACTTGGGTGTCCTGATTCTGCAAGGAAAAGACAAAAAAAAACCATATTGCAAATTGTTGTACTTTAACTTTAGTGTTGGATGCTCCATCGTCACCATCATCATCATCATCATTCAAATGCTGCAAAGATTGTAAACACAAGGCTATGCTGCAGTGTCTTATTTGAACAATTACATGTCCAAGTTTGTCCCAGATGAGGCAATTGTCTCTGGTTATGGTACCAGGATTTGCTCAGGGCTGTCACTAAGTTTTGAAGCAGCCATTACATAGGAGATAACACCCATTACTGTGTGATACATGCCCAGGTGTAACTCAACAGCAATTGACCTCTTCACTCACAACATCAAGTGTGCTCAGCTGTGACAGGTGTTAAAGCTCACAACCCTTATTGACAGCCCTGATGCTAATCATTTGCCACCCCTGTTCAGGGGAAAAGACTACTAAGGGTGGCTCTGGGTGGTATGTGAGAAATTTACCTGTATACTGTAATAAGCAGTATACCTTTATTTGGTTGCCAGACAAAGACACTTAGTTTGGTTGTGAGATCTTTGAAAAAAATTTACAAATCTGATGTCTCAAAACTTAATCATTACAAGAGGCTTGGAAGAGACAGTCCTTTTCAGTAGTTTCTTAACAAGTCGCATGAAATGCTATCTGTCACCCATTAGTGGGAATCTGTCAAGATCTGGTGTACTCCTGAATCCCCTATAACAGTTTTCTTGGTACATTACAAAGAGATTCCAAAGGACTGTACACAGACGAACATGAGGGACCTATTACAGTTAAACAGCAATACCAAAGTAGATATCCATTAAAAAATATATACATTTATGTCTACTAAGAAGTTTGCAAATAGCTAAATGTGTGTAGTGTGACTCTTTTCCGGTGCCACAAGTTAACATCAGAATAATGTATAAGAGCAGCGTTAAGTTCCACATGGAAACTTAAATAATTTGCCTTTAGGGTTTCCTTTCTTAGATCACCCAAATTTTGATGATTTCATGTTGTTATTTTGCAGAGGACCACAAAGAAATGAACACAGTTCTAAAACACACATGCTGAACTATAATTGTTTTGCCCATTAAATCTTTGTTTTGCCACATCCTAATTGCTGCCACTGCCCTGGTTTGCTAAAGGTTCCCAAGAGGAAAAGGGACAATACATGAAAATATATTTTGGAAACTATACTATTACCTTTGCTCTATTTGCCCAGAATTCTTCAGCAGTAATAACTCCACTGACAACTAGATCTTTATACAGCTGATACAACTCAGGATTATCTTTCAGCATTCTGAAATAAATAAATAAACAAGAGCAAAAGTTTATGTTAACAACTTCATTTATGTAAGGTTGAATTTACCAAATACCTCAATCATTGAGGATCTTTAATTATAACTGTACTATTATCATTACTGATAAAAAATACTTGTCCTCAAAGGACAGCATTTAAATCATTTTTGGTATTAAAATGCCTATACCTCTGCCATATCACAATCAGGACCTCTCTGAAAGTAAAGGACAATGTGGGCAGTGGCAGACTCAAGGGGAGAGGCATGGGGAGCCCATGCCCCCCCTTTTAGGTGGGCCAAAAATTAATATCAGTGCTGAACTGAGTTTTTTCAAATCAAAACTAACTCTCACTGTAAGAAAGGTTCTAAATAATATTATCAGACAACTTTCAAGATGTAACCGGCATCAGTTGTGGCCCAAATCTTTGCAGTGTAACTATTCTACCTTGCTCTAATGCAACATTACTGATATAAAGCTATTCCTTAAAAGTTAGTCGTCAAAAGACGCTCTGGTGATGCAAATGATGACATTATTCACCAATGATGTGTATTACTATAAGTTCAGTTGTTGTAAACACGAGACAAGATATAATTTTTTTTTTTTTCATTAGTCGTTTCTTTAACAGTTGACTGGCTCGTGGCATGGTTGTATTACTCATGGACAAAAGACTGAGCTCACCTAGCCCTCATGAAGAGCTAGATTCAGCTTAGTAAACAATTGTCTCCAATTTCACTGATTCCAGGAAGTATTTATAGAGCAAAGTCCTAAGGAGTCAAAGCTACACAGTCATGGCAAAGTCAAATCACAGTAGTAGACACATTCAAAATACCAATCCCCATAGACCAAGGTGCTCCACCCCTCCCTTTTGACAATATGCTAAACCTCTTCCTTTGTGAATAAGGTTTTTTAATTCATCATTTGAAAGAGGCTTATGAGCAAGAAATTGGTCTTAAAATGCTGGAAATGGCCATTTTAGAGACTCAAATTTTCAAAATTTTCTGTGGGAGCATGCCTCAGACTCCCCTAGAAACCCTGTGCCTATGGTGCTTGTGGTGCCCCCCCTCTTTAAAAATCCTAGTTCTGCCCCTGGTAGGGAAGTTCATGTAAGTTCTACTTCAATGTAACCCTCTTCTTTAAAGTATTGTTCTCCAATGTGGAGCGCATGTAAGGTTAACATTCAGACAATTAATGAGCCGCACAGTGGTGACACATGACCCTTCCTTAAAAGTACCTTGGAATCTTATCATGATGTCTTACAAATCAGCCATAAGATTATTTTGATGACTGAATTGTGAAAATGTTTTTCTCCAAATCCCAATCTTTTTCCAGGTAATTACAAGAACTGTATTTGGATTTTTGGTACTCATTGACAGTTGAATGATATAGCATAACAATGCCTTTGTATAGTGTTGACAACTTGAAGAGTTCCCATAGATACCTCTTTCCCATAAATAATTTGTAACTGTCTCAGACAACTTTCTAGCCACTACCTCACAAGATCATCAAATGCAACCAGGTATATCAAACAAAATATAGCTTTGCATAACTTCAAAATTTTACCTGTTCTTTTCCTCAAGCTCTTTATTGGCTTTTTTTCGATGGACTGGGATAAGCTGAGCAAGGAGGTCTTTAGCATCATCTCTTTCTTTTTTAGCATTTACGGCCGAGTCATTTGTAAACTGGAAAGTGAAGGAGTTTCCATCGTGGAGAACAATCTGTATCTGTATTTTTGAGCTGCCCTCTGGACTTATTCGTTGAACTGTTGACAGAACTTATTGCTTTAGACAACCTGTTCATAAATTTGGCATTTATTCTTTACTTATGACATCACCAAGAACAATAAGTGGAATTATTAACCCTTTGACCCCTAAGAGTGCCTAGCATCTAATTTCTCCTTACAATATCACCCCTGAATCAAACATTTAAGTCATGAGAATAGAGAAAACAATCACCAATTAAAAAACATACTAATTGATAAACACCTTCTCCTTGTCAGCACCTTAGGAAATTTATAGAGAACAGCAAGGAGAATATGTATACTGATGTGAGGGTGTAAAGGGTTAAATACCACTTCAGTCACTGAATTATTTATATTTTGTTAATTTTTTATGGAAAATGGTGTCTGCCACACAAGTTTGACATAATCTCATTTGGTGGAGCTCATTGCTCATATTTTACCTTGCTCTTAAAGGGGCTCAGACAAATTCTAGGAAAACTCCCACAATATCCACATGTAATGCATGTTAAACCATCAAATAGAGTGTATTATTTTATAAAATAACAGAGATACCATAAACATTTCCATTTGCAAATTCTTAGCGCTAATTGTTGCAGTGAGCCACCATTTAAGTATTTGACTCTTGAGAGAGACTACTGTATATGTAGCATGTCTAATGTCTAATTTCTCCTCACAACATCAACCCCAAATCCAATACTAAGGTAACAAGAGTAAAGTGAATAATCACCAACTGAAGAAGCCCTCGATTATTAAACAAATTCCCCATGTCAGCACCTTAGGAAATGTATGGTGTGGAGAATATGCATGCTGATGTTAGGGTGTAAATGGTTGATTAAAACAACAGAGTGCACCTCCTATTGGTTTACAAGAATTAATTGGCCCCAGTAGGAATGCTAGGATATTTCACTTGAAGAATTGTACAAGTCCACCTTGGCTCATAAATTTAAAAAATTCTCATGTTGCAAACCTGACGGAGAGTATGGTTAATCACTAAAAACAAGGAAAAAGTGAGAAAAAATGTGGATACGTTTGAAAAGCTGAAGGGAAACAGAGTCCTTCAATTGAATCTGATCAGAAGAGTGTGGACATGTGAAAAATGATGTATAAAACCGTACATTTCGAGGCGTTAAAACTATAACCATGCATATATGATACACTCTCTACCCTATTTCCATGTCGAGGCACCCGCGACCCATTGGCTAATGCAGTGAACATCGACCCAACAACTGGACGATTGTAATATTAGGAAAGAAAACTCCAGTGATAGCATTAGTCTACAAGCGCAATGATCGAAACACGATATCATACAATGCAACACTTTTCGAATTATAATCACATGGTAGGATCAGTAGCAATGTGCCGGCTGATGAAGACAGGCCGTACACGTGACATCACTTCAATAATTCAATCGAATCAAATCGGTTGGTCAATTTTACCTTTGATTTCAGAGTACGCACATGACAGTTTAGGATTATCTGATCCGTAAGGTATCCAAAGCAGTTCATTGGACATGAGACGCAAGGTTCCACCGGTCTTTTTGTGCTTGGTGTTTATTACCTCCAGAAGAACAGTCTCGTGGTCCGCCATCTTGGATGGCATTCTAAAACTACCCCGCTGGCTAAATATTTTCGCACAACGTGGTCGCGTGGCGTTTGATCCCAGTTTCCGTTGGATGGAGTGCGGTGCTTTAAACAGGTTATAGGGAAATTCGCAAACATATATAAAATGTATAACTGGTTTATATCTGTTATAGAGTCTTTCACACCTTCCTGTACGCAAAGAGCGACCGCCAGTTTTGTTTTAGGAAATATGCCTTTCTAGATCGCGTTTTGTTTCTCAATGATAAAATAACAATGGTTGCTTATACCAGAGAAAAGACAACTGAACTTACATAAATTAGTACAAAAAGCTTTGTAAAGCTCCGTTTGGCTGAAATATTTGCGCTAAAATATACATAACCCATCAAGGGACTTAAGATCCACCAACAGCACTTAAGTACTTGAGCGAGAGAACTTCAGTCGAGAAGGAAGAGGGAAGAGGGAAGAGGGTGAAGTTTGAAGTAGTTATTGTTCGGTAGGAAACCGCTTGAAATTGTAATCATAGGGCTATCCTTCCAAGTCAGTATATTATACATTTGATGGTCTCTTTTAGGTTGTTGGCTTTCGCTAGGCCCTGGCCCTGGAAGCGGCAAGTAGAGACAGTGGTTGATCAATCAGGACAGCGCATTTCTCGATTGTTTCCGTTGACTGAGAGCTTAGCACAGACTATAAATCATGGTAGTTGCTAACGAATAATTTGTGTACAGGTAAATAAGTACGAATCGAAAAAGGCTCGCCTTCTTGTCACTTTGCTCTCTTATTGATTACTGTAAAATCACTCCTAACGCTTCTTTGTCCCCTTGGTGGATCATAAAATCATGAATGCTTTTAAATGACTGAAAATATATGGAAATCGTATATACGAACTGCGGTTTAAGAAATGAATTTGAAAGCAATCTTTGCAGTAATGAACGCTACTTAAGCAGTAGTGATTTGAACCCATCACCTCTGCGATACCTGTGCAGTGCTCTACCAACTTAGCTAACAAGCCAACTGAGAGCTGGTCATAATGTTGGTTCGTAGCAAACCAGTAAAGAGATGAATAAATGACTGTAAACATGTGAACATCATATCGATGCTTTTAGCAGATACAAGAGATCCTTACTACTCTTGGCAGATATTGACGTCAATGCCGACAATTTTGGCCAATGTTTTTAGAGTTTTTATTGGTTCAATAGCTAAATAACAAAAACTAGAACGTCAAGGAGACAACCTACTGTAACCACACTGACTTCACAATGAATAATCGATTATTATTTCCGTAGGAAGACTGCTCGTAAGACTGACTCATATAGCTGAACATTTCTGTCCTATGAAGCATAATTGAGCTACTTGGTCTATCACAAAGAAACCCACCTTTCCCCCTGATCAAGGATTTATCAGATTTCCGTCGTAGGATTTTCTTTATGTTCGTTATTAGATGTACCATTTGTGAAGGAATGAAACGAAGCTGTAGGCCCTACAGTAATAGAAAGAGTTTTTTGGCATTTAACAATTTGTCTCAGAATAATGACTTGGCAATGAAGAACGCATAAATAGGTTGTGAAGCTGCATTGCTGCTTAGAATACTGAGCGATTACCAACACTACAATTAGCAACAGACTGACAACAACGGATGCATGCTGGTGCATGCTGAGATTGGGGAAGGGTGGTTGTGAGAATTAGGTGTCCGCCGTGGTCCAACGCAAGGCATCTGGTGCCTCTGCAAGAAAATCTATCTTGGTCTAAAGAACCAACAACCTGGCTTAAATCAAGTGGTTCGGAGCTTAAATTTTAATAACGTCGCACTTTTTTTGCACTTCAAATCGATCGACGAACGGTCAGAGAGCGAATGACCTCGATTAATTATGGAGGAAAATCAACTCTTGCTCATATTTAAGAATTTTTTTATCTTAGTGATCATTAGACCAAGTCCGCCAAAGGGAAGTTAATTTCAACGGAAGATTTATATTTCATATAGTTAAATGGTCGGTTAGACAAGCGCCCGCACTCCTCTTGATCAGCAATGTCGAAAGAGTCGTGATGCAAATAGAATTAGCCGGATAAAAACTTCTGAGCGCGATCTTCGAATATTCAAATTAGGAGCCACTTAACATTAATACTTTCATTACAATTTTATTGCTAATATTATCATAATTGCTGTATTATTATTTTTGACCTTTCCTGGTGAGACTTTGTGGGTATAATTAAATTATTACAACGAGGGGAATCCGAAATACTAATGGTGTCGGCAGCTTGTATACTAGATTTTGCTTGTCAGAAATCTTCTTTACTCTGACCTCTATGATACCTTCGAATCTTCCCAAATATACGTTTTATATATACCATAGGGTAGAAAAATGAAAAAATTTTGTCTGCTTTTTTTTCTCGGCGTTTTTGTATTTGCGTGACTACATAAGACTAAATCTTATCATTTCATTTAAATTTGTGGTAATAACAAGTTGCAATAGGTTTAAATCTAGAAAGCCAAATGACGTTTGTGCCAAACAAATAGATTTTTCTTTAAAAAACACAGCCACTTTGGTCTAATTTACATTTTTCCCTATATTGCAACAGAAATTTTACGACCTCTTGAATTGGTTTAACTTATCATTTTTTATCATAGAGACATCTGCCTCTCAGATTGGAGGTTTTTCGATGTGTAGAATACCAAAGTGGTGAAAATAACATTTCAATTAAATAAATCGCAAGCTTCTTGTCAACACAGAAAAAAATACGCCTAAAAATATCGTTTCGCGGCCAGGTGCGGGAACGAAACCGTGATCCCAGCTCATTTGCCGCGAAAAAAATTGGTTGTTCGTTGTTTGTTTGTGAAAATGGACGCTAACCAATCACAGTCAATGAGGGAACAATAGGATTTGATTGACAGATGTAGTATAATGAGGTTCAAACTGAAGCTTTTCAAAGCTGGAGTTTGCCAGTTTTTGTTGAGAATATCGCACAGCTTCTGAAACGATGCTGAAGTTCGGCAGATTTGGGGAGTATTTGCTTTTCTATAAATCAGTTCTGCACCACAAGTGTTGAAAATTTTGATTTGCCATGGCAGGATTTGAAATACGGTCTGTGGGACCCTACATTCTCGAAGGAACTTTGGGTAGAGGGCAAACCGGTACGAATCAATGATTTCGCGCTCTCTAAATTTTGTACTTTCATTTTTTTTATTACAGCTCGCTTGACTGTTTTTGTTTCATTTCAACAGGGCTCGTGAAACTTGGAATTAACTGTGTCACCAAGAAGAAAGTTGCAGTTAAAATTATCGACCGTACGAAGCTTAGCGAGCAAGTTTTAAGCAAGGTAGGAACTTCTCACAAATTGGTTGTTTCAACGTAAATAAGAACTTTAGGGAAAATTGAAAGATTCTAGAATATTCCGACGATGTAAACATGCAATTTGCATCTGATTGTGCGATGAAAATAACAAACGGCTTGACAGATCGCCATTTATTTCCACATTATCTTGTAACGGGGTTATCTTCATTACGTTGCAGCCAACATCCATGTGCAATACGAGAAGTAAATCAGCTTATTTACGCGTCGTTTGCCAGTAGTATCGTACCATTCCTGTTTGTTTCTAGTGAAGCGATAAACACTGAAGTTTCGTCTTAGTTTTTGCCAAAACTTCCCTGTTTGAAATATTGATGAGTTTCAGGCTTGCTTTGTTTCCCTAGGATATTTGGACTAGATTTTTCGTTCAGCCTGTTTATTGAGGTTAGGGTCAAAATTTTTTTTTTGTTTTAAGCAAGTTTGTGCGCTTGAAGTGTTTCGTAAATCTTCCGTGACAAATAAATTCTTCCGCCAACTACATGACAGATGACGGTAATTTCGACATAAGATAAAACTCAAAACAAACATTCGCCTTTTCTATTTCACAGTAAAACATTGTCAGTTGTTGTGTTCTGTTTTCTTTAAAGAAAATTTATGTAAACTTAGGTTTATGGTTCGCTTTGTCCGTCGACTGACAAACGTTATTTCGGAGACAGTGCTTCTTTTTGCGAAAGAAAAAAATATTTAGGGTAGGAACAGAACTTTATCCGGATAAATAACTTCTTTGCATACGCTAGAATTTTTAGAAATTGCTTCCGTTAATCTACACGTTGTATTTGTTAGTTTTGGGTGACTATCTTATGTCAACCGGCCAATTAGGGGATTTTTATTACAAAACATGCAGATGTTGTTTTCGAGAGTTCGAAACCGAAGAACACTATTTTGTTCGATGTGAGAACTTACGATCTCAGTAAGATTCCGCGAGTTTGCGAAATTGTGGTACAAATTTGACCCTTGAAATCGATTCAACGTTACCTTGTAAACAACTTCTATCAATCACAGTCTGACCTTATTCTCAATTCGCCGTTTGAGTCTCACTTAAAAAATTTTTGTACTCTAATCTAATTCATTTAAAAAGGTGATAAAAATTTATCTTTTTTCCCCATCAAAATATACCATGTTTTCTGAAATGTGTGAACATGATCAACTCGTCGACATGTCTATTTCTTGTCAATTTTGTTACATTTCATCGGTCAACACCATCACAACGGGGCTCTTCTATATTTGCATAGTACATGTAATAATTGCGCCCCCAATTGTCAGATTTGAAGAATTTGTTTTGTTTTGTTTTTCTTGATGCATAAAGGAAATTGAATAGTACATCATGTTCGCACTTGAAGCTGTATTGAGGAAATCAAATAATCAAATGCAAATAAATCTAGTCAGACAGTCTGCAGGAAGTAGAAATTTCGTCATGTCACTACGATTACTTCTGAGAAGATTGTATGGTTAACTCTCGAAGTTGTTATTTTGTGCTTCATTCCTACTGTGCTCTTATTTTTTGGCAAAACTTCTTCAAGGAAGAATCATTTTTGCTACAATTTTTATACATTATATACAAGTTACATTTATGATGTTAAGGCTCATGTTTGTTGCAATTATTGCAAAATGTTGATTTTGAAAAGACTTGATTTTGCAGAGTTTGTGTTGTTCCACTACAGCAGTAATCTCCTGGAGATATTGCAGTAATACTGCCATTATAAAAGTTCTTTATTGAATAAGAACATTTCTTGGGGTCTTAATTTTAAGGGAAAAAATTTTTGATGAAACCTCATACCTATACTTGGGTGGGATGACTGTTTTCACTCCTTTTTGTCATAAGCTAACTTTCTCTTCTTGAGTTAGTTGTACTGCTGATACCATTACTCCTGTATATAAAAAAATGTATCTTTTGGGCTTTAAATTGAGTTGATGTTTAAGAAAAATGTCCACTGCCTAGTGATATTGCTCTCACAAGTAAATATGATATATTAAGCCTCCTGTTCAATGGGATGGTCTTCAGGATGCCGAATTCTCCACCATAGCTCCCACAAGTAATTTCTCAGGTCCCTCTGCCTTCCTTACAGATCACTAAGATCTTGCGTGAAGAACCTTCTGTAATGGTTTTTGAGCAAGTTATTCTTAAATTTACCTTAAGGTTAAATATGAGGTTTTGTGCTGTGTGAAAAGGTAATTTTGTAGTCAGAATGGTGTGATATGAATGCCAAATTTGGCATCAATTTAGAAATTGGCTCAAAAAAATATTCTTCACAAGATGAGAACCTAAGGTTTACACACTCAGATTGATGTTTTACAGTATTTCCATGCTTGTATGTGCAATTCGGACATGATTCATTATCATAAATGAATGGCAAGGGAAATAATTCCTCAAGTTATTTTTAGAATCAAGCTGAAATAATCAACATTGCTTAAGACTATATTTCTGTACATTGTATTGGTAAAAGTTTCAATTTTTTAAAGCCAGCATCAGTTGATTATCTTAATGAAACAAATACATGAAGTTCAAGTGAAGATTTTGGTCTCTCAAGCATTGCATGACCTTAAGCTATGGTGTGATGTAAATACAGAAACCACTTATTTTTAATTTCCTGCACTGATAATAAAAACATGATAAAATTTGGTCCTTTTTAAGTAAAAAAATTATGAAATAGTTTCCTTATCTAATATCCTCTTAGTAGTAGAAATAGGAGATACTGTTGTTATTAAATAGATCCCCAATTTTTTTTTTCCAAATTATAGACTGAAATAAAGGATGAACCTGTGTTTTTTTTGGCTTACCCTGAACATATTTCTTTAATGGCAAAATTTGCATTTATCTAGTGAATAATTCTGATTTCCCATTATGATATCATTTGTAAGAGTTGTTGATTGAATAAAACAAGTAGATTTTTGTATGAATTCAGCTTTTCTTATTAATGCAGTCCAAAGTAAAAAGCTTCACTGATTTTGCCACAGTATTTCCTCATCTACTTGTGGGTGTGAATCATCAGCTTGAGATGTGGTTAAGTAGACAACACAGATTTATTGTAAAACTTGATTTCCAAGGCCATCCATATTTTGTAGTATCTATCTACTTCAAAACTTGAAGAAAATTAACCTTTTCTCAGAAAGGAAATTGTAATCAAGGAATTTACTGACCACTGTTTTTAATTGTAGTTTGATTCATTTGACATGATATTTTCATAAAAGAACATGTGGATTAGACCTTGGGGAATAGTGTAAATTCATTTGTAATTCATGTCATCCCACCATACTTTGTTTATTTACATAATTGTGCATGATGTGTTTTTTTGGTTTAAAGTAAAACTGCACTGTTTTGTTTATCTTAGTCTATTTTCAGCTTTTGACAGGTTTGATTGAAGTCCAGAGAAGTATTTTTTTTCTGGACAAACAAGTAGTTCACAGATTTTGTCTAGTAAAAGGAAAAACCAGCATGTTTCTCAGAAAAGAGCGTATTTTTTTTTCAGAGAGTATTTAGGTACATGTACTGTGTTCGTGAAATACACATAGTTGATTATTTACTGTGACCCTGAGAGAGTGGTTTTACATTTGACTTAACCCTTTCACTTCTAAGATCTCATTAGTAATTCTCCTTACTGTCTGCTGTAAAGTTCTTATGATGTTAGTTTTAGGGAATTTGGTTTTTAACTGGCATTTTTCTTTATTTTCATCATGTGTCTGCTTGATATTGTATTGATATTGTAAGGAGAAATTCTATCTTGGTCACTCATGGGAGCTAAAGGGATAAACTTCCTCTCTAAATGTTTTTACATTTGACTTAAACTTCCTCTTTAAAATCTGAAAACTTAATAGAAAATGCTTTTAAATTTAAGAGCATGCACAATAACAGATTTAAGTGCTCTTTAAGGCATAGTGATATGAATGCAGAGATTGTATACCGGTACAATGCTACTTTAGCATTGCTCCTGCCATTCCTGTGTGTTTTTCTTACGCGATTAACACTGCAGTTTCAGCTTAGTGTTTCCCAAACCTCGAGCTCTGTAAATGTCTGAGGGGTTCCATGAAGTTTGCACAAACCTTTGAGCAAATTCAGAATGTAGAATTGATTCACACATTACTCATAACTGGGAAATGGCTTTGGAACATATTTCTTTGATAGCATTTCAACGATTGACATGCAATTTTTTATTTGTCACATGCTGAATGATGCTGATTCACATGTGTGTATCTTGGTTTTCTTTGTTCCAGGTTGAAAGAGAAATTGCCATCATGAAGCTTATCGATCATCCTCATGTCCTTGGACTATACGATGTTTATGAGAGCAAGAAACACCTGTGAGTTTACTGATACTGTCAAACTCTTGCTTTCTCTGCCGTTGTTAACTTTCAAATATCTTCCATGATAATATCAAGGTCCTCAAATTGTTGAGATCTTATAGGTCCCACATAAAGATATAGGGAAACGTAAGGATCGTGGCAACTTCTGTCACTTCATCAACTAACTGGTCAATAGTTGATGGATGTAACCAGGTGTTTCATTGAAAGCCTGTTAGCAGTGGCCAACCCCTACCTCTGTCTATAAGCTTTTTATCACTGTTTCTTTAAACTGCATGCAAGCAGGTTAGTCTTTGGGTTTCAGCCCCTTGTAGCCCCTTTTCATGGCACAACTGCCTATGACACCATTGGCAGCTGCTTAATATGGAAATGCCTCCACACCAATAGATAGTCAACAGATATTTGGAGGATATTTGATGATAGTCAACTAAGAGTTGACAGACTCGCTTGTGATGTATAATGGCAACTCAGTGGTGTGGTTTTTACTGCCATGATACTTGACTGATACTCCATCAATACTTGATTGAAATCACTAGTTACTGACCTCAGCTATCATTATGACACTGCTTGTAATTTTTTCTTCTTTTTTTCATCATTTAACTCTTTTGACCCCTTTAGAGTGACTAGTATCTTATTTCTTCCTACAATGTCACCCCCAAACTCATTAACCCTTTCACTCCCACAAGTGACCAAAACAGAATTTCTCCTTACAATGTCAATACAATATCAAGCAGGCAGGTGATGAGAATAGAGAAGAATATCAATCATGGGATTATTAGTTGATCCAATACCAAATTCTCTGAACTAACATCATAAAAATTGTATTGCAGATAGTAAGGAGAATTACTAATTAGATCTTGGGAGTGAAAGGGTTAACTCCCATGAGTGACTAAGACAGAATTTCTCCAAGTACAATGTCAATACAATGTCAACCAGATAAGTGATGAGAATTAAGAAAAATATCAATTTGGGGAAAATAAGTTGATCCAATACTAAATTCTCTGAGCTAACATTATAAAAAGTATATGGTTGACAGTAAGGAGAATTACAAATTTGATCTGGGAGTTAAAGGGTTAAGGTCATGAGAATAAAAGAACTGATCACCAACCAAAGAAGCTCTTGTTTGGGGAACAAACTCTCCCTGTCAGCTCTTAAGGAAATTTATAGAGAGCAGTATGGAGAATATGCATACTGATGTTAGGATAAAAAGAATTAAACTCAAATGTATCTTGCTCTTTCTTTTAGATTTTTAGTGTTAGAACATGTTTCTGGTGGTGAGCTTTTTGACCACCTGGTCAAGAGAGGAAGGCTTCCTCTGGGAGAGGTAATATGTTTAAATTATTTTTGCTTGACCACAAGCTTTAATTTTTACTGAAAATGTAACTCAGCATATTTTGGATTATTATATCTCTCAGTTAGTGTGTGCGATATGATTGGTCCATTTTGCAGGCTATGTTTCACTGTATGGCCTACTAAATTCAAAAGTTTGTTTTGATTTCCAATATGTCTCTTGAAGAAAAATTTGAAACAGATTTCAGGAACACTATGCAAATGAGGAAATAGAGCAAAGCTCCCAAACTTTCAAGTTGGATTCTTAGAGTTTTTTTGAAGAAGACAAGCAGCAAATAAAGAAAGATGACCATCCACGATGAAGACTACTCAAAAGGTCTTCAAATACTGTGAAAAGACAAAATATAAGTGGAGAGAGTTTGAAGGGTTTTGCAAACAGCCAGTTGATGGAAAATTAATGTTATGGACATACCTGCTGCATTGTGTGAGGATTTAATGCACATCAATTATCAATGGCCATTCTGCTTGAATCGAAATCTTTCCCCTTCTATTTTAACCCAGAGATATAATAAACATCTTGCTAACCTCGTTTTTCTTGGTCTGTACTGTAAGTTACAGAACCTTTCTTTTTTCACATAATGTATGATGTCCTGGGCATTTCATGCTTGGGCCATAAATCTGAGCAGAAAAAACTTGGTCTGTAACTTACAGTAGGGCCCTTGAACTCAGTTAGTAAGAGGTATTTATACCCTACTTTAATGAAAGTTCAGTGTAAAGTTTTTATGTTGACTTTGCTTGTGGAAAAATAATTTTCAGGTAGTATACTTTCATTTTTCTCTCTTAATTAGGCAAGAAGATTTTTTGCCCAGATGATCTCGGCTGTTGATTTTTGTCACAAGCATTGTGTTTGGTGAGTGCATGTTTAACATATATTTTTGCACTGACCAAGCTTTACTTTCAAACTCAGAAAAACCATTTAGACTTGAAATATGTTCTGATTTTGGTCTGATCTTCTCAACACATTAAATACTCCAGAAATATTTCTGGTGTTCACAGTTTCCTGACTTCTTTTCATGTTCTTGCTACCTTTTGGTGTTGTTCAAAGAAAGTGTGTACATTTGTAGACAGCCAATTAAAGTGCATATGAAAATTTCTATAATAATGTAGCTTTTAATGATGTATGTACTGTAACTTGTGTTTGGTTCTCACTTGTCCCCAAGATGTTACAGTCAAGTTTTAATTATTTCTTGTAAATATGGGCAGTGGCTTTTACAGGCTAAAATTAATTCATAATCTTGTCTTTGGTGAATTATTTCTTAAGTTAAGTTTTGATATCATATTCTTGAAGAGGTCTTCCCTTAATTGTGAGACTTTTGGCTTTTGCCTGCTAAATTCAAGTTGTATATTTCAGCCACAGAGATTTGAAGCCTGAGAACCTTCTTCTGGATAAAAAGATGAATATAAAAGTTGCAGACTTTGGAATGGCATCTTTACAGGTATATGTGTGTGTTTGCACATAATTCTAAAGTATTTTGACAATTATGTGTCTTTTTATTTATTTTTGTTAACCCTTTACACCCAAAGATCAGTGTACACATTCTCAGTTCTGTTTTCTGTACATTTCCTAAGGTGCTGACAAAGAGATTTTGCTTAACAATCAAGAGCTCTTGTACTTGTTGATCATTTCCATTATTCTCGTGACCCTAATGTTTGATTCAGGGGTGATATTGCAAGAAGAAATTAGATGCTTGTCACTCTTAGGGGCTAAAGGGTTAAGTGTCTCAGAAATTGCAGTGCTTATTTGAGGGAAAATGTGTCTTTGTTAATCAAAAAAGAGGTTAAATCTTCGAGTCTGCCTCTTTCATAATGGAAAATGTTCCTACTCTTCCTTCATGTGCATGCAAATTAGTCCTAGTCGTATCACTTTTGATTTAAAATTTTATGGTTTTTATGGGGTTGGAAAGGCTTATTTACATGCATTTAAGAGAATTACAATCAGCCCTGCCATTCCTCAGAGGGGTGTGCAGCCCAGAACTGTTTATAGGTGGACCAAGGAAAAACTGCTATTCTTCTGTCCATTGCAAGGGAGGGTTGGGGGGGGGGGGGGTGGGGTGGGGTGGGACTATTCCTTCTGTTCATTGCAAGGGTGGGGTGGGATAAAAAATTATGTGGCCCATTGATACTCCTTCATAGCAAGAGGTATTGTAAGGAGTAAAAAAATTAGTTCAAGTCAAGAGATAATGTGACTCAGACTGATCCTTCAAAAAACAAATCATGAAAATAATGCCATACAATGTTCATGCTTACATTCAATTTTTGTAACAATGTTTGGCCTCATTTTATTGGCAGGTTGGAGATAATGCCATGCTTGAGACCAGCTGTGGGTATGCTACATATACTGTACTTTATATCCTTTCTTTAAATGTTGTATAAAATGATAGTAATACACATTTTATAAGTGCATGCTAGACAACTTCAAACTGTCATTTTGTCATTTCTCAAGTATTTTCTTTTTCATCTTCTGCCAGGTCTCCACATTATGCTTGCCCAGAAGTCATTCGAGTATGTACTATCCAAAACTTTCATAGTATGCCTTGTCTAATATAGTTTTACACTGTTCATTTTTCAATCTGCATTGTATGTAATTTGTGAGGTGATTTGTATTTTAGGGAGAAAAATATGATGGTCGAAAAGCAGATGTTTGGAGCTGTGGCGTTATCCTCTATGCTCTGCTTGTTGTAAGTTATCACTTTACTAAGAGCACAATCTATCCTATGTAAAAGATGTACAATTGAATGTCAAAAGTAATCTGGGCTTTATCTTGTTTTTCTTTCCTTTGCTGTGTGCTTGTTCCAGAAAACTTGTACCATCCTCTTAACCAGTTAGATTCAAAACCAAAAAGCAATGTCTGTCAGCATTGTGCTTGATTTTACTTTGCATTCTGATTGGCGCTTTGTGATATTTTCTTTCTTCTGATTGGCTGTTTCAATCACTTTGGTTTTTGTTTTGTGACAGTCAAGGGAAAAGCTCTCTACTGCACCGCTTGTGAGATATACACTTCTATTTTCTTCATTCTCTTGCTTCCCCCCTCCCTCCCTCCTCTAGTTGATGTCTGTTTTTCGACTGAATGATTGTGGCAGAGGTGGCCAAAGTCATCCAGTCCATTGCCTACATGCCTTCAATTCAGCAAAGCTATGCTCCAACAGTGCTTGGTAACCCACTGAAAGATACGTCACCTTACATTTGGGGAACTAGGAAATTATCCCCAGCACAAACCGTAGAGTATTATGTTGGGTACCCTAGATGCTCAAGTTTAGAGGTTTAGGGATCCGGGAACTTTCATAAAACTCTTATTATCAGCACAACACCATTTTGCAGATTGGTTAAATGTACTCCCATAATCAAAGATCTAATAATTTTTAATCGCATTAAAGAAAAAAAAAACTGAGAAAACCAAACGAGAAGTTTCTTTCTTATGTGTTCTACTCTTCTTCTTCCTCTCAGGGAGCACTTCCTTTTGATGATGAAAATTTAAGAAATCTGTTGGAGAAAGTGAGTCTATAGTACTTACTGGTCAGAGTGCTTACTATGATTTTACTTTTTAATCCTTTGACCCAATAGTGACCAGGATCTAATTTCTCCTTACAATATAACCCCAGAGTCAAACTTTAAGTTCACAAGAATAAGGGAAACGATCACCAACTAAAGAAGCTCTTGATTGTTAAACAAATTCTCCTTGTCAGTACCTCATGAATTGTGTAGAGGACAGTATGGAGAAGATGCATATACTGATGTTAGGGTGTAAATGGTTACTGGGATTTAAGAAATTTCTCTGCCAAGTAGGACCAGTCCAGTTACTTTGGTTACGAAAGTCCAGTCGTTGTTTTCCAAAGCCGCGTTCTAAACGGTCAGTTCATCATTATGTGAACGTTGATTTTTATGAGAGGTAACAAAGTTGTATAAGGCTTTGATTGGAGACATCTTTTTTCGCTCAAAAATTTTTTTTTCATGAAGATTAGAAAACTTGAAGTCCATCGACTGTGTAATACCCCAGCCTCAAAAAGTTTTCGTCTAGACACCTGGTTCTAAGTCTCTCACGTAACGCGGTAATGCTTAAATCGAATCGCCCTCCCTCACTCTCTCCCAAACAACATTGGATTTTGTGTGCCTTGTAAACCGTACCGAAACTTGTTGACTGTTTAGCTTAAAAACATTATTATAAAAGGGGGGGGGGAAATTCTATGTATACGGCCGAATCGGCAAAAAGTGGTCTTTTGTTATATATTTGGGTATAGTATATGTTTTCAGTAACTGTCCCAATAAGTTTTGACCTCCATAACATGTTTGTCTTCTTCCAGGTGAAGAGGGGACATTTTAGCATCCCAGTCTTCATACCAACTGATGTTCAGGACATGATCCGAGGGATGATCAATGTAGACCCAGCGAAAAGACTTACAGTTGAGTAACAATGTCTGTTGCCCAGATAGTGATGTAGATAAATCGTGAGGGAAATCTTATTTCTGAGCTTACTAGAATGATACTGATGGCGTAATCCGTGTTGGTTTGTAGATGGAGGATGTGAAGAAGCATAGTTTTCTTAACAGGTGGGTGATTTTTGCCGCAAGGCAAAAGCTCGCTATTCGATTGAGTGTCTTAAAACCAAAACCAGTTAAAACAATCTCAACAGGTAATCAGAAAATAGGAAAATACCTTTAAGAGCCAATGATTACTCAAAGTAAAGCCAACCAAACTGCCCAAAGCGCGGGAAAACGCGGGTGACCAAGTCGTGATTGCTTTTAGTTTTACATCTGATTTGTTGAGAAAGGGGCACGAGTTTTCTGAACCAATCACAGAGGGAATTAAAGTAAAACTTAATCAATCCAGGATAATTTTCAGCATTCAAATGAAAATTGCTCTTAGACTAAAGATTATGTCATTGCCAACGAAAAATACACCATGGTGGAGACAGAGATTGAAATTCCTAAGTGGAGCCGCTCATTATATTTCTTTGTTTACACACCTTTTTCCGATTGAATTCAATGTGTGTGATCTATTTACAGTTTTAAAGATGAACTGCCTTTGGAGCCTCACGTTGTCGACATTGTCAAGGTACTTCCCTTTTTGCCCTTCGCTGCAAAACGTAGTGGAAAGTGCTAATTCGTACAGAAATCAAACGTTGGGCATGCTTAAGAGGATCAATTTTGAAGATATGTGCGCTAATGTCCCTGCAAAATTTACACACTCTGAAGCACGCCATTTCGCCTCTACAACGTTCGCATAGGCGAATACGTTTTACAGCTGTGTTTACACGAATAGTATGCGAATACGTTTTACAGCTGTGTTTGCACGAATACTAATCGGCGCGATAACTAGAGATTGTTTTTAGAAATGGGCCTACGCCTCAAGTGGCGAAAATAGCGCCAAAAACTGGATTTACTCCATTATTTTATGAATACTTTGTCAGTAATAAAACCTTTGCATTTAGTTATACCAGTGATTATGAAACGACGCGGTTATCCGGTGTGACTATCATTGAGTGTTATTGTGGGTAAGATTATTGTAATGATGATTACATGTAATGTTTTCTTTTCCATGCAGACGGAAGTTATCCCAAGTAAAGATGAAATTGACCCTGATGTGGTGCACAGTATGTCTTCCTTGGGCTGTTTCAAGAATAGAGAGAGACTTCTTCGTAACCTCTTGAAGCAAGAGTAAGTCCTTTTGAACGGTTGCCGTAGAATGTCATGGGAATAAAAGTTTTAACCCTTTTACTCCTAAGATTTGATCGTTAATTTATCATTCCAGCTCTAACCTTCAATTTTAGGGGGCCCTTGCTCAAGAAAGGAGACGTAAGAACTGAAAAAGTGTTTGAAACGTTACTGTATAGTCTTGTCAGTGAGTAAGCGTAAAAGAGAAAGGCGGTTATGACAGGGAGAGGCTATATAGCAGCCGCAACATCAATCCTGTTGTCAATTATGTTGCAATTGATTGAATCAAATGAATTTAGTACTTAGAAATTTTAGTTATCCTTGGGCGCAATATTTTATGCCCCATATGACGCTAAGACTTAAATTTAATGCGCCATTTTTGGTCGATTTGTGTAAATTCCGCAAAGCCGCCTCTAGGAAGAAACTCTGAAGTTGAACTCATTTATCCTTTAGAAAGACGATAGAAAAAGTCATCTACTTCATGCTACTGGAGAGGAAAGAGAGATCACCGACTCACGAGGATTCTGCAGTGGCAACGATAAAGAATTTAAAAGAAATTTGTAAGGTTTTTTGCTTGGCAATAGTGCAATTTTCATTTAAGTGTCGTAAGCGATCTGAGATTGTTTTGGTTTTATTGTACTACGCCGTATGATTGGTCCGGAAAACTCGCGCAATCTCAACCAATCAGAGGCGATAATAAACCAATGGCGGCTGATTCTTCGTTCATTTCATCTGACGCTGCTTTAAAATTCCCAGTAGCTCCTTCTGACAAATCATTTTTGTCCTAATAGAGTCAGCCAAAACATGGAGTCGAAATTAACTTCATGATGGGCCTATTATGTGTTTGTGCGCTTGCTGTTTGTAGCTTAGAAAAGGAAGAGTGCAGATGAATTCAGAATTTTAGCCTTTGAAGAGATGTGTTTCAGATTGCCCTTTTTGTTCTGACCCACGTTAGTAATACGGTTGTTTTGTTTTATAGTGGAAGATGCCCCAAGGAAAAGGGTCGACTCCTGTGGATCTCCCAGATTACAACGACCAAGGTCAGTATATTCACCAAAAAGGTATTAACGACATCGATGACGGTTCACGAAAACTCGAGATGTATAACGCATCTTGAATAAGTGTTGGGGGGTTAAAAGCAATTTTAACACGATAATCAATTGGATGAAAGATTAATAACTCGAGGAACCAGTGAGAACTCAGGGTTCATTATTTAAACTGCTGGAAGTGCAGGAAATCGGGAATGGACCCGTTGATTATTGGATTTTGGAAAGGCTGGCGCAAGTTTTGCAAACCAAACTCGCAAAATTATCGCCCATGAAAAGTAGTCATTGCCATGTGTTCCATCCTCTGTCAACAGAAAAACGTCTCTGACCGCTTCACCGCCTGTTACTCCGAGGACAAGAGCTGAGACCTATTCCGGGGTCGTAAGGTAGAGCTGTTTGACAATATAGCAAAAGCGTTATCAAATCTATACTTAAAATGGAGCAATGCTGTCAGTTTTACTTGACCTTTTAATTTCGAATGTCAAATGACTGCAGCCCTCGGAAGCGCATTCGGGATCGACTGAAAAGTTGATCTTGACAACCACAGAATCAAAGGAACGTTTTCCCTCAGATCATAGAATTAGGAAAATATTCGCGATAGATTATAACCTGTTGAGTGCGTATTTGTCTTCATGTGTTTTCTTTATCTGCTCATGTATAATCCTTACTTTTTTCATTTGTTTAATTTCCCTCCATGCGTGAGTACAACTAGTTTACAGGTGCACCAGGATAATCATTATCAGTAGAGTAGTACACATGCGCATTATGGGGCATAGTCAATAAGGGTACAGGATTTTGTACAATGTGGTACAAAATTAACTAATAGTTTGGCCAGATTTCCATCCAAGATGACGATTTGATTTGTTACTTTCTCGTCATCTCGATTAGGTCAGTAAAAGCCGGTTGGGCGGCAACACACCAAGGTAGTGCACACCAGGTGGTACAAAATCCTTCAACCTGATTGGCTATTCATAGTGCCTACGTATACTACTCAATAGCACTGGAGCATTCACACCGCACTGAGAAGGAGTGTTTCAGTTCGCACGGTGCTTGTTTTATCCCAGTTAACGATACTTATTCGCGTTCTGTTTGTTTTCCTAGAGAGGTGGACCTTCTCCATCATGGAACTTTGTCTGCCATTGTTTCACTGCTTTTTATTTCAATGTTTGTAGTCCTTTGGTGCAAGTGAGTCCCCGACATCAGCCGTTTACCGTGCATCAACAAGAAAGTCCCTTGTCTACCCCTCCTGAATCACCCACGCACCACGTCACCACACCACCAGGTAGCCCCTGGCGGACACGACTTGCCACTTTTAAGAACGCGATTGTGAGCTCGCCAAGATTCCACAGAAAAAAGTTATCGAGTAGGTATTGAGATGCCAGATAAGGTGAACTGTGTGTAGACGTTTTCTATTTTGTTTCCTTTCCTTCTCTACTCTACTATATATTAAGCAATGGAAAACTGTTTTAATGTACACGAGTCAGTTGGCAATCATTAAGTGGTAATAATCGCATTTCGACTGAGTTTGGTAAAACCAAAACCAAAGTAATCAGAAGAAAAAAAAACATCACAAGAAGCTAGCGCGAACTCAAAATAAAAACAAGCAATCGCCTCGAGGCACCTTAATCCTTTACACCTTAACATCAGTATTTATATTCTTCATACTGTTCTCTTAGTTGGTGATCATTTCCTTTATTCTCATGACCTTTAATGTGTGATTTAGGGGTGATATTGTAAGGAGAAATTAGATGCAAATCACTCTTTGGAGTTAAAAAGTTACCACGCGAGGAACCAAGTCGCGATAGGTTTTGAGCTGCGGGCTAAAATTTGCGCAGTTGTAGCCCTTGAAGGGAACTTCATTTAGTTCGAATTGAACGACGTCAAGAATGTAAACATTTGTACCCTATAGTGAAAACACAAACCAGCAAGGCGAGGGGAAAAAAACAGCTTTGGCATTTGTCTTGTACTCAGCGTATAGGTTGCGTTATAATGGTCAGCAGTTGTTAGATTTTATCGTTATCTTGTTGGTAAAGAAGAATTTTGACTTTATTTAGTTGGCTGATAGACATAGCACAAGTAGTTTTCAACATCCGAGCTAATGTGTCTTCCGACTTCACGCTAAGAAAACAAAAGTAGACAAATTGATGTAGAATAGCCCAACAAGGAAATCTTCTTTCCTCCAATGAAAGGAAGAGTGGTGGCTTCGAATACTATTGAATGATAAACTTGTTTTCGTCTGTTGTTTCTTAGATTGCGTAGAAAACAGCCCAGTGTCCGCCTCGCCTGACTCGTCTCCTGAGTAAGTTTCAGTGTTTAAACTCTGCATCTTTAGTAAAGTCGAAAGACAAATAATCTCACCCCCTTTTCGCCCCCGTTTTTTCGCCAACAACATTGCGGTGAATTGAAAGATTGGTCATTTATCCGAAGTGAGGTGTTAACAGAAAACTAAAGGTTGTTTTAGAAATTCCCTGTCGATTTTCGGCCTTTGAAAAATGGGCTAACTGAATTTTCTGAGCCAGATTTTAAAGTTAATTATTTAAACGTTATGCGAGTGTCTACTAGGGAAAGCACAAGGTTAGGAAACGAACGATTTGTTCGTTATCATTGCTTTAGTTTAATAAACGTTTTGCATCTTGTTGGACAAACCCATGCATACAACTCATTGTTATGAATTTAGTGGGGAATTATATTCTTTAACACTGTTTCTAAACGTGTACTAAGGTGATTTTTCTCTTTTTCTTCATTTGTTTATTTATTTATTTATTTATTCATTTTTTTTATTCAGCATCGTTAAACGTTCATGGTTTGGTCATTTAGTGTTAGGACACCACAACTCGCACTCGAAACACGAGGTAAGACGAGTTTTAATTTATATCTCAATGATGCAGAGTTAATTGAGAGTTGATGTTGCACCAGTAAGTTTTCAGTCAGTATAATTTTAAAACAAAACTTCTTTTGGAATGTTTGCTTGTGTACACAAAATCCTTTGCCCCTTACATATGTATGTATACTCTCCATTCTGTTTTCTATACATCTCCTATAGTTCTGACAAGAATAACTTGTTTAACAATCAAGAGCGTCTTTTGTTGGTGATCATTTCATTTATTCTCAAAACCTTAGTGTTTTATTCAGTGGTGATACTGCGAGGAGAAATGAAATGTTAGTCATTCTTTAGGCTTTCGCGTTCCGCTTTGATATACTTATTGTTCAAACTGATACCAATTCCTCTTCTTTTGTTGTCCTTTTAGCCTTTCTTTATCGTCACAAGAGAAAAGCCTTTCAGCACTGTTAAAGCGGATGTTGTCCATGCATTTTTATCAGTGAGTAAAACTTGAATGTCGGTAGAGCTGTTTTTCTTCAAAGCAATTTTTAAAAAGTGTCGTTTAGAAATGCGGAATTCCTTTGTTTTTGCACTACTTGGCTCTGTCCTCGATCTGGAAACCTCGTACCACGGTCTAATCCAATCAGTTATGAAATTAAAACCGTGAATGTCTTGGTCACCAGTGTCTAAGTACTCCTGTACAAGGAGATTGGCTTTTGTTTGTTTTGCTTGTTCTGGTTCCCTTGCCCGTCATTCTTACTTTGGTTTTAGCTCTCCGACAGTAACCAAGTATAGGTGACTAAAAGGCGGTTTACACGGTAGGAAAACCCGGGGACGGACCCGCCAAGAAAGAAGTACGAGCCCAAAATTTGGTGTAAACTGTCAACAATATTTTTTTTTAGAAACGTACCTATCTTTCTTAAAGTTTTGGGGCCAAAGGCGACTATGGCCTCAAACCGTGAAAGAACCTGGGTCCCTGCCACTCCCTTGATATTTGACAGGTCCATACCTGATTTTCCTGCCTTGTAAATGGTCTTTAACTGATACCTGTTTCTGTGTGTAGCAGCCATGATTCAATATCAGTGGCCGATTAAGCCGTAATGTTTCAGTGAACTGAAAATGAGTAACTGGTTTTGTAGGTCAGCCATTTAACTCACTCCGTTCTCTCACAAAACGGCTTTAAGGCAGAATACAAAAAACCAGGAGGTATGTTTGGACAGGTGTTAATGAATTTCAGTAATTGTATTGTTAGGTTGGAAGAAGTTGTAGTCTTTCTGTCCCCCCCACCCCTCCTACTCTCTGTCGCTGAATGAAGGCATGAGATCGTCCTTTAGAAATACCACTGTCCAGCTGGAGAAGATGCGGTTTTTTAGTCGATATGTAAACATTTGAAGATACAGTTCAGTTTCTCTGTATTGTTGAAACCAAACACCATCTTTATTGATTCGTGAAATCTTTTCCTCTGGATTTCCCTCCCTTTCAGGTTCTCCATTTGGAAGAAGCTATTAAACCCCTGGTTTTATCTGCTTTTTCTCTTTCATTCTCCTAGGAAAGACCATGTTTAATAAGGCGGTCCGCATATCTGTGAATATAAGTCCGACAGACCAAAGTAGAGCAGATAAAAGTTCCGTTCACACGGTCTCGATAGTTCTTGAGTCAGGTTGGTATTGAAGCTTAACTTTCTCACTTCCAAGATCTCAGTAGTGATTCTCCTTACTGTTTGCCATGCAATTCTTATGATGTTAGTTCCGAGAATTTGGCGTTGGATCAACTAATTATCCCCTAATTGATATTTTTCTTTATTCTCATCACTTGTCTGCTCGATATTGTGTTAATATTTTAAAGAGAAATTTTGTCTTGGTCACTCATGGGAGGAAACTGCCAAGATTCTCGCCAATGTCATGGCGGTTTCATTTCAAAGCTACATTTTGCCGCCATACTTTTATGCAAGGCTGCTCTTTCGTTTTTTGCCTTGTTTTGGTGTCTGGGAGCGAGTTTGAAAATGTAAAAAGAAAGGATTTAGCCTCTTGTGCTGCCGGTTGTTTTAGGCGCTTGCTTAGAATAAAGGCAGCGATCATTGCGATAAGCCGCCGGTCAATACGCCCGCGAAACAGCTCGCTGCCGTTGGCTACAAGAGGCTTTGGTACGATAATCGCGAGATTAGTACTGGAACAAAAAATATCATTTGCCCAACCAAAATGTTTTGCACTCAACCATTTCTTATCGTAGTAATTAAAGCGAGTGTCTTTTCTAGATGTTGCAAGACGTGCATCAAACAAGGGACATTTATTTCCAATCATTTTCCCGATAAATGACAAATTCCCAAGTTTGTAAACTTCGTAAATTACTTAAGCTTAGCTTTCTTGCAAAATCAGAGGATGAAAAACTAAGTGTTTAAGGTAACTTTGTAAAAAATGGAAAAAGAAACTTATTGATAAAGTTTGCCATGTAAAAACGAAAGCGTTTTTATTGATCTTTGGCGATCGTGACTTGAATTCATTGAGTTATTAATATATTAACACTGTTTTGACTGTAGATGTTTTTCGGTATTAACTTGCTTGTGTTTTTTAATTTAAGTCAGTATTCTAGAAAATCGTTGATAAATTATTTACACGTCGCTGAAACAGATTGTCAACTGTGCTCGATATGTTTTTACCGCAAAGCGACCGTGTGTTATTTCCATATATTTTTTACTCTCTAGATAAAGACGTCACGCCATCTACCGGCGTGACGTCTTTACGGGAGACCGCTGGTAGAGTGCAGTAACCTTTGCTAGTAATGTGATCACGGACGATACCATTTCATAAGGAAATAGACTATTACACCTTCTTTTCTCGAAAAAAAAGTGAGTCTCCTAATTTCAAACAATGAGTGCTTATTATAAGCGAGAGGTTCTCTACTAAGCTATCAAAGTCTGACGGATTTAGAAGCTAACTCTTTTTCTGTCTTCTTAATTGTAGGACCGGTTCATCGTTTTAAGAAATTATGCGAGAAACTCCAGCTCATTCTCTTGTCGAACGCAAGACGAAGCACTAGTAACTGCCGCGCGGAAGAAGAGAACGTCGACGAAAAGTCCCTATCAGATGACAAAAGGTCTTGTTCTGAAAACTCTAAGCTACACCTCGCTCAGTTATCAGATACTGAAAGTGAAGGCGAGCTTTTGGAAGGTAAAGACAGTCCCAGAAAAAACGAGAACACTTTGAAGAAGACCGTCAATGGAGGCAATAGTGAAAAGCTAGTTTGAAAAATCAAAATATGGAAAAGATGGAGAGGGTATCCTTAACAAAATCGAAACCTAGACGAAATTCAAGAAATTTGTGGGAAGAACGAATTGAAGAAAAAAGGGAAAAGAATTATCAAGAATGAAATTACACACAACCGCTGAGGGTGTAGATCCACCGTAATAAATGCAGTTAGTATCAAGGAATTTTAAAATTGTTGATGAAAGCGAAGAAGCGCACTCAGTATTTAACAGTCGAATGATTCAGTGAGGGTGAAAATTATTTATTTATTTCTGTAAATCCACCACAATTGAATTAAGATTTTTTATGAAAACTATTTCAATCTTAAAGGGAAAAATTTACGTAACCTACTGTCGAAAACGGACAACAGGCGGATCGAATCCAATTAGAGAAAGGGCAAGCACCTCGTAACCTTTAACATCGCAATATTTGATGAGTAATTCCCCCTTGTAGGTGTTATACATTTCTGTGTACAGTGAAACCGCTATCAAGCGGACGCGGACACTAAAATGAATTGTATTTGGATAATTTCAATTGTTAAAAACCTCTATTAAGCGGATGTCCTCGGGACATTTTCTAGTGTCCGCTACAATTTATTTTAGTGTCCACGTCCGCTTAACAGAGGTGTCCACTGAATTGGGGTTCGTTATAACAGGAAATATAAGACATTTGTTTCCGAACTCGGCTTGGTGTTCGCTTAAAAGAAGTGTCCCTGTAATAATTTAAATCGAGATAGAACTTACTTGCCGATCCATGTGTCTGTTCTCATCACCTCTTTGTTCGGTGCTGTTTTGGAATCGTAAGAGGAAGCTAATAACGTGTACCTCTGGATGCAAAATTAGTGTTATTTATGACGATGGGTAAAAGTGACGATGATGATGAGTATATTGAATACATTGATGGTTACGACGATGATGATGTTGGTGACGTGAGTGATGACTACGATGGTAACGGTGATGCTGATGAGTGTGATTATTTCGTATGATGTTGACGTTGATCGTGACGTCAGTGATGACGATTATAGTAGTTTTGATGATGACGTTGACGATAATGTTTATGATGTGATGATGATCATACTTCCAAATTGAGACGCATTTCTTACTGTCAGAAATGATTATGACGATGACGATGAAGTATGATGACGACAGCTGCGTCTATCAGCAGCACTGTAAAATGTTACAAATGAAATTTCCAAGTGGATGGCTCGATAAAGTGTATCGGAGGTTTACTTAGAAGTTAACAGTATGAGATGTCTTTATGATTCAATCCTAAACCCTTTCATGTTCAGATGTTAAAAAAAAACTTGGCTGTCTTGTACTATCCACCGCGATTTGATAAAATTTTACAACTAATTATCTCAGGACAGGTTGCGTGAAAAAGCCTCTTTTTCTATTTAATTAGGTCTGCCTAGTTTAACGAGCTTTATTTAAAAGATGGCATGATTTTGAAAACCGAAGCAGTTTGTCCCAAACTAGACTTTGTTATTCACTCGTTTTGTAAGAATTTCACACTCTGGTAATTCTTCGACCATTTTTCGGAGCCTTACGCAATCACCACGGCAACGCTGAGAGAACTGGTGTTTAAAAAATGAACCTAAGTTCCCCTTTGCGAGTTTCTCTTTCATCTTGCTATCTTTAATGGCGTCAGACCTCATCTTCAGCGTAGGATCTAAAGGAGTTGTTCGAGTTCCAAGTGGAAGCTTGAATGATTTGTTGTAGGGGTTCCCATTCTTGGACCACGCAATATTGTGTGATTGCATGTTTTATCGCAGCAGATAGATAGGAATTGTACAAAGATCTAAAAGGCGTGTGTAGAGCTATTATTCTGTCCATTAAATTAGGTTTCATCGCGTTCTTGTTGCCATTGCCGTCCTGGTTTGCCTAAGGTTCCCAAAGAGTGAACTCCGAGGTCATCGTTGTAAACGTGGTTGACTTTACACCTATGTTGCCAAATGAAACGGCTCTGTGATTCGTGCAAGTTTTCCGCCGAAAGTGTTAGCACTTGGTAGCTAAATTTGGCAGACAAAAATTTATTCCCTTTTTCCAAATTTCCATGTGATAATTCATTTGAGAGGATACAATTGCTTTGTTTTATACAAAGCCCCTTATATTTAGCTGCGTGTGGTGGAATAAATAATCTTAACCTCCTAGAGGAGTCATCTCCTGATGAGTATTGAGTGACGACTACAGTGCTGGAACGTTTGTCAAATTTGTTTATGGCGCTTCTAGGAACACGTTAACCCTTTAAAATTTGGGTTTGAAGGTGCTCGGAGTTCATCCTCCCTCATTATAACCAGTCAGTCTACTCTTTGTAATTAGTTCACTCGTACCCTATGACTCTACTCAATCTATTGTAAACATTTACTCAATTCAAATAACTTCATTTGTAATCATATTTAATAAAGTATTTACGAATTTTAGCAATTTGACTTTTTGTTTTCCAAAGGACCTTAAATAATTTTTGATAACGTGGTGGTTTCAGAGAAAGCTCAATTCTGATTGAAAGTTTATCTGATTCAACTTCAAGAAAGGTTTGCCGAAGGACTTCGACTTTTGTAGAACGAGCTACAAGAATCTGTTGCTACGGCTCGTCCTCTCATTGCGCATGCGCTGCCCAAGCCCCTATTCCTTTGGCAGATGAGGATTCACTTAGGCCTTTTATTAACTTTTTCTCTACGTGGCTGCCGATTTTGAGGTAGACCGCTGTGCCCAGAAAAGAGACCGTAAGGCGAAACCCAAATACGTGACCTGCTCGCCAGCTCAGCAGACGGCGGTAAAAGGTATTATTGGCAGCTGTAGACCGCCGGTAACACAGACTTTTTTCGAAACCCCTGAATGAATTCATAGAAATTTCCCCCTGGGTTTGAACTAGATCGCTAGGTAAATTGATACCAAATTAATCTCAATAATAAGGGCATGTGGTCATTTAAAATTGAAAGGCGTTGAATAAATACTCTTGCACAAACACGCAGTAGATTTTATAACTTTGTGCTTTCCGTAGCTACTCTGAAAAACAAGAATATGAAATTGTCAAACTTTGCGTCTTCAGGGAGGAGAAATTGGGACAGGAATAATTGACGTTTCTATTTGGAACTCGAAGTCGCCTTCAAATGAAATCAGGCCAGAGAGGTTGCAGGTCTGGCGCAGTTAGAGGTGGTAAACACATCGAGTCACAAGAACGCAAATTACTTATCAGAAACAAAATGATCTTTTTAACAATGCATCTCTTATGTGTCGTCGCCGAGTCTGATTGAACTCCCTAATGTTTGTAGCGTTTCCACTGGAAACGAAATTTAATTACGTATAAACTTTCTTTTTTAATGGTCTCGAACCATAATAATGGAAACATTTGCTAAAAATTACAAGAATTCAAAGTTGAGCTTGTACGAGGATGAGACACTAGACTGGGTTATTGTTCGTTAAAGAGTCCTCCATAAAATTTTAAAAGAGGTGACTCTTGATGATTATCGAACAACGTTCGTAATTGTATAGGCCTGGTGTTATTATTACTATCAACTCAGCTTGAATTATGCATGTCTATCCTTTCATTTTCTTGCCCACCATTAAAAAATTCGTAAGATTCTTTTCTTAATTTTTAACCCCCTCATTTGTTATTGAAATTGTTTTTAGTTAAGATTTTTAAAACAAAATTTTACCCTTTAATGAAGTCTCAGTTATTACTGGTTGTCACCACTGTGCCATCATGAATTATTCCTACTTGTTAGAAGTTTCTAGGAAGGGTTAATTATGCAAAATAAAGAAGTTTGATAAAAGACGTTAACCTGGGGCAGAAAAGTCAGAATAAATTTAGCAAAACCTTTGTACGCTGGTTTGGTGATTTGTCATTGAAATTATTTCTAGTTAAGATTCTTGAAACAGAGTGTTTACACTTTAAATAAGTCTCAGTTATTACTGGTTATCACCGATGTGCATCACGAATTTTATACTTTCCTACTTATTTGAAGTTTCAGGGAATGCATTAATCATGTAAAGAAGTCTGACAAACGACGCTAACCTGGAGCAAAAAAGTCAGAATGAATTGAACAAAACATTTATATGTTGGTTTGGTAAGTTCATGCTTCCTTTTTGGGTCTTACTTTGGGTTTGAGCTAAGTAAACGCACGAACCATTTTAAATAGTTAAATTTGGAGAAAGTGTTGAATAGCTATCGATTTTTACCACGCACCACACGGAAATAATGAAGAGGATTGCGAAATTCGGAATTCCTCAGTCCATGGAAAGTAGTAGACATTGTTTGCGCAGCAATTAGAAATACTGTCGCATTTGTTCTAAAATTCGATATTTAAACAGAGCATTGTAAATCAATGGTTTACAAGATCAGAGGTGATGTGAAGTATGATTCTCTTAATGCAGGCGCTTAACTGTTTTGCGCGTCTTTCACTAATGATCAACTGCTGTGGTGATTTAGTGATATATAAATGTCCCTTTTCTTCAATAGCAAGTCCACTGCAAGTCGTAAACGGAAGGAAAATTGTATAGGTAAATCCTTTGAATACAACAGATCCTTTATTAAAGTATTATAGATATCAAACAACTAAGGGAAATTAATGAGTAAATTAAAAAATATATTCAATCGAGGTAACACACTGATAACAAGTTTGGCCCTCGAGAGATGTTGACAAGTTACATACGACGAAGCTTCTTTGAAATTTCAAAGGCAGCTTTTACTTCTCTTCCATGCAGCCCCAAGGCAAGGATTTACTACAGCATCATAGGTCGGATTTGAGTAAATATTTAAGAAAATAAGAGTGAATTAACACTGTTGAAAGATAAGTGAAAACACTCTGGGAAGATAAAGTGCTGTGACGGAAAATATAAAAAATGTTACTGTAAGCACTAATTAGAAATTTTTTCCAACAAAAAAGGCTTTCATCCTTTTGAGGCGTACAGCCCTGACTGTAAACCAAAGAGACTACTTTGGTAATTTTTATTCTGTTTGTCGTGTTATTGTATCTTTCTGGGTTTCTCGTTTGCTTATATTTCCCTGATTAAAGGTGATGTATCAGATAGTATAATTTTTCAGCCTAAATTTAGCACACTAGTACCAATTTTAAACAGCCTTTCAGCAATAACATCCAATCGGTCAGCGGTCAGCGAGTATGATGGCCGCGTGTTTTGCTGGCTCTGCCAACTTGAGATAATTTCTTGCTTTTTTCACGTAAATCTTACTTTTTCTTTTACAAACTTAACAAACAAGTTAAGTTGAAGCATTATGTATCAAAAGCAACACTTATTAGTGTGTATTATTCTCTTATTTATCCTTACCTTACTTATGCTTGTACACTTTGGGGAAATAATTATAATGCTCCATTGTCTCAAGTCATAAAGTTACAAAACAAAGCAGTTCGAGTTATAAATGATGTTCCTTTAATGGAATCAATAACTCCATACTATACATCCTTAGGCCTTCTGAAATTTCCTGATATTGTTAAACTGAAAACATGTATGCTTTTTTATGATTATTTCCACCTTGAAAAGTTTCCTAATATACCTGTTTCATTAGTATCTGAACTACATAATTACAGTACCCGCAGTGCATCATCCAATCAAGTTGTAATACCTTTATTTTGAACTAATCTTAGGGGATTTTACCCCAGCATTATTTGAAGTTTCTTTTGGAACGATATTCCGCAATCCATTAGAGACAAACCATCTAAAAAAATGTTTGGAAAAGCACTTTTGCGCTGGTACCTTGCTCAATACTGATGAAACATTATCTCTTTTATAATTTTCTGAGCTATTTTGTCGTTTTTCCTTTATTTTTTTTTTTATTAAAAATCTCAAGTCCTTTGTTATACATAACTTTAAGGGGCACAATATTAGTTTATCTAGATGTGCCCCTCTCCTCTCCTTCAATATACAATGTAATTCAATTTAAGTGTTGTAATTTCTGTTCTACGCATTTTTCCTTTATAAATCTTTATCTGATACTAAGTTATATACAGAGAATCTTAAAGACTGATCCATGGGAGGAAGACGATAATTTTAGGACGACATTATTGATTGGTTCGTGTCTCTTCATCTCACAGGTCAGCCGGAAAGTTTTTGCGCAAACTCCGTCAATGGCAGCACAACCATTTACAACTGTACCAATCTATTGTACATGCATCCTACTCCTTTTGAAACAAACAAACTTGTTTGGCTCAACAACAGGTTCTGAGATGAACAACACGTCATCTACTACGAATTTTGAGCCAGGCCTCACAACTACAGGAAGACAAACATCGCAAATTGCTACTGCTGTCGCTTTTTCAACGTTTGTATCACAAACACCATCATTGTCTTCATCGCATAAAGCAAACGCTTCCCTAAGTGTTGGAAGTTACAGTAACAAAGCGAGCACAGCAATTATGTCAACACTGTTGTCTTCCGCAAGCCACACATTAAAGGCAACGAAAAGTGTATTTACGTCAAATGCAGTAAAGCCAAAATCATCAACTTCTGCAGAACATGCAGCCGACCCCACCACAAGTGGTGTTCAGTTCCCAAACGTATCTACAATGAAAAGGCTACCATCGGACACTACGACAACTGTTGTCTTATTTTTTACAGTGACATCAACTGAAAACCATACATCAGCTGCTACTACCTCAAAAATTGCCCCATCAACGACCGTAACACCAAAAACATTAACTTCTGCAAGTCACACATCAGATGCTATCACAACTGTCGTTCCAACCTCGGCAGTAACAACAAAATCGGTAGCATCTGTTAGTTTAACAATACACACTACCACAAGTGTTGTTCTCTCTACGGAAGAAACATCAAAATCATCAAAGTATACTAATCTGGAATCAGATTCTACCGCAAGTTATGTTCCCTCCAAAGCACTTACATCAAAACCGTCAAATTCTGCTATTGAGGCATCGGATGTTTCTTCAAGCGTATTTTTATCCACAGCAGGAACATCAGAATCATCAACTTCTGTAATTTCTGCATCAGACAGTGCTACAAGTGGATTGTCCATGGAATTGACCTCAAATTTACCACTTTCTGCAACACAGACTTCAATTGGCACTAAAAATGTAGTTTCCTCCGAAGTAATCAGACCGGGATTATCATACTCTGTAGTTCAAACATCACACGCTACTAAAAGTGCTACTCCATCTTCGGAAAAAACATCAACTCCCGTAAATCAAACAATACGCACTTCTGCAAGAGTTGTTCCATCAAAATCGGATTTTACTACAATTAATGTTCCCTCTAAAGTATTAACATTGAAAGCGCTAACTTCTGCAAGTCAGACATCAGATCGTTCTCCCAGCGTTGTTTTAACTACAGCTTCTGAAGTTCGCGCAACAGACCCCACTGAAACTGTTGCTCCATCAACGCCAAACTCATTAACTTCTGCAAGTCAGGCATCAAGCATAACTTCCTCTGAATTGTCAACTATCCCAAGTTATACACCAGGTGCAGCCACAAGTGTTGCAATACCAGCAAGAGTAACGCCATTAATCTTTTTGAGCCGGTCATTGGTTTCTGCTACGGGTGTCATTCCATCGATGACAACAAAATCAGAATCATTAACTTCTGCAAGTCAGGAAATAGGTTCAACTACAAGTTCTATTCCTGCCATATCAACAACAACAAAATCGTCAAGTTTTGAAAGTCATGTATCAGATGCTTCTACAAGCCTTCTATTATTCACAGTAAGAACATCTGAGTCATTAACTTCTACAAGTCATACATCAAACAATACTATAAGCGCTGTTTCATCAAAGGAAATGACAAGACTATTCACTTCTGCGACTCAGACCCCCAGTGGCACCACGTATGTTATTCCAAAGAAAGCGGAGTTTTCAACCCCTTCAGTTCAGGCACCAGACGCTACCGACAGCGGTGCTTCATATACGGCAAACTCATTAACCTTTGCGAGTCAGGCATCTAACACTGTTACATCTTTTTATCCATTTACTGCGGTAAACTTCGAATCGCTAACACCTGCGAGTCATACACCAACGAATTCAGCGAATGCTGGTCCATCAACGCCTAAAACGTCAAAATCATCAACGTATGCAAGTCATGCACCATTCACCTCTTCGAGTGTTCGTTCATTAACGGCAGTAACATCAAAATCATCAACATCTAGAGGTGAAGAGTCAGACGCTATTACACTTGTTATTCCATCCGCGGCAGTTACACCAAAACTATCAGCTTTTGCCTCTGAGGAATCAGATGAAGTCACAACTGTTGTTCCATACACTATAGTAACATCCAAATCATTAACTTTAGGTCAAGCATACACCATTACCACAGTTGGCATACCCATGGCAGAACAATTAAGATTATCAGGGTCTTCGAAAAAGGAATCAGACACTACTACAAGAATAGTTTCCTCTAGAGAATTAACATTAAAAGCGCCAACTTCTGCAAGTCAATCATCAGATGTTTCTTTGAGCGTTGTTTTGACCATAGAGGGAACATCTCAACAATCAACTTCTACTATTAATTCACTAGAGAGTACAAGAAGCGTTGTTTTATTTAAGGAAGGAACATCAAAATTATCTCTTTCCGCGTTTCAGACTTTAAAAGGCACCACATACGTTAATTCATCCACAGTACTGAAACCAGAATCTCAAACTTCTGAAGTTCGCGTATCAGACTCTACTGAAAGTGTTGCTCCATCAACGCCAAAGTCATCAACTTCTTCAAGTCAGGCATCGAGTGCTACTTCAACTTTTCCTCAAATCACCGCGATAACCTTTGAATTGTCAACTATCCAAAGTTATATACTAAACGCGGCCACAAGTGTTGCAATATCAGCGACAGTAACACCATTAACCTTTTTGAACCGGTCATTGGTTTTTTCTACGGTTGACATCCCACCGATAACAACAAAATCAGAATTATTAACTTCTGCAAGTGAGGTGCCAGGTTCAACTACAAGTTCTATTCCTTCCATATCAAGAACATCGAAATCGACAAGTTCTGAAAGTCATACATCAGACGCTTCTACAAGCCTTCTATTATCCGCAGTAAGAACATCTGAGCCATTAGCTTTTGTAAGTCATATATCAAACAATACTAAAAGTGCTGTGTCATCAGAGATAATGACAAGACTTTTTATTTCTGCAACTCAGATCTCCAATGGCACCACGTATGTTATGCCAAAGAAAGCGGAGTTTTCAACCCCTTCAGTTCAGCCACCAGACGCTACCGACAGCGGTGCTTCATATACGGCAAACACATCTATCTTTTTGAGTCAGGCATCTGACACTATAACATCTTTTTATCCATTTAGTGCGGTAAACTTCGAATCGCCAACACCTGCGAGTCATACTCCAACGAATTCAGCGAATGCTGGTCCATCAACGCCTAAAACGTCAAAATTATCATCGCATGCAAGTCGTGCACCATTCACTACCTCGAGTATTCGTTCATTAACGGCAGTAACATCAAAATCATCAACATCTGGAAGTGAAGAATCAGACGCTATTACACTTGTTGTTCCATCCGCGGCAGTCACAGCAAAAGTATCAGCTCTTGCCTCTGAGGAATCAGATGAAGTCACAACTGTTGTTCCATACACTGTAGTAACATCCAAATCGTTAACTTTAGTTGAAGCATACACCACTACTACAGTCGGCATACCTATGGCAGAACAATCAAAATCATCAGGGTCTTCGAAACAGGAATCAGACACTACTACAAGAATAGTTTCTTCTAAAGCATTAACATTAAAAGCGCCAACTTCTGCAAGTCAATCATCAGATGTTTCTTTGAGCGTTGTTTTGACCACAGAGGGAACATCTACACGATCAACTTCTACTATTAATTCACTAGAGAGTACAAGAAGCGTTGTTTTATCTATGGAAGGGACATCAAAATTATCTCTTTCCGCATTTCAGACTTTAAAAGGCACCACATATGTAAATTCATCCACAGTACTGAAACCAGAATTTCAAACTTCGAAAGTTCCCGCATCAGACTCAACTGAAGGTGTTGCTCCATCAACACCAAACTCATCAACTTCTTCAAGTCAGGCATCGAGTGCTACTTCAACTTTTCCGCAAATCCCCGCGATAACCTTTGAATTGTCAGCTATCCTAAGTTATACACCAGGCGTTACCACAAGTGTTGCAGTGCCAGCGACAGTCACAGCATTGACCTTTTTGAGCCGGTCACTGGTCACTGCTACGGGTGTCATTCCATCTATAACAACAAAATCAGAATCATTAACTTCTGCAAGTCAGGAGCCAGGTTCAACTACAAGTTCTATTCCTTCCATATTAAGAACATCAAAATCGTCAAGTTTTGAAAGTCATGCATCAGATGCTTCTACAAGCCTTCTATTATCCACAGTAAGAACATCTGAGCCATTAACTTCTACAAGTCATATATCAAACTATACTACAAGTTCTGTTTCACCAAAGGAAATGACAAGACTCTTCACTTCTGCAGCTCAGACCCCCAATAGTACCACGTATGTTATTCCAACGATAGCCAAGTTTTCAACCCCTTCAGTTCAGGCACCAGACGCTACCGACAGCGTTGCTTCATTTACGGCAAACTCATCAACCTTTGGGAGTCAGGCATCTAACACTGTTACATCTTTTTATCCATTTACTGAGGTAAACTTCGTAACGCCAACACCTGCGAGTCATACACCAACCACTTTAGCGGGTGCTGGTCCATCAACGCCTAAAACGTCAAAATCATCATCGTATGCAAGTCATGCACCATTCACTACTTCGAGTATTCGTTCATTAACGGCAGTAACATCAAAATCATCAACACCTGGAAGTGAAGAATCAGACGCTATTACACATGTTGTTCCATCCACGGCAGTTACACCAAAAGTATCCGCTCTTGCTTCTCAGGAATCAGATGCTGTTGCAACTGTTCTTCCATACACTGTAGTAGCATCCAAATCGTTAACTTTAGGTCAAGCATACACCATTACCACATTCGGCATACCTATGGCAGAACAATCAAAATTGTTAGGGTCTTCGAAACAGGAATCAGACACTGCTACAAGAATAGTTTCCTCTAAAGCATTAACATTAAAAGCGCCAACTTCTGCACGTCAATCATCAAATGTTTCTTGGAGCGTTGTTTTAACCACAGAAGGAACATCTACACAATCAACTCCTACTATTAATTCACTAGAGAGTACTAAAAGTGTTGTTTTATCTTTGGAAGGGACATCAGAATTATCTCTTTTCGCATTTCATACTTTAAAAGGCACCACATATGTTAATTCATCCACGGTTATGAAACCAGAATCTCAAACTTCTGAAGTTCGCATATCAGACTCTACTGAAAGTGTTGCACCATCAACGCCAAAATCATCAACATCTTCAAGTCGGACATCAAGTGCTACTTCAACTTTTCGTCAAATCACCTCGATAAACTCTGAATTGTCAACTATGCTGAGTTATTCACCAGGCGCGACCACAATTGTTGCAATATCAGCGACAGTAACACCATTAACCTTTTTGAGCCGGTCATTGGTCTCTGCTACGGGTGTCATTCTATCTACAACAACAAAATCAGAATCATTAACCTCTGCAATTCAGGAGCTAGGTTCAACTACAAGTTCTATTCCTTCCATATCAAGAATATCAGAATCGTCAAGTTCTGAAAGTCGTACATCAGACGCTTCTACAAGCCTTCTATTATCCGCAGTAACAACATCTGAGTCATTAACTTCTACAAGTCATATATCAGACGATACTACAAGGGCTGTTTCATCGAAGAAAATGACAAGACTTTTCATTTCTGCAACTCAGACCTCCAATGGCGCAACATATGTTATTCCAACGAAAGCGGAGTTTTCAACCCCCTCAGTTCAGGCACCAGACGCTACCGACAGCGGTGCTTCATTTACGACAAACTCATCAACCTCTACAAGTCAGGCATCTTACACTACTACATTTTTTGTCTCATTCACTGCGTTAAACTTTGAATCTCCAACATCTTCGAGTCATACACCAACGACTTCAGCGAGTGCTGGTCCATTAACGCCTAAAACATCAAAATCATCATCGTATGCAAGTCATGCACCATTTACTACTTCGAGTATTCGTTCATTAACGACAGTAACATCAAAATCATCAACATCTGGAAGTGAAGAATCAGACGCTGCTGCCAGTGTTACTCTATTCACAACAGATACATTAGAATCATCAGCTTTTTCAAGTCAGAAATTAGATGCTATTGCACTTGTTGTTTCATCCACGGGAGTTACACCAAAAAAATCAGCTTTTGCCACTCAGGAATCAGATGAAATCACAGCTGTTGTTCCATACACTGTTGTGACAACAAAATCGTTACCTTCGGGTCAAGCGTACACCACTACCACGATTGGTATACCCATGGCAAAACAATCAAAATTATCACGGTCTTCGAAACAGGAATCAGACACCACTATTAGTGTAGTTCCCTCCAAAGCAGAAACATCAAAAGCGTCAACTGTTGTACCATCTATGGTAGTAACTCCTAAAATATCAGTTATTGCAAGTCAGGCATCAGATGCTTCTAAAATTGTCGTTTTATCCACAAGAGGAACATTAGAATCACTAATTTCTGTAGGTCCTACACCAGACCCCACTTCAAGCGTTGTTTTATCCACGACAGTGATTTTGAAATCCTCACTTTCTGCAAGGCAGTTATCAGACGCAAGGACAAGTCTTTTTACATTTAGAGTAGCAACATCAAAATCGTCAAATGCTGCAAGTCAGGAATCGGATGCAACTTCAAGCGTTTTTCTGTCCATGGCGGTTGCACCGATATCATCAAGTTCTGTAAGTCAGGCATCAGTCACTAATAAAAGCGTTTCTCCTTTCAAGGCAGGAACATCAGAATCATCAAATCCTGCAAATCGCACTCCAGAAACCACTGCAAATATTCTCCCATCTACAGTAGCAACATCTAAATCAACAACTTCTGTGAGTCAAACGTCAGACGTCGCCAACAGTGTTACTCCTTCATTGACAGTGACATTAAACTCATCGCCTTCTGTGAGTCAGGCAATAGAAATTGCTACAAGCTTTGTTCCGGCTGTAGCTGCAACAACTAAAACAGAAACATCTACAAGCCAGACAACAGCTACAATTTCGAATTTTGTTCGCTCTATCTTGATAAGATCAAGTCAGGCATTGGGTGTTGCCACGAGTGTTGACTTATACACAGCAGCAACAGCAAAGTCACCAAGCCTTGCAATTCAGGTATCAGACACACCTGACGCAAGCGTTTTAACATTTATGGCAGTTACGCTGAAATCAACAACATCTGCAGGTCAGGTAACTGAGGCAACTACAAGAGTCTTTTCATCCGTAGTTGTAACTGTAGATTCATTACATTCTACGGGTAAGGAATCAGATGCTACAACAAGTGTGGATGCATCTATGGCATTATCACTAACATCATCAAGGTCTGAAAGTCAGGCAACATATACTACAACAGGTTTGGATTCTTCCAGAGCAGTGACATCAAAAGTGTCAAGTTCTGCAAGTCACACAACAGATACAACAACAGATTCTTCCCCATCTATTGCTGTAACATCTAAACCATTAGGTTCTGCACGTCAGGAACCAGACGCCAAAAGTACAAGCGTTGTTGCATTCATAGCAGTAACAACTAAATTTTCAACATCCGTAATTCAAGCAACACGTGTCGATCCATCTATCTTACAGTCATTACGGTCTGCAGGTCGGGCATCAGACGCTACATTAAGCGTTTTTCCGTCCATGGCAGTAGCGCTAACAACAACGAGTTCTGTAACTAAGGCATTAGACGCTGTTAAGAGTGTTGCCTCATCTGTAGCTGTGATACCAGAATCATCAAATCCTGCAAGTCATACACCAGGTACTTCTCCAAGAGGTGGCCTCTTCTCAACCACTTTTGAATCTCATATACCAGAGGCTACCACGAGTTTCCCTCATTTCACGTCGATGGCAATAAAATTATCAATTTCTGTAGGACAAGCACCGGATTCCTATGCTGGTGATGCTCCTTCAACAACGACAGCATCAATTTCATCAATGGTTAGAGGTCAAACACTGGACACTGCGGGAGTAACTTCAACATCTTTAAGCTCTGTTAGTCAAAAATCTGACGAAACTTCAAGAAGTGTTTCGTCTATGGTAGTAAGAACAACATCAATTACTTTTGCTAGCCAAAAACCGGATGCTACTGGAAATGTTGCTGCATTCACGGCAGTACCATCACCTCCATCAAATTCTGTAAGCCAAGCATTGCATGCAACTACAATTGTTGCGCCAACAGTAGGAGTAACATCAATGCTATCATCGTCTTCAAGTCTTGCAATTGACGATTCCAAAACAATGAGAATAGTAACATTAGAACCATCAACATCTTTGATCCCTGTTCTTTCTGCCGCAACGAGTGATTCAGAAGAAAAACAACCATCATCGACTACTGTTAGTATCGCAGAAGGCGCTACATTGCCAGCTCCGTGTTCTGAAGGAGGCGAGTGTACCGGTAAGATGAGAAGTATCTTGTTAAAATTTCCTTTTTTTCCTTACGAAACGCCGATAATCGGCCACGATTTTAGAGCGAGTTGATTTTCGAGAATAAATGGTTAAATCATGAACGATTTTGTGTAGAAAAAGATAAAGGAACTTTTTATTGCAATCATACACAGTTATCGATTCGAGAAAAAACACATCAGCAATTCAACGGTCCGACTTTGATCTTGACAAAATTTGTCCAACGCCAAGACAAGATATAACTTCTTTTGAGGTTGAGGGGCTACGTCTTACCAAGAAATAATGCTTACATAAGAAACAATTTGAAATGTCCCCGATCGAGGTAATCAAGATTACAAGCAGCTGTCACTCACTAACGTTGTTATTTCTAAAAGATGAACTCTAAACGTTCTTTTCACGCTTAGGAATTGACAGATGTATTTCAAACCCATGTCGGAATGATGGAACTTGTAAACAACAAGGCCAATCTTATTTCTGTGAATGTACGGAGGAGTATGAAGGGAGAGTATGTGAAAGCGGTAGGAAAACGAGCGCATATAGTTTTTTTATTCATTGCCTTAACATATCTCCTTGCTAATTTGAGACGCCCGCCGACTATATACATCATCTACGTAGAGAGAGACTGTATCCTTAGGCTTTGTCTCAAGGGAAATTTTCCATTTTCTCTAAAATGTCTCATGATCAACCATAAACATGTAGTCTTCAAACAGACAGCGCATGACAGAAATTTGTTGCTCTATTGCATGGTTCCCATTCCAAACTTCAGCTTTTTGATATAGGTTATTGCAAGAAATAATAGCCTTGCTCCGGAGATGTGGCTTCTAAGCTCAGCCCAAAAAGTGCCTCACCGCTATTAGGGTGTATAGGATCTAACCCTGTCGACAGCCATAGATTACCCGTCACATATACCTCATTTTGATAATGTTCTTATTGTTTTACTCCTTCTCTGACACGATGCAACAGTTTCGCTTCACGCGAAGAAGTTTTAATCTTTGCAGGTAGAGTGGATACCAAAAGGTATAGAGTGACAGCGAGAATACAGGGGCAATACAAGTCACCCTACAGTAATCTTGGTTCATCCGAGTCTCAAGCCTTTATCAAGAACTTTACGGAAAGAGTGGGTCGTTTCTTGAAGGTGAAACTTCAAGGATATCTAGGAATTGAAGTCACCAGGTTATTAAACGGTACTGTTGTGGTCGATTTTATCATTTTAACAGAACGCAACTCCAATGTCACCGTGAAAACCATAGAGCTCGCTCTAATGGAGGGAAATAGCACTGGGAAGCTTGGAGTCGTGTTTGTAGGAAACTTCATTTTAGAGGAGATTGTAGATGCCTCCAACACAAACAGCCCAACTACCAGCCCTAAAGACAAAGGTAATGATTTCATGATGCATGTGACAAAGGTCTAAGTGCTTTTAACAACGCAAAAGTGTAGTTAGAAACACTAGCTCAACTATACCGATCATTTATTTGTAGTGATTAAAAATAATTATAAAATTTACATTTTAAGATATTTGGAAAACAAACGTAGGACGAGAATAGCTTCTTTTACGTCTTACTTAGTCTGGCTAGTGTAATGCACTAGCAGTGATTGTAATTCTTCCGCGGGGATGCATAAGGAAATTTAGGCAAAGTTTGAGTAATAAACAGAAAGAAAGATAGAGGGAGACAGATTGAAAAGAAAAGAAGCCTGCCACACTTCGGACAATTACTCTGCTAGACAACGACATAGAGAAAAGTACAATCGTGCGTTAACAAAACATAAGGGCATCTAACGGTTTTTAGAAGGTAAAGGTTCAAAATCGAACTCTAGTTATTAATACAGTAAATGGTTTGAACCCGGGAGTAACATGTAATAGTGTACTTTGATCGTTCGGGTGAGTGTAGTCCTGAGAAGGACTGTTGTCGGTAGTGGTGACTGACGTTTCGACAACCTTGGCGGAAGTCGTCTTCGAAGTCAAGTGAAGATGACTCAAGTCGGAAGATGACTTCCGCCAAGGTTGTCGAAACGTCAGTCTCCACTACCGACAACAGTCCCTCTTAGGACTACACTCATTCGGACGATCAAACTACACTACTCTAGTTATTAGGAATAGAACTTTTTTACTTTGACTCAACAGGACTTAAAAAGTGGATGATTGTAGTATTTGTAAATGGAAGCATTGTATTACTGTTTTTGCTGATAATTGTCATCCGTTCGGTATGTATACTTATGCAATGTATTTGGTCACGTACTTAATGTACTTGATTTGACGAGAGAGAGTGTGATGTGAATTTAGTCGTCATTTCCAGCTTGCGGTTTATCTTTTCTAAAACGTTTGACGATTCAGAGGTAGTTTATGCCTTCATTGTTAAGGTGACCGTCGCCACGCTTGGGATGTTACCATCTACTACATTTATCTTCTCTTCAGAGAGAATTTAGCGGGCGCTATTAACCCGAGTTGAAGCTTAGTGCGAGCCCAAAGATGCGACTCATTGATCAACTGGTCAGGGTGCTCATTGAACGGGGTAATCGTCTTGTCAAAACGTTGCCCATGATTGGAAATTGTCCCTAAATTTGGCTCCAGTAATGAGATCAGTTCCCCTCTCTATTAGTGAGTGTAAATGGTATAGATCTAGTTCGACCAAATTGTGAAATGGTGAGTAGCGGTGGTGTGAATATTTTTGGTAACTTGGGTAATTTTCTCTGTGATATTTGTCTCTGCCCTGATTGGTCGTAGAGATACCTTTGCTTTATTTTTAAAGACAACCAAATTGCGCCTTGGCGTAACTCGCATCGAAATGCATGCAACTTTTTTACCTAATAATTTTTAGGGTTGAGACATCGTCAAAAATATAATAATGCTGATTTATCTTCGTCTTTAAATCTGCAGTTGAATTGTAGGCCCGATAAAGTACCAGAGAATGACTTCATTACGACGAACGGCGATCAGAAAAGTGGTAGCACTGTAACAAAGCCTGCCAGCGAGGTAATCGTTTCATATTTATGTTGAATTCAGTCAAGATGGGTTAAGAACCTCAACGCCAGTTTAATAGATTGACATGAGTATAACATTTTTCACTGAGCAACATTGGTAAATTCCATGGAGGAAATAATGGCTGCTTTTACGAAAGAGTTAAATCGGTTCATACTTAGCAAGTATATAATGAGTTACGTAAAAAGTTTTGGGAGCATCAGCTAAGGGTTAGAGTCGACGCAGTCGAGTACAATTATACTACTTCCAGGGTGGTCTCCGAATCTTACAAATGCAACCAAAACTCGATGTGAGCATAGCAAAAGGCATGAAGTAACGGTATTCGATCAATTCGCCACCACGACGAACTCGCCATCAGAAAACTCCCCACCACTGAGAGTCAAATCGCCACCGGTGGCGATTTGACTTTTTCTTCATGTGTAGCCTATCGTGTGAAATTTATATTAAATGAAAGCTGGGATGTAGAGGTATATTGTGAAAAGGGAAAGAGGCTCAGAGGTTAAGTGTGGCCTCTCAACCGTTAAATGAAACAAAACTTGTTGATGTCACGATAATTATGATAAGTTTGCCTGAAGCGAAACTAGAGTGACTTTAGGGTAATTTAGTATTAGCAACTGAGTTGATAAAGTAAGTTGGCCACCGCAAAGAGTTTAAAAGCCGATGTTTTGAACGTTAACCCTTCGTCAGAGCGATTGGAGGAATTGTGGGTTGTGTGTAGGCTTACTTATAGTAAATAGAGCTGCTGGGAATACAGTAACGAGAAAACAAGAATAGATTAGTTGAATGACGTGCGCTCGTTGATGCCGTGGGAATTAAGAGTGCCGATTTGAAAGATAAATTTTTCGGCTTTCCGAAATGCCTAGATGTAGGGAAAGGCAGAAAACTGCCATATGCTGCTTAAAATGATTAGGGAGAATAAAGTGTCTAGCGACTGGTTTGGATGCGTCCTTGTCATTTCTTTCTATGTCGCAAGGGTGTTCTCGGAATGGGTCACCTAGTCGTCTTCCTGTTTCACCAATGTGTAACTGGTAATAAGTGCAAGTTATGCAGTAAATGACACTGGCAAGTGCAAGTGAAGTGATCAGTGAACTTAATGAATGTCTTGGGTCCCGACATTTTCTTTACGTTGTGAATGAAAGGACACTAAGTTTTGCATCGTGAGCGAGCGCATATGAAAGTGCTAGGTTGGTCATTGGTTTGAAATGAACTTCTGACCAAAAAGTTGCCTATGCTTATGTCACGTTTGAACGAAATTAGGGGAGGTTGCGAAAAGATAGTACCAGTGTCTGAATTGTTTTGCAGTAATTTAAAGTTTTTAAGAATGCTAGATTTAACTGCGTTGTTGTGAGGGTGGAATGTGATAGTGAATGGAATACGATCAATATTTTCTTTCTCAACCGTTTGAGGTGCTGACTGTCGATCAATATGAATAACGAGGTAAGTTTCTAAAGAAACTGTGGTGTTGCGTCGGTGAGAGAGTAGAACAGGGTAATTTAGTATTATCAACTGAGTTAGTAAGTAAATTGGTCACCGTAAACAGTTTAAAAGCTGACGTAATTTGGAGCGTTAGCTCTTCATCCATCGCTCTGACGAAGGGCTAATGCTTGGGGCAATTCTTGTTTAGCTCTGAAATCGTTAATTGTTTTTTGTTAATGTTTTGGTTGTCGAAAGTGAGATCTTTGTCAACTTTTGCCGCAAAGCAAGGTTCGAGGTGTTAGAATCATACAAAACAAAAATACTTTCGAAACACTCAAGATTCGAAAGTCTAAATGCCGCTTTGCGCTAACTTTCTGACACCTCTTTTTATGCCAAAGTTCTTAAACTTCGAACCTTGCTTTGCGGCAAAAGTTGACAAAGATCCCACTTTCATCAACCAAAACATTGTCAAAATCACGATGAACGATCTTAGAGCTAAACAAGAATTGCCCCAAAGCGTTGGACCTTCGTTAAAGCAATGGACGAAACTTAAGGCTAACGCTCGAAAGGTCAGCTTTTAAACTCTTTACGGTGGCCAATTTACGTTATGAACTCAGTTGATAATACTAAATCATCCTGTTATACTCTTCCAGCGACGCAGTACCACAGTTTCTTTAGAAACTTACCTTCTCTATTCAAAGTGGTTTTAACCAAGTGATTTTCTCCAAGAGACTTACGCCGAAGTTTATGTTACTGAACGAAACTTCCATCAAATAAAGGCTAGGAAGTGGTGTTATATTGCGATAAAGAGGGCGCACAAATACAGCGAAGTTTACAGAAACGGACTCAGCGTCCTTTCTTTATTCAAAGCAGAATAAATGTCGAAGTGACCTTTAACACGAGTGTTGTCCTTAAAATCACAAATTTTCAATCAAACTTATGAAAATTATATCATATGAAAGCCTAAATTTTGAATTTTCATCCATTTTGTAGTTTTACTACATCTTAGCTTCAGTTAATGTAAGTCAGTTCCATACGACAGGCTACACATGACGAAAAAGTCATATTGCCACTGGTGGCAGTTTGACTTTCAGTGGTGGGAGTTATGTGGTAGCGAGTTTGTTATGGTGGCGAACTGACCTTAAATCGAGGTAACTCTTTCATAACATAGCGGCAACAAATTGAACTAATTTGGCAAAGGCACTCGTTCTGCTTCGCTATCTTTCTCTTATTTGTTGTCAAGCTTGATGCTTGGCTTATAGGTCAGTGTTTAGGAAGTGGTTGAGAGTCATATTCGCTTTTTATTTCAATAATGGTTGTGAAAGCTGTCAGAATATGAGAATTGAAAGGACCTCACAGCAAAACTTGACGGAAACTCAAGATTGACAATGACACAGAAATACCAGGCTTAAGCTTGGGATAAAACTCTGGAAAAATGAAAAAACTCAGGTCATTTGTTCACTGTGATTTCAACTTAATTGTGATTAACTTTGTTTAAATATAGAAAATTGCGATAAACATTTCTTAAAAACATTTGGAGATTTCTAAAAGACGACGACATTTCCACATTGGCTAACGTCATTATCAAGTCAAACGAATATTTGTAAGTTGCAATCTATATATACCAAAATAACAATGGGTGATAAAAAAGCTGTAACGTAAGAAAGGAACAATAGTAATTAAACAAAAAGTTTGGCACGTATGGAGTCCGTCTGGATTTTTAAATTAGGTTTGAGATTCTTGGTGAACAGCATTTCAAAGACTAAGCAATCAAATTTTCCTTGGCACTTTCTTAAAACTCTAAATTGGTTTTCTTTCAAGAGGTGGTTACTACCGTGAGCTTCCACGAAATGTCGACCGATTGCCGAATATTTGTGCTCAGCAATGCGTTGATGAAGGTGTCGGGCTGTGTACCAGACATAATCTGCATCGCACTTTTTAATCCCCCATTCTTATTTTGGTATATAGAGACTGCAACTTACAAATATTCTTTTGACTTGAGAATGACGTTTAGCAAACGTCGAAACGTTGTCGTTTTGTAGCAATTTCAAAATCTTTTTAAGACATGTTTAATCGCAATTTTTTTATGGTTAAATGTTTTTCTAAATCACTTCTTCTTTGTATTAATTTTGTTGCACGGATTTTGACACAGAGACGCTGGCACAAGTTTCCGAGTAAATGTGACAACTGCGATATTGAACTGACGGATATAAAGGTGAAATTGTGAAGACAGCTGGAGAGGTCATGGGACTCAGACTCTGCTCACTCACAGATCATGAAGGAGAGTCCCCAGGAAAGGCCTAACCTTAGATAAAACTAGATAAAGTTTTTGGTCCCAAGACGGATACGAGAAAACAAACCAAAGTAAAGTGGTTGGTTCTGAGTGCAGTGAAAACGTAGCTAGTCACAGTATTAAAAGTATGAAAGAGTTCTTTAAAGGGAGGTAACGGCTTTTAAAAAGACATGAAACGCCTTAGTGTAGGTTCTCAATTTTAATCAACCTTTGACTGACTTGGAAACATAGCAAACGTCATAAAGTCAGAACCGCTATTAGTTGGATATGGTTATGGCTCTTTTAGGGTGAATCCTTGGGAGGTAATCCCAGTTTTTTGGATTAAATTTTTACGAAGCTGTTGGTAAATTTAGAGGCTTCTTCCAGTAAAGGAAATGGTGCATTTTAGAGGTCCTATTCCATATTAATAGGGCCTTTCGATCCCCTCAACGTTCGTACTTTCACCTCCAATAATATCAGTAATTGCGTGTTGGTCTTCGAATCAACAACGCGATGTAAATCAAACTTAGTGACGTCGCTGATTTTGTGAAAAGCTATCAAATCTCGTACATGCCTTAGTATTAGTAACGTTTGGTTTGCTGATTTAAGAGATATAACAGAATCTCCATTAACCCCTAGTTGTGAATAACTATAAGTTAGATAAATAAAACAATCACGCATACGTTTCTATTGTTTCTTAAAATTTAGTTTTAACGTTCTCAAGCTTTTTTTATCGGTGACCACTGTCAACCCACTTTGCCTGTGATAAATGGAAAATAATTGAGTTTACTGTCTAATTCTTAAGACCCGCTAACGATCTCTTACTTCTACCTGGCAAGCAGTTTCCTGGTGTTGTATAATAAAGACACCCTCCAGCTGATTCGCTAGTTCACATTACCTGTTTGTTAGATGATGTATCGATATTGCAAGGAGAAGGTGCCTTATCAATTACTACTGGGAAATGATTGTTCAGTAAAATATCCACGTCACCGTTTGTTCAAGTTATCAATGAACACTGCAGTATAGAATCAATATGTAAGATTTGGCAATAAAGGAGAACAAATTAAGTACAATCACAAGTAGGCTTTAAGGCGGTCTACTCTTTGAGAAGTTGTTTCAGTTGACTTTGACTTTTCAAGTACTCACTAGAAACACGCGTTGTCATGATGATATCTTTGTCTTGCCTTCCTCCCTCCCCCCCCTCCCACCCTCCCTGATAGGTAGCTACTTGAGGGCTCTCAATCGCGCGATCCGGAAAAATTTCTAGAACAATCTCTGATCGAGCAAAACAAAAACAGTCCGTCTTTGTCTAAGCTCTGCGTGGCATATTTCACATTCACTTTCATACTATCATTCCATTGTTAATTATGAAGGAATCTTTCATAGCGGAGGTGGTCTTCTTATTAACCTTATTTTAATTGCTGTCGGTGAAAGCAAAATACAGAAGGAAGGCGGAGGATGAGAAGCACGAAATTCGTGATTCGTGATGGACCATACATATTTTATTCTTTCTTACCGAAAAACTCTTCTTGACAGTTTAGGCTTTTAACGTACATTTTCAGTCGCGGAATATTGGTCAGAACACATTCAAAACAGAAGAAACCCTTAAGCGTTTTATTAGGTCAAAACACTTCCTTTTTCCGCATTAATAAGTTTATTTGACGTATATTTACATTGACCCTTGCTCATTTTCATTCCTCATTCGCATTTTCGAGTGGCTAAAGACGGGTCTGCAAGGTAGGGTCTTCGTTTTTGAAAATCTCTTGTTATTTTATCGTAACAAGATACATTTTATAATACCTAACTTTCGACTAATGGCACTTACGTGTTTGATCAGTAGTGAGAGAAATCAGATAAGATTGGGTAACTCACGTATCAGTTACTGAAGTCTTATAGTAGGCCAACGTCGTCAATTTCCATCAAGTGATCAAGGCGGCTTTTCTAAGGTTTCATACCATTCGTACCTTTATTTCTAATACAATATTAATTTTTACTACATTCAAAGCTGTTTAAGATGATGTTGCGCCATAAGGACTTTGTCCGACTTAAGAAAAAAAATCTGCATAATATTATCATGACTTTAAGAAAATTACGACTGGTGGTGCCAGACGAAAAAAGAAAACTCCTTTAAACTTCCAGTTTTCCTATCATCCACTAAACCATTTTTAGAAAAAAGGCAAAAAGTTTCTTGTTGACGGCTTAAGAATATGTTTCCGATTGCATTTTGCGATAACAGTCATGGTTGGCTTCTTTATGACTGAGTTCTTATGCTAAAATCTAATTGAGTAAGGAAGTGTGGAAATTTAGCTCTATATTTTAGATAAGTAACCTGTTTTCTTTAAGGTAGTGCTTGTTTTTACTTGAGCTGAATCATCTGTTAGGTTTTACTGCAACGGTAGTGATGTTATACGACAGAAAATAGATCAAATTCCTCAGAAACTGACCTCTTGGAAACAAACAAACAAAATATCGATGGAGAAGTTATCGAGAATTTTCCAAAATAGCTTCACATCTCAGCCGCTGTTGTTTGACCGGCGCGGAACTTTTTTCAAGGGAGAATTTTAAAAATGTGTGAGGAATTCGTGGGTTCTTACGTTAGGTTCATTTTGAAACGTCTTTCGTCGCATCTTTCTAGAGTAAATAAACATTAAAGAAATTCCGCAGACATAACAAGGATAGATAGAAAGAAACTGGAATGAACTATTTTCCTGTCGAATTGTTTCAGCTTGTACACATAAGTTTGCGAAGCTAACCGCAGAACGAACGTGCAGTGCATTTATTAAGCTCCACGTCAGTTTCAAATGACTTGTCAGCTCGTTAATAGGAACTAAGCTTGAGATCAGTACCTCTTCCGAATAAATAAAGGTAATCTTTCAGTATCAAGACATATGTCCGCTTTTATACATTTTGGCTCCTTTTTTCACTTTCGTTTTTTTCCTTCGTTATAACGGTAAATGGTGCTTTCCACAAACGTCATGTTATTCTTAAACAGCTTCTTGTTAATTTGCGCTCAACAAAGAGACCACTTACGATTCAAAAATAGCTCTAACACTATTATCCAACCTGACAGTTATTATGCGCGAAGACACTGGCTTTCAATTGAAATATAAAGGGACAATAGTATCAGACAAACCGGTCACTTGTTGCGTAATAACAACTATACCGTGTTGGCAGCTACGCTTATTCTACATTACTTCTTCATTGAGCATATCGGACCATCTTTCCAAAATGAGTTTATTCATTAACACCGAAACCAAAGCATTTGGCTTTCACTCCAGATTAACTCGCTGAGTGAATTAGAGAAGAATGTTTCGCTCTGTTAACTCTGTTGTCTCCATCACGATTCAATGGGCCGTCGGAATTGAGGCTTGCAGCTAGGGAGGAAGAGACAGTCTCCAACCTTTCCCGTATGCAAAGGTAACATACAAAAACATGAAATGACCCGGAAAATGTCTCAGTGAAAATCGTGAATATCATTCATTCCTCTTTACCGATCAATATCACTGGATACTGTTGACGTGGAAAGAAAAAGGGTTACCTAATTCACTAGCAAAGAGGCTTTTTTGCATCATGATCATAGACTGAAGTATTTACAAAAAATTATTGGATGAGGATTTATTGATAACCAGAATAATCAAAGTCGAGGCAGGGTAAATTTACTTAGAATCTCTATAATTCCTTTGTAAGATTGGGAGTAGAACAAACAATACTCATCAAATAATAAAATGAAAAATTTAAGAAATCACTCTTTATGCCTATTATAATCTTGGAGTGAAATTTGCTTGCTGATAGTATCTTCTCCAACACTTTATATTTTACTTTTTTCATTTGATTACTTGATTGATGACTTTATCTAGTCAGTGTAAATTTATATTCATCGACTCATTTTTTTTGTCGCGGCAACCATGTCGATCCTAGATCTCATGAAATATTATTTGCATGTACGAAATGTCTGAACACTATGTAGTCGCTCCGTGACTTTGAGAGAGATTGAACTCCATTGTAAGAATTAGATGACTAATTTGGAAACTTGAGCACTTGGTAAATACATCTTGGCTTGCAGTTCTGATGATTACAGTTTGCTGAGGTAACTGAAATGTTAGTCTTCATGCAGGAACCTTCCACTTGACCTGTACAGTCAAGTGCTATAAAATAACTATAGAAAAATGCATTTGTGTTGGCAGAACTATTGTAAATACAGTACCACCTAGAGACAAAAATAAATGAGCTCCTGTAAGCATTAACATTTGGGAGAAGTTATGGTGGTAAATGACCCTTCTTTTGCTAGGATGCATAGGGTCTGATGATTGAAATGTATATCTTTTAGTTTTCAAACTATCAACTTTGTATTAATTGTTGCTGTTTACCATATCTATTCTCTGTACCTTAAGCCCTCAAAAGTTGAAGCAGGCGAGTCAATAACCTGACTTCCTTTGTTTGGACTTGTGTGATTATATAATTTTGCTGTGCAAGTTACCATACTGCAACATATAATATTATACACTAGCTCAAGCTTTCATTAATGCATAGTGTTTCTTACCAATGGTCTTACCCAAACTGAAGATCGAAATTAGGAATTGGTCATAAGATATGTGCGTTTAAAAGGGTGGGAATGTGGAAAAACAAGGATCCTCCTTTAATTAGGACTGAAATTAATGGGGGCCCTCTTATTTTAATTCATATTTTTAATTTGACCTGCCTCCTTCCCTGTAATGTTTAGGGCATATAGATTAAGAGAAAATTTTTTTGTATTTTGATGCATGAAAGTTAAATTACCAGTAATTGGCATCCACATAATCACAAAGCAAGAATGTAAAGCTTGAGCTTAATTGGTTAAAAAATTAAAATAAGAGAGTTTTGCAGACCATGTCTGACTTTTTATCCTGGCTCTGGATATTTATTCAAATAACATAGTCACTATCAGTCTCATTCATTCTCACTTTCCACTGAGCTTGTGGAAAGATGATAACGTCATTATTTCTTTAAATGAAGAAAGGAAAGCCTGTCCTCTTACCACGGATAGTTATGTTGAGCATCATCAGTACAAACCTGGTCTAATTTTTACACGAAGGTGATTGTTCCAGGTAGGGTAACCTTAAAAATTAGTTGTAAGCATTTCTTGAACCCGTCGTTTTACGTCTTGAATGTTTGACTCAATTTTACCTCACTAACCTAAACTAAATATATATAAACATGAAATTTATTTGTTTTCCTTTTGAGGGGGGAATCAAAATTTCAAAGTCATCACAGGCTTAAACTATAGGTTTAGATGAAATCTGCTTGTGCATGTGTTTTCAATTTATGAAACTGGGATTATGACTCTTCAAAAGACTTTACTACACGCTGTATAAGTACTGGCAGGTATTGTTAAAAAAGTTTGCTAAGCTTTTTCATTAGTACACATTTCTTTTTCTAAGAATTCTGTTTATCCAGCCTGTGCTGAATTCTAATTTTTCAACAAAATTTTATTGTTTTTTAATAGTATTAGATCTCCTAGTATCCGACGTTCGAGGTATTTATTTGACTAATTTCATGATATTATTCATGAGGGATTTTTAGATAACGATCTTTTCTTTAAGGGGCCAAACACCGGCTAATTCGTACGGTCACACCTACGTCGGATCAAAGGAGATACAATGAAAGCAACCTGATGTGTGCGTTCCTCACAGAACTCTGAAAAGTTGCGAGTTACTACGTGACAAGCGCTAGACTTTTTTGTACTTTGAAATTCTGGCGAATCCACGAGGGACTTAGCATTGCATTTTCTTTGTTTTTTGTTCATGTGTTCTATTGTTTGATATTTTGTTCTTGTTCACTAGTTTTTCGGTAAATGTGTTCGAATGTTTTCCAAATGTTAGAGCTCATTGACTCCCCGATCGACCCACAAATGTCCTGTTTTTGTGCTGTCATTATGGACGGCATGTATAGCGACGAGGAGCTTTTTCTTACTCAAAATAGTTTTCCGGAAGAAATATTGCAACACAATTTTAGTATTGAGTCAATTTAGACGGCTTAGTAGCTAGCGATGAGCCTGCTCCACGAAATTCGCGTGCGGAAGAATTAAAGCAAGTAGTGACTGAGGAAAGCATCAAGGATGGACGGAAAGACCGGAAACTTAATTGAAAAGAAACATGTATTTTCTCTCTATATTGTTTTTAGTGAAGTACATTTGCAGATGACATTATTGTCGGAAATTTAGGCCGCAATTTGTCAAGGGGAAGAATTTGATGTTCTCAGGAATAGCAAGGTTCAATTGAGTAATTGGAAAGTAAATAATTAATGAGGGATTAATTTGTAGAAATTCTAATAAATCCTTCGCTTTAGGAATTTATTTGTTCAAATCTCTGAAACGAGGGATTTGTACAGATAAATCCCTCATTTACAATCAAATTCAATTCATCAGCGCCGCTCTTCCCTGCTACATTATTAAGCCCTCCCCGGACTTTCAGTTGGTTAATATTCAACGGGGTTATAAGTTAAATAAAGGTTGTTGAATAACAAAAGAAAAGATGTGAATCATAAAATAACAATATATATGTCATATCTTTTAACAATTATTGTTTACATCAGTTATACACGTGTATATATAGATAACTTGTCTGACAGAAAACACAAAACCACACGGTCCAGCGTTGTTGTCATTTTTGCATTTTTCCTCTCCTAAGTAGAGTTTTATTTAAAATTGAAAATGTACTTCCGTTATATTTTCATAATTCGTTTTATATTTTATCATAGTAGTTCACGTATTTCTAAAGTTAATTTCAAATTGTTACACGAGCATTGGCAACCGAAGAGGCCATGACTTATGTCGAAAAATATCTCGAAAAATAAAAGCTGTTTTGTCTTATAACATGATTTTTATTCATCTATTCATTTTCTATTTATTTCTTTGCCAAGGTACGATAAAAATTTATAAGGAAGTGTAATTAGCTAAGATAAATAAAATTTATGGAGTGGAAACCTAAAGAAACCATGAGGCTTTTTCCAAACGATTGCAGAAAAATAGGAAAAAAAGGCATTACGAGTGATATTAGATTTTACAGAAATATTGAGGTCACGCAACAGAAAACAATCGGACATTATCCTCCTTAGGGTCGTGTTATTTTGTTAACATTTTAATGGATCTTTTTCTCCCTTAGCACACAAGCTTTTGCCAGCCACGAACTGATATCACACAGACCATTATAGGAGGAAATTCAGCTAATCATCGACAGCATTTGGCTCTCTTTCCACCGTGACATGACAAAATGGCTCAGCGTTTTAAGAAGAAATGTGTTGCTCTTGTTGTATGCATCCTGCTCACACTACCGGGTAGTAAGTCGATACATACTGAGGATTATGAACTTAAATGTAGTTACTTGTTGGAAGGTAGGCGCAACTAAAGATATCTGAGGTATAAAATTTTTCATGCGATTAAAATGTTGAATCTGTATCAGCAGGATTTGCCAATACAACAATGACGCCATCCTCATCCAAGTTGCCATCACAATCTGCAAGTGACATGACAAAAATGGTGTATATAATGTCATGCCCAACAGGAAGTGACGTGTCATCAACGATGCAAATGATGTCATCACAATCTGCAAGTAACATGTCATCAATGGTGCATGTGACGTCATCACAATCTGCAAGTAACGTGACATCAGTAGTGCATATGATTTCATGCCCAACAGCAATTGACGTGTCATCAACGATGCAAATGATGCTATCTCCATCCGCAAGCGACATGTCATCAATGACACATATGATGCCATCACAATCTGCAAGTAATATGTCGTCAATTGTGCATATGACGCCATCCCAAACAGCGAGTGACGATTCATCAATGATGCATATAGTGTCATCCCCATCTGCAAGTGACGAGACATCAGTGGTGCATACGATGCCATCACCACCTGCAAGTGACAATTCATCAATGATGCATATGATTCCATCGTCATCTACAAGTGTATCCCCATCTGCAAGTGACAATTCGTCAATGATGCATATGATACCATCCTCATCTGCAAGTGACATGTCATCAATGGTGCATATAGGACCATCCCTATCTACAAGTGACAAAACATCAGTGGTGCATACGATGTCATCCCCATCTTCAAGTGACGATTCATCAATGATGCATATGATTCCATCGTCATCTACAAGTGTATCCCCATCTGCAAGTGACAATTCGTCAATGATGCATATGGTGCCATCCTCATCTGCAAGTGACATGTCATCAATATTGCATGTTATGCCATCCTCATTTGCAAGTGACACGTCATCAATGGGGCATATAATGCCATCCTCATCTGCAAGTGACAAGACATCAGTGATGCGTATGATGCCATCCTCATCTGCAAGTAACAATTCATCAATGATGCGTGTGATGTCATCCCCATCTGCAAGTGACATATCATCAATGATGCCTGAGATGTCATCACCAACCACCTCTGAAAGTAAGTGATGAAATGCTTTTAGATTTTGGAAGAAACTGTGAGAAGAGTAAGATGTTCATAACGAAACTTTTAACTTACGAACCATTTCTACTTTTGCGAAAAAGCAAAAAATATCTGATTGAATTTGAGTGAGGCAAATGAATTTTCTCTGTATGTGTCACTTGTTTTATTAGTTCTTTTTTTAAATTTAGCTCACATTTCTTTTATTTTGAAGTGTTTAAATAGTGTAGCCGCATTGAAGGATATCATTGATCATATCCTTACCTTGATGAAGACAATGTCAATAAGCGACATTACGTTTACTTCTTTGAAAAGTTAGCGAAAGCTTAGCAATTATGGGCACTGATTTGATTTAAAACGTGGAAATGTATTTTGTATTTAGTTATACCGATGAAGACAACATATGTCTAACACATATGCGAAAACATTCCATCTTAATCCCGACTGAATTATTCGCGTCTTCACCTTTAGAAATAAGTGCTGTAATCCAAACTCATGCGAAAACGATGGAACTTGCTCAGAAAATGGTAAAACGTTCAAATGTAATGTACTTCAGCGTTTGAAGGGACAACCTGCAAATCAGATATGGGCCTGTATGACACCTCTCGTTCCAGTAATATATCGTTCCAGCGAAGTACCGCTAAGTAGGAAGTAATACATGTGTGCACGTAGTGGTTAGAAAAAGCGGGTTCTGACGTTTTCTCTAAATTAACCTTGATTTTAAAGGCAAATCACGAATTTAACCTGGAAATCAAGGTTGATTTGTGTAACTCCCCTACACGAACTCTGCCTCTGTTGTAGTGGTTGCAGAAAAGTTGATAGGTTTTTCATCACTGAACCAGAAAGAAGAAGCATCGACGGTTGAATCGTTGTCAATCTCTTTCACCCAATGACAGCTGATAATTTTTCATCTCCTAGGAGCTGTTGGGTATGTTTTCGGATCAAAGTCCATTTTTTTTAACATACCTTACTCCTCCTTCAAAATCAATATGATAAATCCAAAAATCTTCTCTTTTTTTTTGTCTCTCTGTTTTTGCTCCACCAATCGTTAAATACCCTGACTCTCTTGACAGAGAAATCCACCAGATTCTATTTCCAATCAAAGGATATTTCAATTTGTTATTCGCTCGTTTCAAGGATCATCTGTTTTGATTCAAGATAGCAAAACAGAGACGATGCGGAAAAGAAGAGGAAAATTTGAAAGGGAGATCAAATACTCTGTCATTAGAGACAGAGAAAAAGTGTCTTTCATTGTTTTTCTAAGTGGATGTTCTAGGTCTTCGTGAAATTTTCTGTTTTGTGTTGCACGGTTGTACAATCCTAATTGATCGAAAGCAGTGGCACAAAATTTATTTTGATAAGTACTTCACTGTATGAGTTTTGTCGGTATAATACCAGCATGATTGCTTTTTCTTAGATGAATGTCTCAATGAGAAATTTCGTTTTGCATATTTTGACAAAAAAGAGAATAAATCGATTGTTTCTGTTTTCATCATCATACTTCTTGTTTGCTGCGTCTTCATTGTCAGTTGGATTGGCAAGATTGACGATCTTTTTACTGTTCTTATCTTTATCCGTTTCTGCTGCGGGTCTATTGAGAAACTCATTTTGATAGTTTTTTTTCAAATCAACGAATTCCTTCAAAAGACAACGCAGTTCCAGAGGAACAATCTGAATCTCTTCTCCGACGAAACCACGCTTTGGTTTTTTTTTCAGATAGTAAAGAATAGGCTCATTCTTAGTCACAATCGATCTCTCGATATTGCAGATCTTCAGAGACCTTTTATTGTTTCAATATGTTGATATATTATTGTTGATCTTTTTTATACAGAGACGCCTACCCAAACATTTGCCTGTACAATGAAACTGGATCAAGATTATAAAAAGGAATATGATGACATCAACTCAAACGAATCTCGTGCCTTCATTGAAGATTTGGACTCGAAATTAAAACCATTTTTCAAAAAGGAATTTCCAGATTTGATAAAAATTATTTACAAACGTTTTTTCAAAGGAAGTGTTGGCGTTGACTATGAATTGCTCTTTCCAACAACCTCAACTGTGACCGATGGCAACATCGTGCAAGCTCTTAGAGAAGGTAATGGCACAAACGATCTGGGATTGACGCTGACAGGAGATATAACCGTAACGAAGCAGGTTGTTCAGACGACAGCAGCACCGACGACAGCAGCACCGACGACAGCAGCACCAACTGCAACCAAAGGTAACTTACAGCGTCTTTTTATTTTTTATGTTATATTTTTATCCGTTTAACTACACTAACTCGAAATGAAGATTATCACATTTCTGGCTAGAACCTATCTTTATGACATGTATACTTTTGAGGAACATTTCCATCCAAGGAATATATTTCCACTCAAACCGCCTTCCAAACTATTTTGTGTTTTCCAAAATAGCATTTTCCGTGAAAAATGGACCTTTTAGGCATATTTTTCATGTCGATTCCACAAAGTATCGTACTATTTTCCAGACACTGTGAAATGTTGGCTATTTAGGCAAAAAACACCGAAATCTCTCCTATGTAATAAAAGCAAAATGCTTCAGTTTTCACGGATTAAGAAAAATGTGTTGCTTCAAAAGAGCAACATTTTGTATAATTCCACGGAAAGTTAAACGTAGGTGCATTTTACTCATACAAATATTCAATTTTTAACTGCGTTGGTTGTTAAATCTGGTCAAAGTGCATGTAATGCTCTGCTCGTTTAAATGGAACGATAAAGCCTTTGATTTTAACCTCTAATATGTTTAGGCGGTTTTTCTTTTCAATTTTATTTGACATGATATTACGAACTGTAATGCAGAAATTCTGCAAGGTTTGACGTCTAATGCTGTAGAAATTCTCCGTGGTATGGCGTCCAATTCTGTAGAAATTCTCCATAGTTTGACGTCCAATGCTGCAGAAATTCTCCATGGTATGGCGTCTAATGCTGCAGAAATTCTCCATGGCATGGCGTATAATGCTGCAGAAATTCTGCAAGGTTTGACAGCCTAAGCGTACAAAAATTCCGCACGCCTCGACGTCCAGTGTTGCAGAAATTCTGCACGCCTTGACGTCCAGTGCTACAAAACTTCTGCACGCCTTGACGTCCAATGCTGCAGAAATTCTTGGCATAAAGAGCTCATCTGTTGCAGAATAGGATGATCCGTTTATTTTTTTAAACAAATTTAAAATTAGACTACCTTGGAATAAGGACATTTATAGCCGAATTTACATCACAATCGCCGAGTGACAGTATCGTCAATAATTCGTATGAGATAAATTTTTTTCCACGAAGTTACCCGTTCAGTAATTTTCATTTCAACTGACTATACAAGATTTAAGAGTTTTGACTCCTCTTCCTTCCGTTCACAAGATGATGCAATACTGTTGATCCAATAGCATCCAAGAAAATTACTCTTTCACTACTCACACGTAGATTTCTAGGTGTCATTTGCCTTGAAACAGAACATTGTATAGTTACAGGGGTTTGTAAGGTCTCCTTCTGTATGTATGGATCTGAAAAATTAAAAGAAAGAGAAGTTACATCACATGAAAATTTTCAAAACGGGATTTATGAATTCATCAACACTATCTTGACTATGATTTGAACAGGTCTTGGTATAGCAAGGCTAACTTGGCTTTTGTGCAGATAATGTTTTACTGAAGTTTAGCTTTACTGAACCTTTCGTATAACCGTGGGTTTACTGAAGCAAATTAAAACGTACTCCTTTAGTGAAATCGTTGGAACTAATTCGAGATGAGAGAGGACCGGTAAGATATTGCAGGTCTACGACGAATTTTCGAAAAATCAGTTCACGCGTCACGGATATAAAAGGGAAAATTTAACCTCTCCTCTTGTGTGCATGGTTTCAGGGAAATCTTAAGTTTTTCACGCTGTGAGGAAAAAAAAATTCAGGGTTCAAGTATACTTCAGGCCTCGCACAGTTTCGTAAATTCACGAATAACGTTAACCTTTCAGTAAAATTCACGTGTCACATCTTAACTTTGGCCTTCATCACGCGCACGTATAAACCCTTGATGATGCACCGGTTTATTCATACCTCTAAGTTTCCTCTCAGGAGGTGATTCTCCAGAGGGTCCAGCAAAGGAATGTGTTGACTCTTGCAAAGATTCGGCGCCGATTATTTTTGGTGAAATGGTCAACTCTTGTTCCTGTTCATTAAAGATACGCAGCTCCTGATTATATTATTTTACTGAACCATACTTCCAATGCTCCCATTCCCTTTATCTTTCGGAGGCATCTGGCGCACGAAAAATTTAACGGACGCGAATCAGATGTGAGTTAGTTCAAGGGCTATCTTTTTTTTTTCAAAGCTGACAGACTTATGTATCACCGAACTCGTGTCTTCTCAATATTTCCTCGCTTGTGATAAAATTTAGGGAGAAGAGAAGAGCGGCAGCGTCTGAGGTTTCCACACCTTCAAATCAATTAAGAATTTGGCATTTTCCCGTGAGTACTAATCTAATCAACTTAAAAGCTTCCTTGATTCTTTCTCCTGCTCGTTAACTGTTCGAAATGCCTCGCAACTATACGACCTTGTCAACGCTATACCTTTTAAATCTGAAATTTGAGCTTTTTTTCTTTACTGTACTGAGGAAACCGATATATTTTTCTTCGTTCTGGCGGGCTGTGACTAAAATTAGAACTGAGACGTGGAACTCGGGGACGTGAGACTCGGGAACGTGAGACTCGGGGACGTGAGACTCGGGGACGTGAGACTCGGGGACGTGAGACTCGGGGACGTGAGACTCGGGGACGTGAGACTCGGGGACGTGAGACTCGGGGACGTGAGACTCGGGGACGTGAGACTCGGGGACGTGAGACTCGGGGACGTGAGACTCGAGGACGTGAGACTCGGGGACCGTGATAACTCTGGGTACAGAATAGTTTCAACGCAAGGGGTCTTGAAACTATTAAAAACGTCGTGGGCAGCTATGGAGGACTTTCCTGGTGAGTAGCCGTGTTTTCTTCTCGATCTTTATAATTATAAGAGTTTAAAGGCTGACGTTTCGAGAGTTTGCCCTTCCTCAGAGCGATTGGATAAAGATAAATTAGAGCGATTAGATAACGATAAATGGTCAAGGTCGCTTATTCGATATATATTTAACTTCAATTTTAGTGAATTAGTGATATTTTTCATTCAGTTTTTGTATCTGATCATAAAATAAAGTTATGTGACTTGAACTGTACGTTGTATTGCTTACTTTCTTAACATTTCAATATTCTAAATTTTAGCATGTGGCATTAAGCCATGTGCTATTTTAGGTACATAATTTCTGTTGAAAGTTAATTGACAGAATATTTGTGGCATCTGTTTTGACTGGTTAGAGAAAGACCGTTATATTCCTGTATCCATCACGCCATGAGTGAATTTCTGCAACATCTAGTAAATGAGAGGATGCAGAATTTCTGCAATATTCAGTGTTTGAGATATGTGGTGAAATAACGAACTGAAATAACGAACTGAAATAACGAACTGAAATAACGAACTGAAATAACGAACTGAAATAACGAACTGAAATAACGAACTGAAATAACGAACTGAAATAACGAACTGAAATAACGAACTGAAATAACGAATTGAAATAACGAACTGAAATAACGAACTGAAATAACGAACTGAACTATCTTTCTTATTCTGTTTACGCAACCGATTGATCTGCGGCGCAAGAAGCTTACCGCTGAATCATAAAACAAGAAATGTGCTTCAGAGCCGATCTACTCTTTTAAGAAATCTGGATCAAAGCTGACTTTCGAAAAAACCCAGCCCACAGATGTGACTAAATCTGGATGATGTTTTGTACCATCTTCAGTTATGATAAGATCTCCTGTTCTCAGGGCTCTCTCTCTCACTTTCTTTTTACAGAAAAATCGACAATCAAGGACTGGGAGATCGTGCTAATCGCAGCTGCAACAATTTTCTTTTTTCTATTGGTGGCTATTGGCGTTTTGGCAGTGAGTATTCAGTTAATTTCTTTGCATTTTTGCAATGCGTATTTAATCATCAAAACTACCAACCATGGAAGGATCGAATTTGGTGTGCTCGGCAACAGATACACATGTACACCCTGTTTCAATTGCATACATTTAATTGGCTGGTCTAAGTTCTTGGTGACAATTTGTAAACTCAATCGAAATCAAATGATTGAGAGCTTTACTGTAGCGTCATTTATACTGGTGAGGTAAGGGAGCGGCGAAAGGCATTTGAGAGAAAAGTGGTGGGAAAAAATGTGAACTTTCAATTCGTTTCTTGGGCACGAAAATTTTTATTATCACAATGGGTTGGTTGTAGGAAAATGATGGCGTACGGCGTGGCTCCGACATATTTCTATCATGTCAACGACTGAAAATTGTCAAGAAGGGTCATACCAACAAATACAGCAAGGCACACAGGCGGTGTAGTTTGCTGCTTAAGAGTAGCTCGAGCGTTCTTTTCATTGACTCTTCTCTATTTGAACAGGTGAAATACAGAAACGCTGTTCAGGATGAAAAGAAGGAATTGTATGCCCTTGATGGAGACTGGCAACTAATGGAAAACGGGCATGATGGCTTGAGGGCTCAGTCGCAGGTTTGTCGACCAGTGTCTTTTGGAGCTTACATTGCTTTCCGGGGGTAACGAAGGATGCCATCTGTTGCTAACAGAGTTTAAATGGGAGAACATAGAAAATTGACTGCCAATGAGAGGGGGGTGGGGTAGGTCATTAGAATGCTACAGAGCCTTAGGAAAGGGGATTAGGTAGATTTTAGTGTTACGCAACCACATTCCTTCCCCCCTTCCCGACAATAAAAAATGGATGGTCTCTAAGACATTTCCATTAATTTTTTCCTCGCCTCACTGATCTTGGTATCTTTGTTTTACAGAGCTATACGTCTCCAATGTATGACAAAGTACTTGGATCTGACAACAAGGCATATCAACTTGACAGTGCATTGTGAATTTAATGAAAAAGAAAAAATCATCAACGAGGTCGAAAAGATCAGCCAGTTTAAAATGCTCTGTGGCCTCATCCTAACAGTTGGTTTGATAACAAAATGACCTTAATTTAGATATTCAAGCTATCCAAGTTGATGGTAATAAAATTCTGTTTCTCTGAGGTATCACTTAACTTCACGTGCGATAAATTCGTTACATACTATTTCAGAAAAAAACGACAAACATTTGAGGGATTTAAGGATCTAGAAAGTGTAACCGACATTGAAAATATGTACACAGTTTTTTTCATGAATTATTTTACATTTGTCCAGTTAACAAACAAATAAACCCAATGCCGTGGGACCGTTTGGTAACAGATCGGATATCAAGTCAACTTGACGTGTTGAAAGAATCAGTGATCAATTACACTCTCACTTGCGTCACGAACTTTTTGTTCGTACATCATTTTGACATGTCATGTACTTCTTACCTTGCAAAGACAACGAAGTGATATCTGCAAAGCTGGAAAGGCTAGACTAATTTGGCGCACGTGCAAATCTCCTAAGATTTTATAAGATGTTATTCTACCTAAAATAGCAAGGACAAAAAAGGAAATTTGAATCAAGAACAGCAGTACGTTCGCATGAATAATGAAATTGTGTGTCGGTCATCCTCAGAGGTACTTGTGCAGCGGGAGATATTTGTTACTTAACGCAAACTTAACGATGCAGAGAACTTAGTGAGTAACTATGAACCAAAGGGCTAGGACAATTTTTCAAGTTTACTCTTTGATATGCTTAGTGGTCAATTTTTGTGACCTTTCGTCTCAATACCTCTAATAAATTAGTTTCTATTTTGCAACAATCGGGTCTTTTTCTTTTTTTTGAGACTCATGATTTCCTCCCAGGGGAATGACTCTAACAAAGATTCCTATGCATGAGTGAATTGTCATGCATTTTGTTACACTGTTCGTCATTCGTTGCTCAGAGGTTTGGCAGTCGTAGTGGGATTTCGTTGCCTTTGCGAGGGTGGAAAAGGGTTTATACGAGACGCATAATTAAACTGTTGCTCTTGCCTTTTGAGGACTCGTTGGTTTACAATTAGGGTTGGTGCAGTTATGTACACAGCAGTACTCTTCAGTGACAGGTGTCCCTTTAGTTCACTTTTTCCACAACTCACCGGCAGCACTTGCCTCTAGGGGATGCCCTCTAACTGAAGCCACTGTTTTAGGTTTATCACCGGTTGTCAACACTGCATGAGTAAAGCCTAATGACCAACCAGGTCTTAAGCTAAACATTTCGTTACCAGAATCTTGGAAGGCTGATTGAAACGAAGCCGAATCGATTCCAAAGACGTTGTAAAACTCGGGTGGGAGAGTTGACGCATCACTCATGTTTCTGTATATATCTCTGTTCCTGATGGAAGAATAGTTGAAGAGCTTTCTGTTTACCCAACTATTTTTAGTGCTTTAGTATCTGTTAGCTGACTATGCTGAGGCATTGTTTGCAAATTTCGGAATGTTTCGCACTTTTGATATTCTTTGTTACACGAAGTGGTAATGACCTCCGAAACCCAAAATACTCAAAATTTTTCAACTTCCGGCCTTATCATGATGTGTTAGGATTTTAAATAACCCTCCGCCACCTTATTTCACCCTTGGTAATAGGCTTCTATCGCTAAATATGTCATGATGTTGCGTTTTTCCAGTTAATATTTCAAGCGCTGCAGAGCATTACATCATCATGTCCCTATTTACAAATAAGTCTGATACTCTCATCAATCATTGGGAAACCAACAAAAGACAGAAACTCGTGCACTTAATAAACAACAGCAAGTACCAAAACAGTCATCGTCAGGTTCTTGGTGTGACAATATAGTTTATGGAATAAAAGTTGTGTCGCAGTAACACTGCTTCTGTTATGATAAACAGGAAGATTAAACTGGGTCATGGAATTTACATCCGCTCTCCTGGTTTTTGTTTCATTAAAGTACACTCAGTGAAAAAATTTATATCCTCTTATTGTGTATTGTGACGCTATTCCGGCTTGATCTGTCCTTATTGCGCGTTTCATTAATCAGTGAAAACACTTATAAATTAATCAACGACCGGTTTTATCAAAGGAATTCACGTCTTGTCATTGAACGTTCCTGTCTTCGTGACTTCGTTTCATCTCTTTTGATCTCAGCTGAGGTCTCCTTACTATTTGGCTGTTGGCTACTTGTAATAAGTTGGTATTGTACAGTCAAACTTCCATTGAGCGGCCCTCTGTCAAACGGCCAGTCTTTATGAATCGGTCAGTGGAAAATTCTCGGAATTCATTTCCCATATTTATACCGTTGATTAAATCTCTGTTAACGATATCTGTCGTATTGTCGTTTCTGTTTTTTTCACCACATTAACCCCTCATACCCGAGCATCAATATGCATATTCTCCACACTGTTCTTTATACATTTCCTGGGGTGCTGATCATTTCCTTTATTCTCATGACCTCAATGTGCGATTCAGAAGTTATATTGTAGAGAGAAATTACATGCCAGTCACTCTTAGGAGTTAAATGGTTGAGAGTAACAGTAATTATTTAGCCTCCAAAATGCCTGATTCTTTTGGTAGCCACCTCTTGTAACCGTTCAACACTTCGGAGCGATTGGCTTCTATTTTGTCCCGAAAAAAATATCACTCCTTACGATAATTTTCTTCACTCTTCATCTGAGTCCTAATTAACATTCTGGGCCTGTTATATTCGCGTTGAGAAAGTGCCACCGCTTTCCTTCCTTAACTGAACACAAACTAAAATTATAACTCTGTGATTATCCAGATGCATTCAGATTTAGGCTGCTATGTCACACTTCTTTCCAAATATTGAATAACTCCTCTGTCAGCCCAGCCCTCTCGACAAAAATACTTTGCAGGTTCTATGTTACTTAGACGTTTGTCTTTGTGCCATCAGCATTCCCACAAACAGGACCAACAGAAATCTTAGTCATGTTTTCCAACCTGTTTTCACTGCGAACGTTAAAAGAAAGAACGCGACCGGACGAAACCATGCAAAGCTTATTCACATGCTCAAACCTCTCGTTGGTGTGGTTCGTAGATTGTACACTTTGCCCATTCTGAAGTTGCCTTTTAGCCAGGTCGGGGCTACCACTTAGCTGAGCTGCAAGTTTTCAAAAGGTTGTAAGTGCTAGTCTGCACGTTAGCTTTGAAGCTCGGAAGCCTCGCATCCATATAGCAACATGCAACAGGAAGCCAAGTAGCCAAGTGAGAAAGAAGTCTCTTGTATGAGTGGTTTAGTATCTCAGAAGCCTTTCAACCCTCTTCAGTTGTAGTCAGATGTACAGGTGTCACGCAGTAACGATTCTACACGGTTAGGCAACCAGGTGATCATGTACTGATGGAGCTATGTAGCTATCAGGTCATGTCATAACTATTTGTACAGTTAGCAGCCAGCCTAGAAGGAACTGACATGTAACCTCGTACAACTGTCGCCTTGTAGTCACATCAAGTCGCTTAGCCACTGAAATCTAGCAGCAATTTAGTTGCTTCTTTTCAGTTTGCACATCAAAGAGTTACAGGAAGAACATAGTCATGCTCCTTACCAAAACAATTTTCTGAGGTTTCTCAGCCGTCTTGAACGTTGTTAGGCCACTTAGGGTACGTATCCAAATAGCCCATATAATGAGCCACTTTGCCGAGAAGATTGCAGCTCGGTGGTTAATGATCGCTGATATCGAATTTTTGGACAGCTGCCCATGGTTTGATATTTTCTGCGAACTATAGACCAGCATCGATTGGAGAGTAAATTTTTTCTTCTGACCTGAGACAAACGAGAGTTTTTACGAAGGAAATATTGGCAAAAAAAAGAAAGCACTCCTTCCAAGCATTGCATTTTTAAAGCGGTGCATCTTGCGATAAGCTTAATAAAAGTTTGTTAACAATAAGCCTTGTGTGTGTACACATTAACCTTTTTACCCTAGAACTAAAACTCTTTCATTGGCTCGTTGAATGTGCGCTGATGGAAGCACTTAAACGCTTCAATTCTTTTAATGCTCATCGTGACAAATAGTCCTGTTTGAAAACCCCATTATCATTTGAGCAATAAAGAATCAGTCTGCAAATTAAGAAGGGAGATGGATAATGCTAATTCCTGGATAAGATGACTGCATGCCCGTCATATAAATCAATTTAATGTTATAAAAAATAGATATCGCATCGGATAAGTATCAAGGAAAATCACCGTAGCCATTTGAACTGTTTGTTCGTAGACTCTACAATAAGTAGGTACCGAGATAAAAAATAAAAACGTGCAAAAAAATGCCACGCAAATTTTTCAAATTATGAGACACGTTGATTAGGAAAGCTGACTTTGTTTTGTGCCCCTTCTTTTGTAGCAGTCAGTGGATGAGAAGAGAAAACTCACAAATACTAATCTTTTTAAAAATCATATTAATTGTTTACTTAGCCGTATGTTAATAAAAGGCACTTTTCTAATTTTCTAATTGGCCATGTCAAAGACGACCTGCAAGACTGATAACGCGAATTTTAAAAATCCAATCAAAGGGAAAACGCTGTATGAAAAGTAAATTCTATGTATCTGAAATTATTATCATCCTGGGAGGCACGACTCCTCCCCCGCTACGCTATTGCACTCCCCAGTAAAAAGAGAGCCTAACAGCAGGTTATTAGTGTTACCCAATTGAGCAAGTGATCAGTTGAAACGTCCAAAAAGAAAGTTTTCTATAGCAGATCAATTTAGATGCAATATTTCCTCACAGCAGTTTTATTCCCAAGCACTATTACTCCAGCTTTAGGATGCGACGCCTAAGTATTTCAACTGTGGTTCCAACCTTTTACCGAGGTACTTAAGACGTACGTTGGTGTTAATGACCAAACTTACATTCTTTCAGCTTCTTTTATCATATTTTTCAAAGGATTTGTCCACGGAGGTATGTATAAACATGTTTAGAATAATCACGGAGACAAGAATTACCAGGGTTTTCTTATTAAATAGATGTAATATCCTTATGTAGGTCACGTTTCTTCGTTGCCATGTCAGTTCGAGTCATGCTGCCTCCATTTAGCTCTCTGTTTAACTGAAGTCATGTAAACTCAATTGAAATATTATGAAACCAAATTATCTTGTAATACCCGTTACCCACACAGCACCACAGATTCTTTATCCCATTTATTTCTTTAAATGAATTGAATGATGAATTTGATTTATGCAAGAGTTTTTTTCTAAATGGATGGAAAATGACATAGTCACAAAAGACGGATTAGAAACAATTAAAAAAAGAAAAGAAGATATCTCTTGTTTATTTGACGTAGGAAGACTACCTGGGAATATTAAGTCAAACTATAGTGGTTACCCAGTTGCTCAGTGGAAAAGCTTTGTTCTTCTGTTTTCAGATGTCCTCCCCAAAAACCAGCTTCATTACTGGCAATCTTTTGTTTTAGCATGCCGTCTACTTTGCAGATCTTGCATTACTAAAACTGACTTAATGTTAACTGCTTCATTTTCTCAAGGAGTATGAGAAAATATATGGTGAATTGTCAATTTCACCAAATATGCATCTTCATCTTCATCTTCACCTCAAGGAGTTGTGGAAAACTATGACAGCATTTATGGCTTTAGGCTCTTCAGCTGTGAATGTTACAGTGGTATTTTGGGATCATTTCACACTGAAATTAAAACTGTTGCAATTCAAATAATGCGGAAATTTATGACTTCAGAAACTCTTGCAAATATGCAGTATTTTCTCCCTAAAGAGTACAGAGATATTTTCTTTAAAATCTGTTCTGCACAACTTGAATCCAATGTCGTCTGTGGAGAAACTGGGCAACTCCCTGAACTAATGTTTTCCTCATCTGGTCCCTTAGCTGGGAAGGTGGCTGTGTGGACTAAGTCTTACAAATTAGCAAGTCTTGACCGAGATGAACTTAGTGCATTGCGTTCTGTATACTGCGCCTTGTATATAAGGGTAACAGAAACATGTTTTAAGCTGGCTACACTTTATAAGAAGTTTAAGTCGCTATAAGTTGGTTGAGAGAAGTATGGATCCACTGCAATCTCGTATGTTGGTAAGGTAATGATAGAATTGTTGATTCCGGTACGATGAGGCCTGGAGTCATTCGTTACTTTATGGTTCACAGTGTGCAAATTGAAGGAAAGCAAATTTTTCATGCCTTTGCTGTTGTGAATTGGCCTA